AATGGATTCTCCAAGCTAGGAATTGTTCAGGTATATTTTAATCATAATGTTATTGCTCTTTGAATGAAAGCATTATCAACAGAGGTACAACAGGACCATTCATGCGATCTTTTTCTCTTACAGATTGCGAATGAGTTTCCCATCTTTCTTCATCTTTTACGCCCCAACCCCACCAGTGTCTTGACTTTGAAAAAGGTGACTCATCTTCTTCAACCCGAGTTTAGTGTGGAGGGGTCTAACAGAAGGCAGTTTGAGGATGCAGTGTACAGACAATTTGTGAAGTATTTGCGTAGGGCTGCAGGTAACTTGTAACTTCACAGACAAAAGTTATAAGTACATTTGGGAATGGGTTGAAATCATTAATCAGGAACAGATTGCCTTGTTGGAATTAACATTCCACTCTGTTTATTGAATATCATGATACATGTATTCCCATAGTGGTCTCTGCAAAGAAAATGATGCTAAGCCAAAAAAAATGGAATGCAAAGTAGGCAAATTATGTTGCACATGTGGCTTTACCCATTCCAACTGTTGAACAAACTGTTCAAAACGGTTTTTTTTCTTATTATTATTACTTTTACTATTTATGTTGTGGTTGTTTAGGATTGCTAAAGTTTGACCCATTTCTATTCTCTTGACAGCTGGACAAAGAGGGAATGTTACCCTTTCACACATTCTCCAGTTCGCAACTGGTGCAGAAGAAGAACCGGTTCTTGGGTTTTCCATTCACCCCTCCATTGTTTTTGTTGATGCAGAAAATGGTTTTGTTCCTACAGCCAACACATGCATTAATTCCCTTAAGCTTGTGAGGCCCACAATAAGTAAACCCTTACCATCTGAGTATGCTCTTTTCAAAGTTTTTGATTATGCATTTCTAAACTCATATTTTGGTAACATGTAAATGAAAATAATGATATAATGGGATACAGAGGCAATTTTACGTCATGAAGTAGCACGTTGGGTTAATGAAAGCCATACATCTTTTTTATGCTCAGTTGTCCATCGGACATTATTATCTTTGTTGTGAATTTCATTTCCTTTGCTGTTAGGCATAATGGCTTTTAACAAAGGAAAATAAAATTTCAATAAAAAAATAGGACATTATAACTTTACTGGAAGCTAAAACCAGTGGTTTCTTACATGTCAAACCCTCAACCATTTTGTGTGATGTGCTCTTTACCATTTTTCTTAATTGTGTTCTTTGTAAGAAAGGTTTTGAGAAGCCGTGGAAAGCATTTCCATTTATTTAAAGATTGGTTGAAATGAGGGGGAACAAAACAAGATCGATAATATGGACTGACTGATTTGTTTGTGATGTTATTGTTCTTGTGTAGATCGAAATAGAAATTACATCACCATTTCATAACATAAATATAGTTCCTTGCAACACTATTCTATTAGAGTTTTATTATTTACCTGCACGACTAAGGTTTGGCATTTACGGTTAAACGTTTAAGTTTTAATAAAGGCAACTTTCTTGACTACGGTAAACAAATTTTGATTTATTTTGTCACCCACATCGTGGGACAGTATCATATACGTTGGGGTAAATAACGTTCTTAACAATGTCCATAGCTTACATAGGAAGAGTAATTTCAACCGTAACGCGAAACGCTGATAAAAACTGAGAACTATCTATATACAATTGTCTTCAACCGAGAAACTTAAAGTGCATTTTATGATTTACAATGATAGACAGGTATTCCAATAACACACACACACACACACACCCACCCTAAACTAACTTGGCACTACTCAATGAATCTGATGAAGTACCTGATAAGGCAATGGTTGTCATATAATCTGTTTTTACATGCACGGTCACATAAAAATTGAATAGGGGTAATGATAGTTACTTCAGGCGTTTGCCAAGCACTTTTTGCTAGTAATGCAAACCTGTGTCATTTTTATGATTTTCCTTACCCGCTAACCCTAGCACAGTCTCCTCCCCAGCTTTTTAGCATGAAATGGCTAAGGCTACATTTTGGTCCTCTTATGTGCTTTGTACTCGCAAATCATCTGCCATTTGCATCTAAATTCTCAATAATGTCCAGCACCGTTAAATATACATCTATCCCATAATTTGAAGATGTCCAATTTGAAGGGACTTGGTTACGTAAAATCTCAAAACATTGCTCACTCAAAGCACCTGGGACCTCAAATATTGGGCGTCTATCCTCAACTCTCTCTTCGTCCAACACTCCCTCAGCACCATAAGATTGGAGCTCAGCACTTGACAGCTCAATGCCCACCGGATTTTGTAGCTGGCCAGAAACCCAAAGGCGAATCGGAGAAGATTTTACGGTTCTCATGCGATGTCTGGACCATGCATTTCTCCACAACTCTAGTTTTTCATTAATCTTCGGTAGGTATACATAGTGGAGTGCAGCAATATGAAGGGTGTTAAATGGGTCTAGCATCCCTTCGTCTTCAAGAAAGTAAAACAATTGATAATACATGCTTAGAACCCCCTCATAAACATCCCTCCACAGTCTTTCGATTCTCTGGTTGTGTGTGCTTTTGCCAGTGATCATGCTGCCCCTATTTATACCCCTTCTCGTTAACATGTAATCAGCTACTAACACGTTTTCCCCTCCTTTATCTGACCTCACTCTGCTTGGGAGGCCGTAGTTTTCCACACCTTTCAAAAAACATTCAAGCACAGTCTCAGCCTTGTTATTGTTTCTGCATTCTAGTGCTACTGGCAGACGACTAAATCCATCAATCGCACCAAAAACTACAAAGTACCACCGCACCAACTTGTGATTCGTGTCTATATGCCAAAGGTGATTAGGTCCCTGTACATCGTAGACGCGTCTATGCAGGCGCCCTTTTTTCCTAGCCTTTACTCCATCTCCGTTCACTCGGTGCAAACTATCTCTAATACGCATCCTTTGCACTATAATCCCTTTCTCGATCAGGAATTGCTTGATTAAACTTTCTCCGCAGTATGGAAAATCCTCAGTAATGTTTTCAATATGCTGATCTAGTTCCAAATCTGAAATGTCTGTGAAATCTGACCTGCTTAGTCCAAAGAGACTCATCCTGCGGTAAATAGTACTTTCAGAAACAGACAAAATAGTAGAAATTTCTTTGATAGTGAAACCTTCCCCTAATAGATTCTCAAGAACACACTTAGGAATGGAGAATGATGGTGCTCCACAAGTTGCTTTGACTTTCCTTGGTGCTTCTCCTCCAAACGTTGCACACTCGATTCTGAGAGCCATCATGTCTCTTCGAGAGGTTAACCCTAGACTTTCTAGCTCTTGTACTGAGAGTTTACAAACAAGATCGGGTGTTATTTTTTCCTGCTGAAATTTCTCTTCTAGATATCCCAGATTCACTTTCTTTAACACAGATGACATCATGGAAACGGCCATTATGAAAAAAAACTCACGTATTTGAGACAGATTCAAAAATGGCGCGGGATCAAAGGAAACGAGGGAGCTTGGAAACTAACATTCCTGCGATGAATTGTGGGTATATCATCAGAAGGTTTGCTCATCAAACTTTTTGTACTGCTCATAACATTGCTGCTGGAGGTCAATGCTGCGTTAAGGTCCACAAGCAGTCAACCGTAGTGAACTTAATGCCAAACGATAAGAAAATGAACCACATATAACGAAGTTTTGACAACACATAGTAAAACGTGCACTGTACATATCGACAAAAGCACGCGATATAATGAAAAATACACTGCGTATATCACAGTAGGCACACAATATATTTGTTAATGGACTCCGTATATAAGGAAAATATGTCAATATATTCATTGATGGACCGCTCATAAAGGTATGAGTACTAGATATAATGGTGTCCCGAATGCATATAATACTCATCGGAAGACATGTGACAGTGTTGGCGTTCCATAGTTAAACCCATAGAAAGTGTGAATGCCTGATTTCATACCGTGGGAGCCTGGCACTAGTTATCGGTTTTGCCGGACGGAAGTGCACTTTAGTTTGATGGGGTAGAGATGGCGACTTACACGAAAACTTGGCATTGGAATTGTGCCAGTTCTTTGTGTACGAATAATTACAGAACTAAAGGAATAACGTACTACACTTTGCCCAGCGATCCTGAGCTTCGAAAAGGATGTAGGAAAGTTCTTATGAACGAAAATATTAACTGGAGAAAACATGTTATATGCAGCGCTCACTGGAGCGCGGGGAAACGAGAGAACAAGAATCAATTGCCAGACATAATTTGTACAAAAGAATATGCTGCTAATCTGGAAAAAGAGTACTCCCAAAAACCATCTAGGGAATTGAAAAGGAAAATTGACTGTACAAAAACGGTTCTTACTTCGTCGAATGCCAGTACCGTGAGGAGTACTCCAAGGAAACCCCCGAAAGACAGGAGTGAAACTCCCGTACCGCGTGTTAAAAAGTGACGGGTTTCACCTGCGAACGCAGAAAAAGAAAATCAGAAGCTTAAAAGTCAAGTGGAAAGTTTGACGAGAGAACTAAATGGAAAAAGGGCTTTGATTGAAGATTTACAGCAACAGCTGTCAAAGACTCAAACAGAACTTGAAAAAAATGCTGCGAACAACAGTCAGCAACTCAATGCAATGAAGAAAGCACTCGAAGGCCAAACTTTTAGTTATGAAGCACTCATGAGATACCCAGATACAATTTACTATATGACAGGATTATCACTTTCCGAATTAGATTGTCTATATGAATGTTTGGAGCCTTTCTTGCACACAATTGTTTGTCCTGATTGTAACAATGACGACTCGTCCCATCTTAGAAAGCTGGACACAAAGACAGAACTTATCAGTTTCTTGACAGTTTGTAGACATGCATTGGACCTTGGTGTTATTGCATGGATGACTGGTTTAAGTATATTAACTATGAGTAGAATTTTTGTAGGATGGTGTGTATTCCTGAGCACCATTTTTGAGTCTATTGACCTGACCCCATTACCCGAATTTTTGAATGACTATATGCCAAAATGTTTTATGGAGTCAGGATATGGTGATACTGCTCTCATAGGGGATGCAACTGAAATCTGGATCTCCCAATTATATTAATAATATTACATTCTCGAACTACAAGAACCACACTACAGGAAAGATATGTTTGTGGACCCATCCTCCTGGTTTTTTACTCAAATGTACCGATGCATTTTCTGGCAGCATTAGTGATGCTGACATAACAGAGCAATCATGTGTGCTAGATACAGTCACAAAAGGGAAGACAGTTATGACTGACAAGGGCTTTAATATCACAGATATTTGTCATGAGAAAGGCCTTTTACAGAATAGACCTCCAATGAAATTTTCTCATCAATTTGATGAGACTGAGGTAGTAAAGAACTTTGACATTGCAACATTGAGGATCTACATTGAAAACTACATAAGAAGAATCAGAGATTGGCAAATTCTAAGCAAAACTTGGCCAAGCTTAAGAATTGATTTACTTGGTTGCTGTTTCCAAATATTTGCACATATTGTTAATACGTTAAAAAAACCAGTTGGACCAAAATAAAACAACTACAACTAGTGCCAAAAAACTCTGTTGATATTACATGACTATGTTTTAACAAAGACTACCCTCTTTATATGCTTTGTCATTTGGTTTACCCACTTACGGAATTGACGTAATGTGTCAAAGCTAGGAACATTATTTAATAAGTTCTGTCCAAGTTCCGAGAGATGGTTATTTTCTTCATAATCCCACTTACTTATAATTTTGTGATGTAAAATATGATCAGTTATTTCTTTTAAGACATCTATAAGCAGGTCATTTCTGGGTATGAAAAATATATTTGAACTTTTCTTTTCAGGGGGATAAGGTTGCAAAAATACAAGATTTGCTCCTGCACAAGACATCTGAAAATTTGCTTGAATAATATGTGAGCCCGTGATTTTGTCTAATGGGGCTTCAGAGTTTTCTGCTCTTGTCTTGACCTCAACGAGAAATGCTTCTGAAATACCATCAGGACTTGCTCCATAGTTTGTGTCTGATGGATGTCTGAAAAACCCACAACTTGAGACTGGGACACCTGTAGGAAAAAATAGAAATCAATACATGATTACTCAAACTTACATTAATTTTTGTGCTTACATTTATGTTCACGTAGGTGTATTCCTATTTGATTATGTTATGGACATGATTAACTGCATGATATGCTGGTAATATACTTATTTGCTAAATTTCAGAGTATTGTGTTACTCTTAATATTTTCGAATAAACTGACTTACCACAGAGTTTCTGAAAGTGCTCTAAAGCTTCTTTTTCATAGTAGTTTCCTCTTTGAAAGTTTCTGTATTGCTTTGGTTTACATTTACTTTCATCTATCTTGTTTAGAATATAAAACCATGATGAATCAAACTCTTTGTTTCCATGAAAACCCAGGAGTGATGGTAGTTTACTTGCTGTTGTTACCCCCGTCCTCAGGTTAAGCCAATCAGAAGTGCCTTGTTGAACATCAATGTATCTTGCACTTGTAGTTAGTCTGACTTCTTTAAGCTGAGGGACCTTAACAGTTATAATCTCATCTTTAGAGTTTGTAAGCAATTCTAACAACTATTGAGTTTTATCTGCACAAAATATTTGCTCTTGACATTCTGAAGTAGGCTGTCCCACTGTGCAACTATCTTGGTTGAAGTTGTTAGAATTTGCTATCAATGAAGAGTGCCATTTATCCTCACACCCAGAAGGTGTTTTGGAGTTTTGTTCCAGGTTTGCTGGAGGATTTAGTTTTGTGTAGTCATGTTCATTTTGTATAACTCTGTTCAGATAAGCATTTTTGTAAGACAAATGGTGATACAATCCTGAGTGTCTTATTTTAAATTTCTCTAGAGTTTTAAGAAAATGATTTGATAAATTGATTCTGCATTTAGACAGGCCATCTACTACTTGAGAGCTCGTGGAGGACATATCTCGTTTCAGCCAGTCACTGTTTTCATCACTTACATCTCTAGCTACAACTTTCTTCTTTGTTCTTTGATTTACATGTCTTGCTGATTTGGCATTTCTAAAATATTTGAGTCTGATATGATCAGCAGCCTTCAAGTTAGCTTTTACCTCTTTCCCTTTCTTTAAATTTGGTCGATGCCACTTTTGAAGCTTCTCTGTGCAGGTCAAAGACAAAAACAGCTTTTTATGGGTTGTGAAGTGTTCTAACTGTAGCAGTATAACGATAACATGACAACAGAGACCACACTTTCCGACAGCACATTCGCAAAAACCTTTCTTGGGAACATTGTCAATGAACAAGACAGTTGCAGTTCGTGTAACTTCAGAAGAAAAGCTTTTCAATATGCTTGACCTGACAAATAACTGGCTACCATTTTTGAAAACCCTGATGGTTTTCATTCGTCTTGAAGAAAACATTCGATGAGCTTTGCGAAATTGTCCTATCATTCCCTGTCGTTTATTAGACTGATATGTCTTGATAACGTCTTTTGAAATCTTGGGAAAGAGAGAAGTATTGCATTTCCATCCAGCTGTTGGTGGTGGGATCTCCTGTCTCGATAGGGCTGTCGTAAAGCTGTACTTCACAGAGATGTTCTTCACTCTGTTGTCGAGCAAAGCCGGGTCATCTTTAAATGGTAGCAATCTTTGTAACAATTCACTTTTAGTCCCGGAAGCTTAAAGTTTAAGACTATTACAAAGTTCTCCCAAGTTTTTGGTGTTGAGTGATTCAAGGCAATCATCATTTATGACTTTTTTTACTGCTGCAAAAGCCATTGTGGGCGAGTCTTCTTTCACATTTCCCGCCATCTTTTTTCACTTCCGTCCGGCAAAACTGATAACTAGTGCCAGGCTCCCACGGTATGAAATCAGGCAATTGCTTAAATTTTTATCCCCTAAAAATTTTTCGTCTGTTCAGATTTCCTAGCTGAAAGTCTAGTGATCCGAAAATTATAGGGATCAAAACTTACCTTTTCGACAATTTCAGCCAGAAAAAAGGATCCCGCAAATTCTAGGTGACCTTTTTAGGGTAAAAATCGGTTAAAAATGGGCAATTATACCATTTTGTAGATGTTCGGAAATCGTAGGAGAGGCAGGCAAGCAAAAAAAGTTCCGGAAATTCTAGATCTCAAATCGTCTTCCGAAGAGATATTTTCCGAAAATTGACGTAGGGTGCCCCTGAATAATCGTGGCTTCTACACCCACGTTTAAATATAGAGAAGAACGTTTTGTTGGGGGGAGTATCGGGTGAATACAGGGCCAACGAAGACCAAAGAAGAATTATATTTCCATAAAAATGTTGTAGCTGAAATTGATTCTAGGATCTAACTCCTTTTGATATGGTACAGATGCTGTCAGGATACCAGACTAGGCTTCTATGACAAAGCACAGCATTTCTTGTCATCTACTTGGTTGAATTTGCTTTTCAGCGCTGTTACGTTTCTATCAAGTATCAGGGTTTTTACACTGATACAGTGATAAGATACAAAATGGAAATCACAATTGTTGCTATTATTTTTGCAGAGCTTATCAAGTTCTCCATAACGGCCTCATAAATTAAGCAATTCCTCTTTTACGTATTTTTAGTAAAAAGAATTGAAATTTAAATTAGAATACTTTTTCAGATTTTAGGTTCAGGTTTCAATTTCTTGCTTAAGCTTTTTAAATTTGTAACTGAAATATGACGTTACAAATTGATCCAAATTTTTGATTTATTATCACTGGATCACGGTCGCTTTAAAATATTGAATGTGAATAAGGTAAACTTATAAGTGATGAATGAGACTTCAATAAACCTACAACCTTAGTTAAATACCCCCCCATAACTAGCAAAGCTCATAGCTCGTCAAATCTACTGTATCCTAAATTGGTTAAATGTTTTATTTCTTGATATTAATGGTCGTTAAATCTTAGAAAGTCTTCAATCATTGCTCGACTCTTTTGTTGCTCGAAGAATACGCAACTATGCACGGACTCGCTGCCAAAGGTAAGTGATTTAAAAAATTTTTCGCCAACTCTCGGTTTTGTTCGTTTGATCTTCGGGTGACGTCGGGTTCGGTTGTCGTAAGTTAAGTTTCCGCCACACAAATTGACGCAGAATGATTTGTTGCAAACTTCTGAACTATTAATTAAAAAAGCTGCCAAAAAACTAATATGTCATTACCCACTTAAGAGTGCATATCAATGCGATATGAAACAAAGCAATCAAACCGAAAATAGCGGAGTTGAGAATTCATGACGTCAAGACTGACGAAATAACCACCTACGTGTATTATCAAGACTCCTCGAGAGAAACATAAAGTGACGATTCCCGCGATGTGGTTGTCATAATAGTTTTACTTCAGAGAGAGCAAAACAGAGAATTGTTTTCTTTTCCAGCGGCTAGGGAATATATGCATCTATTTATTCAGAATAATTGAAAAGGTATGTACATAAATTCATTAGGCCGTGAAAGCTAGTTAAAACTCACATTATATCGTTTAAACAAAAATATTTAGAGATGGTGTATGGCTTTTCAAAATTGCGTGGTGTTATAACACTGTCCTGGCATATCTCAACAGTGTGTTTCTCAGGTGTTGTCGCGTGCATGAGGGTGAACTTTAAACAAAGTTAAACTCAGTATTCAGAATCTGTCATTTCACGGGTGACGGCAAAACAGCTTTGTTAATGTTAGCTACTTTTATCACTACGTTTAACGTTGAAGGTTAGTTGCCACTGCGGGTTATGGTTTATATGTATCATGTAAGTGGCAGCATGCGCCATTTTTTTCATGGTGTTTTATCTCAGAAAAAGACTACTCAGTCAAAAGTTCAGTGAAACTGACAGACTGTGAGTCAATTTAGCTTTTGGCTCGTTACCTCGACAAAAAAAAGAACATAAAATATCATGTTATTTATATTAGATTAACTATTTAGATGAAATGCCTCGCACTTACTTTAACACAGTCGGTGTTTGACTTTAGACAAGAGAATATAACGTATTCTATAGGTTACGCCGGAGTATGGTGACAGAAACTAAATTGACACGCAAGAGTAAATTCACGTTGTTCAAGTCATGCGACCGACTAGATGATATATTTGGGCGTGATTTCAGCCATTCCATTGCAGTTACCAATGGTTTATTTCCTCATATACCAAAATAACAGGTTCCTTTTGCAGTTCAAATTTTCGGTGTTCCGCAGCTTTAACGGTCTGCTCACTTGTGCATGGCGCCGGTACTCACGGAACATTTAACTCACGCAATAGTCTTAGTTTGATGAGTCACTTAGACTTCCTGTGTATGGGCTTTTTTCTTTAAGAAAAAAATCTAAGTTTCAGACATCCCAGCAACAACTGACGAGTTTTATGGTTCAAGTATTGAGGACAGTCATCGTAAGTGAACTCAGTTTACACAACCTAAAAGCTTGATTAGTTTTAAAGTCTATACATTTCACTATTACGTCGACGGGCATAAAAAAAAACTCGAAGAACAGAAACCAACAAAAATTGATTTTATGATCGAAAAGATCCGAATTATTGAATAATTTTTTTAGCTCTTTCATTGATTAAGCTACAACAAGATCATTGGAGGACCTTAGGCCTATAATTAAGAACAAAAATGAGTACGGCTTAGTAGTCGTTTTTATTGAACTTTATTGTACCGGTGACGCTTTAATGATTTTGTTCACATGCAATGGACGCAAAAGTTTCAATATTTGGTGATTTTATAGTTTATGACTGGCCTGTCGAAAAAAAAAACAAATTCTCTTCAAATATCGGGAAGTAAACAATCTAGGATAGTGGCTTTTTAAAGTACTCAACTCTACAAAACTTAAAGTATATAAACTTCCAAGGTTTAAGCAAAATGACGAAGGAATATTCTTACAAGGAAAACCGCAGCGGAAGTGTCCCTTAGCATGTGACAAAGTTGCCTTGGAAACTAAACTTCTTTCAGAAAGTTTATTAGTGAACATTACAAGAAGAAAGAACCGACAAACGTTCCAGAAACCGAAGGAGTTTTCAATAAGAAACTGTGGTTCCAAGCACGGTTGCTGCGCACAATAACTCGTGCACGTTCACGACCCGCTGAACTAATTTCTATTTCTTTTTTTGTTCCTTTCGTTATTAAAAGCCATAAAATTGCGCAACATACTGCTGAAATTAATTCAGTTAAATATCAGCTTTTTGTGAGTTTTTTTCATGGCAGCCGTTTAACCTCATCAGAGGAATATGCTTTCCTTTTTGTCCCTTAAACAATACGGCTGAGTACTTACTGTACTAATTATAGTCAGTTCTGAGTGGGGTAAAACTACTTGCGTAAAACAAAGAAAATTATCATTTTGCATAAAGTTTCTGTTTTGTTCTGTTTAAAGACATGGACTCTCGTGGACTGAAACGTACTTTACTCAATTTAGATTTTTGCCATCCGATGGGCACAATTAGATTCACCACGTTTTAACAAAAATAAATGTACTATTCGCAGAAACTCCCGCCCATCGGCACTGGAAACCCTGACAGATGTCTCGACTCACGCCTTTAATGAAATGGGTGAGTCATTCTTAGAAGGTAACCAATTTCCGCATCATATAGTGAGATTCAATACAAATTTATGACTGCTTCTGTGGCGAAAATCTTGATTCCTGCCGTCAAAAATCGGAGAACCGCTTTCTAGTGCAAAAAAGAGTAAGTGCTGCAAATTGCATTACTTTCTACTGAAATACCAAGAAAAAGTTTGGGTCGGGTTTTTTTCTAATTCCACAGGTTCGCTGGTCCCAAAAGTGAGATTTTAGTACACACTTCGTTGAATTTGACATCGAGACCCATCTTGCATACGTCAGTATTTTTTTCCTCTACGATTTGCGACGGAGCGATATAGCACTCGGTCAGTTTTTAAGATATCCCAAGCCAAACGATGCAATCATGTAACCTATTATACAAAATTGATTCTTACGTAAGTTGATGAAATTCTTAAGTTAAATTTGATCATTCAAATAAGATGTAAGCTTACAACGTTTTTAATTATACTTCGCTTTAAAAAGAGGCTAATATTGAACTTTTACTAAAGGCACTTAAATATCAAGGATTCAAATGAATATCTAACATAACTTCAAGCGTTTTCTATTAATGGAGTATTTCTAATTTCTAATTAGTTATTACAAACCTTGTTTTGTTTTGTCCTTCTATAACTTTTCCTCTCAAAAGTTTTGAGCATTCCTGCTACCTAACATAAGACACTATTCTACCATTTTTTGGAGGGGGGGTGAGGGAAAGATTCCAGTGCATGCTTAGGGTCGGTTGTTAAGTGTTTTGAGTTTTCACCAGCTGAGGAGTACTTTCGTTCCAAAAGTTTATTCAACTTAGCTCGACCAGGGGGTAACTTTCCCTGAAGAAAAAATAACTTTCACGGAAGGAAGATTCTGCTTTCGATTTCCTTGACTAAACCAAAGATGCAATAAGGAAACAAGTGTCAATTTGCAAACCATTCAGAACAAAACCAAACGGAACTTTCACTCATAACAACGCGATGAAGATTAAATCAAAGCGTTGCTTGACAGTAGAATCTTCACGTAACTAGGAAAAAAGCTAATGAATGTACACTAAGCAAGTAACAACATACGCAAAATACTCCGATATGAACAAAATAACCGACAGGAAACAAATTCAGTCCATTGGAACATAAAGGACTAGAAGATCTTTTAATTCCTCTTTCGGTTGTGTACGCGTGGATGATACCCCTATAAGAGAATTATTTTTTCAATGATATCGGAAGAAAATACACACTTAGTAAACGTAACAACATTCAGACTTGCGAAGATTTTATGAGAGGGTAAAAACTACATTACTTAATTAAAAAAGGAGTTGCAAAGTTTTTACGATATACAGTGGGCGTGATTTACCAAGTACTCAACACTCGAAGGTGTGGTAAGTGGATGCAAAGTACAAGTGTAGGTTGAAACGAATAGACGAAAGTACTTGATACTATAGTGTCATAAGGACTCAACATAAATACAAACTAGTGCATACACGCAAGGGTACAAAGTTTAATTTAAATGCCTGCCTCTGCTGATAAACTAAAACCTATGCCTTTGTTGATTCCTATTTTAAAGTAACATTTTCTTCGGTAATCAGCTTTAGTTCTACGTTAATTTTATCGATATAACTCTGGGAATAATTTTAATATTGAGGCTCAGTTTGTAGATTTGCTATATGGTTTGAGATTGTTTACAATGATTTGAGACTCAAAATAATGTCTCTGATACTTCATCACAGACCCGAATACTCTGCTTAGTAAGATTTGAATGCGCAGTCGCACTTGTCCCTGTTTTACTCACACTATATTGTTTTACACGATTATTCACTTGTTTGATCACTCGTCAAGTTGACCAATAAGAAAGCCGGTAAAGAACTGCCCAGATGTGAAATTTCGTCTTGCATTCTGTTGACTATAATATGCAGTTTTCAGCCGAGGTGACGTACATACCTTGATGCTTATCATCGTTTTCAAAACAAAAACAGGTCAAAAAACTAATCAGTTCCAGTGACCTACTTTATCAGTCATTTTCTATTGGAAGGTTGTTCCGACTGGATAGCAAGATCAATGAAGCCTAGTACATGTGAATGTGGGTGAACAGAGCAATAGACAAATCAGTCAGCCGTAAATCGAGCTGGCAGAAGTTATAGGAAAACTCTCTGTGTCCAAATACACGAAATGGGTGGGTGGATAAGAATTTCGTTTCAGCTCAGTGCTGCGTCGTTGCTTATGCAGGCTTTTGTCGAAAATGCTTAGAAGCCAAGATTCCGCGTTGTTTGTAGATCAGATCAATGAGTCAATTTATCACCAAGTTTACTTTTTAAATAGTTTGAGTGATCACTGAATAGTATCTCTGCCTTCTTATTGGCTAATTACAAGAGATTACCACTTGTTACCCTCCATTTTGTAATTGATTTTGCTACTTTCATTTGCATTGCGTGCATTGTAAAACAGACAGGTTAAGGGTTCTAGATCCGTCAGTTGAGAGTGTTGTGAAGCCGCAAAAAAACACGATGACTTTGGGAAATGATATGGACCTGTCAGCCGGTTATCTTTTATAACGATGATCGGAAAGTTTGTTGAGATACCATTGATACAGTTAGCACAGCATAATGCTCTACAGGAAAGTACTTGCAAACTGGATTAGGCGCGATTTATCAACATTTAATCTTTCTAATTGAGCTGCGAGCTAGCCAATCTTTGTCATAGTTACATGATTAAGACTCCACTCAATCCCAGTGAAATTTCGTTTTATCATCATTCGAGATTGATAAGAGGGTGGAGATTCATACGGCAAAACATTCAAAGACGTTACTCCCGAACAAAAAGTTCCTAAGAGTGAGAGCGTGCGTGTGGCAAGGTTTTACACCGCTGGAGATCTGCATTCCAGGACTTAATCCTTCCATAACGGCACGATCCTAACTCTGCTGTAAACTGCGTTCAATTCCAAACTATTTAAGCATACTTCTTCAATGAACCTTCTCAAATTATTATGCTATACTTCTTTACTTTTCTACACCTTCAGAATTTGCCCGTACAAAAAAAGAAACGGTCACGCGCCAGTACTTTCATAGAAAATGAACATTTCTAAGGATAATTTCTTGCCATTTGTTCAATGACAGCTCCTTTTGTTCCATTGTCATTAAGGTATTTTTCAATCAATAGATCAGACCTGGATATTTAAGCAATTGTCACCGAGGTTATTATATTTTGCTTTTTTCTACCTGCTTCCGTCATAACAATTCAAAGACATATTGGACTAACTAGGCCAAACCGGTCCAGTAGAGAGTCTAAACTAAACGACGCAACTTATACAGTTTCTGTAAACACCGAGATACAAGTAAGCAGCTATAGTTATAGCAGAGGTGACTGATTAACTCACAATGTTTTTTTCTACCTGTGTCGGTATTAAAGACACTGGGTTCCAGTGCCCCTAAGCCTTTTTTTATTAACAGTGTTTGCTCTCTTTTAAGTAAACAGAGAAGAGAACAGCAGTTTTAGAGCACCAATGCCTTCAGCGATGGATAATCAGATGTCTTCACCCAAGTTTATAACTTGTCCAGACTGCGGAGAAAGATACGACAACGGGCAAAAACGAAGGCTTATCGATACTTGTGGACACCCGAGATGTTATTCTTGTCTGTTCGTGGACAAGCCTTGTCCTTTGTGCCAAAGTAAGTATTGTGTGTAAACAGTTTGAATCTAAACCGAGTTAATGCTTTTGTGAATAAACGGAAGATGGATTACTTTCAGTCAAGTTTAGTTTTCGAGACAAGTCCTCTTAAAAACCGCTAGACATGGAGCCTTGGAGACTGTGGGCTGTACTTTGCTTTGTTTAAAGGTGTTATGTGTTATGTGCCATGTAATTGCTATAGTAGTTTGTAGGTGAAAGTAAAATAAGCTCAAACCTTTCGATACACATTTTTATTACTGAAGCTGCCTCCACAGTTCACATAGGTGGAAGTGATAAGGTGCAGTCTGCAGCTAAATCAAGGGGGATATTACTTCAGTTCTCGTGCGTGGAACTGACACACATCACTAAAGCTGATTCCATAAATATACATCGTTGACAATGGTCTATAAGACTTAGATTTCAGAATTAAGAATTTTAATACTTAAGCTTCCTACAAAATCAACTTTACGTTTGTACAAAGAAACATACAGTCACAAAATGTGGACGAAACTCAAGAGACCATTAATGGTCCATCCTTGGGAACAAACCAGTCTCAGAGAAAATGTGAATGAAAGGGCTAAAAGATTTTGTCACATGTTTCACATTCCAGATTTGTTATTTCGTCGTTAGCAGGCTTTGATATTGTTTTGTCAAACTCTTCTGTGATAAAACATTGCCAGTATGACGCGAGAAATACATGCTTAGTGTTTTGACGCTAATTAAACGGAATGTGGCTTTTCACAAACTTTACGTGACATGTAGAGTTGATAGTGTTAAGGTTCGCAGCGCATAAATTGTTCTGCAGCACAAGACCAAACCCAACAATAAAGAGAAAATGAGAGGAACCGCAAGAAAACACACTTGTATCTAGACATGATATACTCAAGCTAGCGGCCAAAAAGGCCGTGACCAAGTTTGAAGGAAAAAACCGATGCTGGAGATGTTCTGACCAAAAATTTGGCATCGCAAACATGTAATTCTGTGGTAGAAACATAGTACCACTACGGTTATTCCGGCTTTTTCTAAACAGTAGGAGACTAACTGAATATTTCGTCGTGAAGACGAGTGACTAACAAGCGGGTGCATGCGTGAGCGATAGTCTTTCATTTAAAAACTTGAGTTCGTGTTGCAGATTGGTATAACTGTTTTAACCTTCCAATTCGCTGAGAAATTTATCTTGATTTATTCAATGTTTCCTTTAAACTCTCCGCTGTGCAAGGAAATACTTAATGCTGAACAAACATTTCGAAACTTTTAGAAACTAAAGAAGTTTGTCACGCAATAACTGAATATTAATAGAAAAAAACTTTAACTTTTAGAAGTTTCTTAAAACTTCCGGCTAGTTACAGAGCTATATCTCACATATTTTAGAACTGTAATACAGAAAATACTTCCTAACCAGCAATATGAAGACACGCGCAAATTGTAACCGCAGAGATTTGTAAACAGAGCATTCTGCTTCCTTAGTCAAACAATTGTTAGAGACACAAGAAAAACAGTCTCATGTGTACAGTAAGTATCAACGCCTCAAAACAGTCCTCGAGCCATGCTGTAATATCTGGAACAAAAATCGCAAATGTTAACAAAATCGCGTAACTATATACTTGAAAACCAGCTTTCTTGGAAGAAGATGTTTCCGTAAGGAATTATCTGTAACCGCGAAATGAAAGAAATGGGGGAAAAATAATATATGTTCCGCTGTGTACGAAACCGACGAAATCGAGTGGTTAGTATTTCTTACAATTACTGTCGGTCATTATTAGTCATGGCACTTTTTTAAAATGGAATTTATAAATACAAATTACAAAGATAGCATCACGTTTCAACAAAAAAGCAAGAATCATCGCAGCAGGCGTTCTTTTGAATAAGTGTTAATCAGTTGTAGGCTCGTGCAGTTGAGCTGCTCGTGATTTAGGATCTCTACAATAGTGCCGCCACCCGTGAAGGTTTAGCCCAGTGGTCGCTTGATTGACTATAAAGCTGCACTCATTTCTTCGAGAATACTACAATTATAACACCCACGAAAGACACGCGTTTAAAGAGGATTAGGGATTAGGTTAGTCCAACTCCCTGCTTGGATTTCTTTGAATTTGTTCGTGTGTTTCGTAACTCTACACGAACTATGATCAATGTGTAACTCACTCCCTTCCTTTGTCTTCCGTTTTCTCGGGTTTAATTTTTACAGCTGGGTTTCTCTACTTTGGAGCAAGACTCATATGTGGGTGGAATAACTTCTGCTAGCAATCTATTGAAGGTTATACAGCTTATGCTAACGTGGGAACAACTGACTACAACATGCTTAAGACAACACTGAAAAAAGTAGCCTCTTATCCTAAAGAGAGTATATTACTCAGCATTTTTGTATAGTCTTTTCTATCGACTGAACACAGTCTCGATTAATAACCTCTTAGCGCGGTCTAAGCTATGCCCTATTAAAAAGTTAACTGCACAACAGCACCAAATCAAAACGCATAGTTTTGCAGCTATTTGTTCATAGGCAGTGGTGTCATGAGACTCTTGCAGGCCAGTTAGCTAGTAGATTTTTTCGGTCTGACAAGGCCTTATACCTGAGTACTCTGTCATGAGAACACAGTCCGCAGAAAAGAAAAGACAATATTTAAGTTATGTGTTTTTTGCTTTGTTTTGTTTTGCTTTTTGACTCTTTCTATGCGGTGATCACTTTTCAGGCAATGAAGGAAACAACAAAAGTTCCATTAATCCGGTCGCTAAAACTGTTCCGCAGTTCTCTCTTATGCTACTTGTTTTTACTTTTTTTATTTACCAATTTTATTTTTAGGAGCATTCTCAGCATTTTCTTTAGCATTCCTGGAATGTTTTTTCATTTACATTTTGGATATCTCCTCTTTATTTTTTCATAAAACAATGCCTAATGGCCTCTTTCAAGCTATAGCTTTTTTGTCTCAAGATTCTCCAAAGTAAACTAAGTGAAAGTTAATGCTTTACCTTGAATATTAGCAAACATGGGAAAACGCAAGTAATGCGCTCGTTTTAGATCAAGAATAATACGACATGCATGCAACATCTAACGCTTTTTTTCTTATGACTGATTAATGTTGTTTTTCTCTTTTAAAAACAGAGATTCCACAAGACCCCAGATCTCGTTCCGGTTCTTTGCGAAATGACATCTCTGGTGGTTCGGATGAATCTCTCAACAATTTGGGAAATACACTGACATCCGGGGCCCTGTCGAAAGACCAAACTTCTCTCTCGCACCCAGACCTCAGCGAGATTCAAAAGACCCGAGCGCTGACCTTACCTGCTCGTGGATTCAGAACAGGTAATTAAAGCTCATATCCGGCTATTGGGCAAGCGGTCGACCCCCACAAAGTTACTAGAACTCGCTCGCAAGCTAGTGGCCGACCCCACTAAGTTACTAGAACTCGCTCACAAACTATGAACAGTGATGAAGAAACATCCCTGTAGATATTATCGGTTATTGCATCAAAACATGGATTGAGTGACGTGTTATTATAAAGGCTTTGTATCCCTCCATTAAAAATATATACTACACCCTCAATTTCATAACGTCCGTGAGTATAGATTATCACCTTAAACACTTGAGGTAGGTACAAAGGCTTTATGAGAGGAAACCCACAAGCAAACAATCCACCTCGCAAAGAACTTTCGGCTTAAATCTGCTTTATTGATACGAAAAAAGGTGGCTCTTTCGTTTGTACATTTAGAGTTCTAAAAAATACAATTGAGAAATTCCCTTCTCAGTTCCTATTTTTTTGTTTAAAATTAGTTTGGCCCTGGTAGAGACTGAGTTGTAGTGACATGGTAAACTATCACTGCGCTGTTTGCACTGATTAAAAGGCGGTAAAACTCTACTTCAAAGCATAAAGACTGAACAATAACAAGACAAAAAATAGTAACAAAGGCTATTCTTATCTGAACAAAAAGCGGTTTTCTACAGTCGTTTTATTAAACTGACCTGTTAACTCATTTTTAATGGCATGTTTTGCCAAGAAAGAGTTTGAATTCTTTGGAAAACCTCTCATACTTTCGCCTTATGCTTATAGTTTAGGAGGATGTGATTGATAGATTCGACAATGATCCCAAACAAATCACAGTCTAAAATAAACACAGAATATTTTTCCTGTCCTATCTACTGTGATAAGCCCGCAGGCAATATCAGAATTCTGAAATATTAGAAAATATTTTCACTGCAAACACAACAAAACAGCAACAGACAATAGTTTTGCAATTCTGTGATAAAAGAACTAAGACTTTTTCCTTCCTTAATGTTAGGAATGTAAACGAAACGAGGCGTTTTGATTACTTTAAGAAAAAGTTTGGCATAATTAGAGTTAATTTGTTTAATGAAGTCAAAAGCTGATTTCAATATCTGTTGTTCGTATCGAGGTTAGCTATTACAGCATTGGTCCATTACAACTGCCGGTAGTCTCTAAATAGATCGCTTCACACTTCGGACAACCCGCTGAGTTCCCGCGGAAAGTCTGAGACCTACGCTGCCAATGACGATTAATATCCGAGAGATTTACACTTGAACGCAAAAGTTCTAAATCCGCGCTGGATTTGGAGACGTGACCCGCTTCATTAATCATTTGCCGTTTACTTCTTTCATCGCCAAGTTGTTCTCAGTTCTCGTTGTTTGGAAAAAGGACTGTCTTGGCTTAGAATCACATGCGTATTTGCTGTGGTTACTATGAATCTGAGAACCTTATGAATTGGGGTCAATTATTCTAACAAAAGAGTATTGTGAACGCTTATTCGTGTAAAAGGAGCATTGAATTCGCAGTCATGTTGAAGTTTAAGCGAGTTAAACCAAAGTTTCCAGATCCGAGCAGCAATTTGAGCAACAAACCTCCTCTGATTGCAGCAAGACTAATTCAAGGTTATTCCTCTTTGATTTCTCAGATTTCTATAGTGTGACTGAGTTGAAGGGACTCTGTTATTGAGTTATTGTGAATGTATTGGAATGCTCTCTCTTATATTGAAGTCGCTGATGTTGCTGTGTTATTTTTCTTACAGATAACTATTTCAGATCTCTGTACCGTTACGACCCTCATGCCAATGGTGAGTTTTTGTTATGTTGTAGTTGCTTTTTATGATTATGACGGAAAATATGTTGCCCTTCGCTACTCTGACCTAGATCGTTCGGTTCCGCAAATATCACTTTCAAGAGTGTTACGCAGTGGTAGGTCCTGAAAAAAGGATGATTCATTATGATAATTCCTTTCAATTCAGTAGAGAAATTCGAAAAAGGTTTCTCATATAAATCAAGTGATAAATTAAAGACGCCACATGGTCACGTTAACTGGGTTTTGTCCGAATAGAGACCAATTTACACGGTTGCAGGATGATCACAGGCGATGTGCTTTACGATCACAAGCAAACAACACCAATCGTATCATAAAACTTTCCTCTGGCTAACCCTTGTCGCAGATTTGATTTAATCTATACAATTCGAGTAGATTTTAGGCACTTTGCATACGACAAATTTCCACCCTGTAATCGGCCAGAAGTCGGCGGCATTGAGGGTCAATCTGGGCGCACAAATGCCAGATTTTAGACAAGGGAAAATTTATGCGTGACCAACTGCTGTAAAACGAAAAGGCAAGCCTACGAAGCTTTAACGTCGTAGTTCACATTTTGTCCATATCAGATTATTCCTAATGCAGTCAAACCTTCATGGTTTAACTCCCTTGTTGGTAGTGTACTTTAAAATATTTCGTAAAAGCCCGTGTAGGTGAAATATTAAAACAAAATTGTAGTCTGACTACGTATTCAAAATCTGTTATGATCTCATCTCTCGCTTCCTGTCGGTCACGATTTACTTATTTGACTCATGATCATTCACCAGCTATTTACTATGTACACGGTAGTCACATCACAAGTACATTGTGGGAACTGGGAAGACAGACACAGAGAACAAACTTCAAGAATTCAAAAGTGGCTCATCCCTTTCAAGAGGACGAAATTATTTTTTAGACTTTTTGCATCATCATCCCTTTCAAGAGGACGAAATTATTTTGTAGAGTGTTTGCATCATCATTACTCAATGGTTAATCACAAAAAGACAAATACTAGTCTGATGTTAATCTTGAGCAGTTCCCAGTAAATATCGAACGCGCTATTTTCGTATGGAATCCGCTACTGCCCAGTTAAACTTAGTACATTACAATGAACAAAAAAATGACTGATTTTATTTGTGGCTACTCAATAGTTAAACAATGGTGAAGGTCTAATACAACTTTCTTGTATCACCAGACACAGCAGACGAAAGAGACTCGAAGGACAAACCAAGAAGAGTGCTCAACTATCATAAATCTCTTGAAAACCTCTCTGATGAGTTTTGGAGAAGCGTAGAAAGAGCAGCCAGTCCCCTTGGCCGCGGAAGAAGTAAGTTTCGTGACTCTTGCAGACTTTCGGTTACTCCCTGATGACTGTATTAATTTGCTACAACCATATCCGGATGTGGGCAAAATATTTCAGGCAACAATACCGTGCATGATTATTAAACGTTATCGACGTTTGGCGTCTTTACGTAATGATAAACTTGCATCGCATGTAATGGAAAGTGTTTGCTAATGGTATTTAGCAATTGATTAAAGCTGTAAATAATTACTTCTTTTTGTCGCAATGAACCAACGTTCCCGAAAGCGCGTCATTCTCTTGAAGTGAATGGCCCATGACGCAATTAACGTAAACAAACACGAGTTAAAGAGCATCGACCAATCAGCGACTGCTGTTATGCCAGACTCGGCAGATAAACCTCATTGTTTACACTGATGAATTGAAATTTGTAGTTGCTTTATTATTTTGGAGTTAATTTGCTGTATTAGTATTATCCGGCGCACTGAAAGATCAGGCAAATTTAAAGTAGTCTTATGTACTCAGGCTACATTTCTCTCATGAGAATGAAAAGTTAGTGTTGACTTTGGGTAAGGGGAGGAGGTAACTGGGCAATTTCCTAGAATATTATACTGATATGGAATTTCTATTAATGGTATCAAATTCTAAATAAATATTTTTATATAAAAACGCAAGCGAAAAACGTCAACATTGACGGAAGGAAATAGGTAGTAGATTTAAATGTGTACTGCACCGTAGATGAGGTAAACAGTTAGTGGAGGGTTTTTTCCAAGTGTTTACAATGAGCACGATGATTGGACAGGCACAAATGTTGGGATATAAGTAGCAAGAAGCACTTTGCGACACCTGAAACGTGAAGGAGGCAGTAAAATGTTACCGTTTGATGGTTCATTTTAAGTCAGTACTATTGGGTTATGATCTCATCACGAGGCCAAACATCGTGGAATATTATGCACACATTACCCAGTTCGTGCCTACTTAAAACGAAACCGGCAATATCGTGACGTGCCAAAGAAATGCAATATCTGACTTGAACAGAGAAGTCACGTTCACCTGCAGTTGCTCTGATCAGATACTCATTGTACTGTTAGGATCCTTACCGTGTGTCAAAGACGTAACGTTGTGCCGTTGTGCATAATTTCAGTGTAGTCAGTATAGAAGAGGAGGAACTTTGCAGCCATTTATAGCACTCCCAACAAGTCATTAATAGTTTTTGTTACTATCTCATGGCCTTCTAATTTCTGAGAATTCAACTAGTTTTTTTAGTTCATAATGTTTATTCATCTCTTGATCCACAGTTTCTCCAACAAGATCGGAAGATTCTCCACCTTCATCCACTCTGTCTTCCACAGATGACGTCTCATCCGGAAAGAACAGACTAAGCGTTCCAGTCCAAACGCGGCCACGTGCAGCAACAGAGTCACTACGGGCCGAAGCCTTGCGCAAGTTAGAAATCGCCGAGGGAAGACCACGAGCAAATTCCGAATTCATCTTCTCAAGAAAGTTTCTTGAAGGAGGACTCAACGAAAGGCATGAAGTGTATAATGAAAGGGGAAATTTTACATTACCGAGGAATTTCCACATGCCAGAGTCTGGTGATCGAGGCCGAGCAGCTTCCGACAGGTCATCGGATATTTCTCAACCGTTTTCCGATTCGTGTTCAGAAAGTTCCGGAGATTCCGATCACTTAAGTATTGGTAATCCTCACAGTCCAACTTATCGAGGCATAACCAAGCGAGCTTCATACGACGAGAATCAAAATGAACGATTAAAGATTGCTGAAGAGCGACTATACACTGGACTCATGCGGAGCGAGGAAGGAAGGAAAACTACCAAAAGCCCAGTGGAGAATGTCATAACCTGGGTCATTGAGCCGCCTAAAAAAGAAGAAAGTCATTTTAATAAAGTTCAACAAAAGCACACCAATAGTAAGAGACCAAATCCACCTCAACGAGGAGACAGCAGCCGAAGAGTAAGCATAGAAAGAGCATACGGGAAATCAACTGCTCTTTGATAAGACTGTTTAAAATGGAATAACGGAAGGTGAAAAGTCGAACTTCCCTCCGGGAAGAAACTTATTTGAGGCAAATGTCTCGAGTTTCCACTGAAGCTACGCTATGTTATATTAATATAGTGAGTACAGTAACACAAAGCGCTCTCTGGCCCGTTGTTGACCGGCGGCCTAAGCAGGACTTAACAGAGAGTGCAACAAGACAGTTATATAGCTGATATATGTTCCCTGCAAAAATCTCAGTGAACTCAAAAAGGTGATGTCTTTGCTCATCATGGTCCTTAGTCTCTTGCACTGTTCAGGTCACTTCGAAAATCAGTTGTAGTCAAGTATGATCCGATTTAATTGCGTCTTTAAAAACTTCCCCTTCTTTGGACTAAGTTAAAAAAATAACGATAACTTCAGTAATAAGTTTAAAGTGCTAATAAATAGTGTAAATAAGCTTTTAAGGGTTTTGTTTCCATATGAACGATATGCACAAAGAGCATAGACTACGAACAGTCTCTAGTTTTTCTTAGTCCGTCGAGCGAAGCGCCCAAGACACGCAAATGACCACGCGCGTGACTGAAGGCGCGAGACGAGATAGGCTACCACCCTCGTTTCTCTCGTCTCCTCGATGCTCGCGCGCGCGTGCACTCTGCTCGCCGTCTACAAAGAGCATTGATCTTGTTTTCTTTTTAAGGCACTAAAAGATACTGCTCACTAGCTTTCACCTCGTTCAGCAATTGACAGTACAAAGAAAACTTAAGACTATAAGAAAACTAATTTACGTCTGTACTGTAACAAGTTAAGGCTTGGCATAGCAAGAATTGCAAGAGCTGAACCTTAGCCCAACTTTTGACTAAGAATTTTTAATATCTTGCATTAGTAAATTTGCGATTTTATAAATTATTTACTATGGATACTTTAATAGATTGTATATTGAAAATGAATTGATCTAACAGACACACTGATTTTGCTGCCGACGACAAAGATAAATATTATCGAGGTTTTGATTTTATTTTGTTAAAAAAAAACATGAAGAAAATGTTGGAAGAAATATAATGCCATCTTCTTTGGTAGTAAATCTTTGTCCGATGTTCTTACTCCCCTAAGTACTGGCGCTCGGCCGTCCCTACATCCAGTCTAGAGGAATGTTGTCTTATCTAGCGTCAGTGTCGACCTGAACGCTCAAAGCCCTCACCGGTTTGTGGTGCATAGTAGCCTCCTTGTTGGACTATAACGTAAGGGTGACCGACTCTGATCCGCGCTAAAAATCATCATCCCTGATGCACCGAGAATCAGAGAAAAGAGATTGAAATGGCTATCTTCTGTCATCAATTTTTTCTACCCTGCCTACACAATCAACTGTTTTCAGTTTAGGCAAGAAAAATAACCGGTACAAAGTAATAAGAAACCTTGATTAGCTCTGCATTTGTTTAAGCAACTCTCTCGGGCGAGAATAACCAATTTGGTGGCCAAGATTTGAAAAAGGGTGGCACAGAGACCAGGAAAAGACTAAGTATATAAACACGCGCGCTCGATTCATTCCTTAAGCGAATTAGGGAGAAGCCTTTTTTATGCTTTTGTCAACGACGATGACATTTCCCTAAGTGCCACTCTAAGAAGAAATCATTAAAGACTGTTAAAGTTAACTGAAAGAAGGTCATGAATAAAGTCGCTTTTATCGGCTTGAAATTGTTTCCTTTCATAGTTTAGCTGCTTTCATAAAACTGGCCGAGATTTTGTAGTTTAGTGGTGTATGTAGAAGCGAAAGCAAACAAACTCGTGAGCTTTTGCAAAAATTGATTAAATCTTCGACAAACCGAAAACGGCTGCCACTATTGAGGTGTACTGGACTGCTGTTGGTAGTGCTCGCTTTTCAGGCAAAGTTATTGAAAACGCCATTAAACGGGGCCCGGCATATTTTACTGCAACTCAGGTTACTCCATGTAAATTTCCCAAAAATCCAAAACAAACCCTACGTTATTCTTTCACGTACGAACTATCCTGATGCCTATAGAATTGCCGTTGTATCCGACGACAGTAAGTGGCAACTTCTGTTTCTCTTTCTAGTCAACTTTTTCACTGGGAAGACTCGGTGCAAATTGTTCCGATTTCTCCAACTTGTTTCAACAATTTCTCTCTTAAAACGTAATAGTTCTTTATTACAGCAAACATTTCCATGATTAACATAAAAGTTCACCATACTTTATAGTTTAAGTATAAGTAGAAGAGAAATGTTAAAAATTACTCACGTTTTCGCGTTGGTTGTCCTGGTTGTTAACACAGAGTGCCTCCTTTAAGATGAAAACAGCTGACGGTCGCCGGATTGCGGCGGACGGCAGACGTAAAATGGCGGGAAAAAGGCACGTGGTCATCGGTCATCCCTGCTTGCCCAGCCTCGTCTCCAGTCTCTTCTCGTTACTCAATAGAGGGATTTAAGCATCGCGTTTACGGCAAACGGCAAACGTGAGACTCACGTTTAGAAATTTTCAAAATGAGAAATGAGCAGAAAAGAACAGCTTAAGACAATTCTTATGGTTAGAATTGGCGTGAATCTACCGATTTTCGTGTAGTTATAATGAACAGTAAACGACAAGTAAGGGGGAAACTTGGTCACGTCGCACAAATTCACGCCTGCCGTTTGCCGCAAACGCGATGCTAAACCTCTCTAATAGCAAAACAACGAAAAATCAGGAACGCTAACAAATTCAGTTTCGATTATTATGAGTGATATTGTACAAGGCAAGATTAATCACAATAATTGTTAAAAACGAATGGTTAAGCCCAGTATCCCTTCCTTATCCTTGAAAATACACGAGACCTGAATGGTACCGATCAGACAATTGAAACAGAATATAAGTGTGTAATGGAGCAGAATTTCGATCAGAATAAACCCCTTCACGGTTGTAACGCATGATGGGTAATCAGGACAAGATGGTGGGGAAACTCACAAGTTTGTATGGGAATACAAAGCCAACTTAAATTCTTGGTAATTGAATATATTTGTCACTTTCCCTTTGAAAAATGTAACTAATGAACTTAAAGAAACTAGACACTAAATCTGGAGTGCCTAACAGTCCTTTGTTGCTTTTTAGAAAATCTGAGTTCTTCCATACATTTTCTGTAATCCGACAACACAAAAATTACACAGAATGTTTGGAAGAAGTCGGCAAATTTTCTAAAAAGCAACAAAGGACTGCTGTTCTCTCCACATTTAGTGTGTAGCTTCTTTAAGTTCATCAGTTAAAGTTTGGAAAGAGATAATGACGAATATATTCAATGAGGAAGAATAAGTCGCCATACAAACTTTTCACTTCTCCGCCATCTGGTCCTGATTTCCCGGCATGCCCTCACAACCGTGAAGAGGTCTATAAAGTACTGTTTACGAGCATTGCCGGCAGGCTGGCAGAATGAAACATTTTACGTGCAGATTTCAATCAACCAGTTACCCAGCGATGCCAGTTTTTCCTCTCTTGCAGCCAGTGGCTGAATTGCGGAGGGATCATAGAGGTGAGTTCAGACGTCAGCACGTGAACGCGCACGATGCAGCTGCTTCAGTCCATGTTTGATCCCACCTCGCCACTGGACCCCTACCTGGTAGACCAATTACGGCAGAAGTCAGATGGACTATGAAAGAAGGCCTTCTGGGGACGAGCCGTGGCCGGTTGCCGTAAGCTTGAAGGCCAAAATATGAACAACTCTTGTCTCTTAAGACTGCGACGTTACGCGGGCTTCGAGATTCACAGTACCTCACTAAACACACTGCTCACACACGACACTTCAAAACATAATAATCTTAACATTTATAAGGAATTTTATTCCACAAAAATGTTAATCGTCTGCTTAGTACAATAACAAGCCACCAAGCGCTCTGTTAAATTACAATCTAAGTTCAAAAAACCCTTATTTTCAAAATGGGGCCAAATGTAAATCTTTCCTTGCGAAAATGAGTTTCATTTGCAGAAGGCGAATAAAAAACAATTCTCATACGATTCGTACTTAGCCTGTTTTTGAAACAGAGTATTTGGTACAAATGGAAATGGACTATTTAGAGATGGTTGTATATAATCATCACCATACAGGGTTTTGGAGTCACCAGACTAAAACGAGTTTGCCTTTTGGTCGAGGGTCGAGGGTTGAGGGTAACTAGTCGAGGGTCGAGGGTAAATGGTCGAGGGTCGAGGGTAACTAGTCCAGGGTCGAGGGTAAATGGTCGAGGGTCGAAAAATCCTCCACAATTATTTCTGAATTTTTTTTTCAATTTAAAACCTAAAATTCCCAAATAAAGTAACCAAAGGAAAGAAGCGTGACAGGAAGTTCAATAAATACCATTATACTACTTGATGAGAAATTTCTGCAATTTGATTGGCTCAGAGCAGTGGTATTTCAGTTTAATTTGAAATACCTACATGTGAAAATTACAAATCTTTTTAAGGCAGTAGTATAAACAAATAATAGCATGATTTGTACGTGATATTTGGCATAAATACCTCTCGTGATATTTCAAAATTGTCTCAAATTTCACTCGCCTAACGGCTCGTGAAATTAGGTATACCAATTTCGAAATATCACTCGTGGTATTTATGCGAAATATCACTACTAATCATGCTATTACCTATACTAATACCATTAAACTGTTGACTGAGATCTTTGAAGCAGGATCTCAGCTCTAATTTTCTTAACTATAAGACATTTAAGATTCGATTTAAGATAGAGTACAATGCATGTGCATTTTTTCTTTAAAGTTTTAGATTTGAGAAAGAGTCCAGGGGCGGATCTAGGGGGAGGGTGCAGGGGCGCCCCCCCGAGATGACCTGCTGCTTTCTAATACAATTGGTATTCTGCCAAAAAAACTATGTGGTTTATTGGTGTTGAAGTAGAGCAAGAGACGAGTGCACCCCCTCCTAAAAAAAATCCTGGATCCGCCCCTGTGAGTCAATTTCGAGAAAACATCCGGTACTTCCCTTTGAGAAATTTCTATCTCTTGTACTGCCTAAGAATGTGATAATGCTACAACACCTTATTATCCAATTTCCGCTCTCTTATCTGTCAAGTGATCACTTACGATTGGTTAAAAAGTTGGTTAAAAAGTAGAAGCAAATTTCAAACTTTTAGCTCTAAAAAGCGGTCGGAATCATTCAAGAGAGGTAGTTGCATACAAGAGGTTTCAAATATAGTGATTTGCGTGGAAAACTGGTAGCTGAGCAGAGGCGGTCGCTTACAGTAGGTGGTTGCAACCGGATATTCGACTGTATCAAATAAAGAACAACGCCATACAACGCGTCTGTTTTTTTTTTACCACCCTAAAGCGCGTCTTTACTTTTGTTTCTCCGCAATTCGTTTGGTATACATCTCTTCTGGGTTATCGATTCTGCCAAAAAAGAATACAACCGCCAATCTCGTAAACCAAGCTCAAGCGCTGCTGAGAGCACATTGTAACTGGTTGTGGATTTTATCTTTTTATAAGGCGGAATGCTAACTAAACACCCAATTATCACTCGGTCCCGTTCTCATACACTTGTCCCTAGGTGTTAACGTAAAAATAAAACAGGCACCGGAAACTCGAGTAAACACGAAATTTTGATTTGACGACGTTCAAAAATAATTGTAGAGGATTTTTCGACCCTCGACCATTTACCCTCGACCCTCGACTAGATACCTTCGACCCTCGACCATTTACACTCGACCCTCGACCCTCGACCCTCGACCAAAAGGCAAACTCGACTAAAACCTATAAATATATATGAAGTTATTAATCTAATTTAATTATTCAATTAGTTAAATTCGTGGACAATACCTTATCTTGCTGTTACAATTGCCAACGGTACAATTAAGACAAGTGAATGCGGATTTTGTTAAGAAGTAAGGCCCGTTACTAACCTAACACAGTCAGGAGCCCATCAAATGGAGCCTCCATCTCCATTAATTTCTTGAGTCAACCCTTTCCCGAGTAGATTTATATATAGAACAGCTTGTTTCCCGCGAAAAGTGTCATATTTCCGTGAGTCTCGTATGTCACCGTGAAAAAAATGAAGTTGGATGAAGTCGAACTCAGAAGCGCGTCCTTCGACCGTTTTCCTTTTTTTTACTATAAGTCCATTTTTACAGTTTTACAGCCGCTGGGATCTGGGATGAAATAAAAGTTAATGAATTACCCGCCTTAGACTGAGCATGAAGCGATGGGACAAAGGCAGCGAACTGAGGATCACGGAAAGGTTCTATTTTGTTTGTTTTTTTTTGCCGTCATACATCCCACATTTAAGCATGCACCTTGAAAAGAGTTGACGATTAAGCGTTCTGTGGACGATTTGAAACTTTTCGATGATCAGCGCCGAAAAAGTGCCAGGATCATTTGATTTTTGTCATCGCCGTGGAGTGGATTTCGCCAGTTAAGCACCGCGTGCAAAAGCGATGACCTAAGTAGCGACTAAGGAGGATGCTTCGGAAAAATTACAGTCTTCCTTTACAACTGACTTGTATCACAATGAGAGTTGCCTGATAAAACTGGCACTTGAAAAGATGAACAGAAGACAACAGTTGCTCGACCGTAAAGCTAACTCAAAAGTAATTTGCTAACGGTGGAATTTGTGACATCGCGCTCCAGTCCAAAGACCCTCTTATCTCAAGAAAAACAAAATGGATTGTATCTGGGCCAAAAGAATTATGACTGACTAACAGGAGAATTCGCAGCAATTAATGTAGAAGTTTAGGCCAATTCTTTCCTTCGAATCCGCATCTGTAGATCACCTTTTTGAAAACAATGGCTGGGCTCGGCGTTACAAAACATAGCAGGGAATCATCACACTAACTGACGGACAAGACAACCGCAGTATTTATTCAGACAAACGCATTTTGGAAAAAAACTTGAAAAACTAGAACTTTCATTAATATTGAGTCAGTTAGCCGAAATAAGAACCTTAACGCTCAAAAAAATTGGCTAAAGAAAACGAATCCTGTCAGAACTACAGACTGCAGGTAGTAGTTAATCATTACGCATGTAACAGACAGGGGCACCCAATGAGGACATAGTTCAAAACCACTTAACGTAGCTTTGTTGAACGTATTTTAGTATTCAAACGGTAGATATAGGCATATTTTTATCTCCTAAAAACTTTTCATCTGTTCGGATTTCCTAGCTGAAAGCCTAGTGATCCGAAAATTATAGGGATAAAAACTTACCTTCTCGAAAATTTCAGCCAGGAAACGGCTCCCGAAAATTCTAGGTGGCCTTTTTTAGGGTCAAAATCCTTTAAAAATGGGTAATACCATTTTGTAGATGTTCGAAAATCCTAGGAGAGGCAGGCAAGCAAGAAATTTTCCAACAAATGCTCCGAAAATTCTAGATCTCAAATCGTCTTCCGAACAGATATTTTCCCGAAAATTGCCGTTGGGTGCCCCTGAACAGACCAGCTTCATGGCCTCTTAATGTGAGACAAGCAACCAAAATTAAGATTAACATAGTCAAAGTTTAAAACTCTCCACAGTATAATCTATCCGCTAGAAAGAAAAGAAAGAAAATCTCTGAGGGATGAAAACGCTTAAGTCACGTTCACTGGCTTATGATTTTGTTTGGCCTGTCAGCACCGGGTTTCCTGCTGTTTCATGAAGTACAATAGCAGTGTCATTTAGTCGTTGTGATTGGCTTTTCCCACCGTCGGCGCGCGAAGTCTCCCCTGGGAACCGTTCTAATTATAAATCTACTCGGGAAAGGGTTGACTCCAAGGGCTTGTATGGGAGATGGAGGCTCCATTTGATGGGCTCCTGACACAGTCTAATATGATCTGGGAGAAGTTACCAAAACGAAGAACGAGGAACAGAGAACGGAGAACGGGAAAATGAAATTGAGAACAAAACCTGACTCCAGCAGTTACTTTCTCACCCATTCCCAAATCTGTTCCTTTTTTTTCACTTTCCTATTTCCCATTTCTCATTTATTGTTTTAGTAACCTCCGCTTTGGGCTGTTATTTGGTTAAAACGTGAAACATGAGCGCAGAATCATAGCTTTGCTTAGTAAAGTACAATTAAAATGATGGGTGGATTCAATTGCAGAATTCAATATAATTGTCGCCTTTACTAGCCTCCCCGCAGACTTCCTTTGGGGTTCGTTTGTCACGCATTCATTTCTCCCGACTTACTTAGGGCCTGTTTACATGAAGGTGGGGGACCCCAGGTAGGTGAGGAAACCCGCTTAGGTGGGATAACCTACCTGCCCATACAATGTCTCATATGGTCACCCCACCTATCATATAAGCGCGATCAATTTAATATGAGAGATTGTATGGACAGGCGCGTTACTCCACCTCAGAGGGTTACCTCACTTACCCGGCATCCCACACCTTCATGAAAACAGGCCCTTAGTGTTGCAGAAGGTTGCGATCACCAAATGACATAATACAAAAGATTAAAAAGACACTGAACAATATCCACACAACAGCACAAGAGAGAACCAACAATGGTTTCCACAACACCAAGAAACACCCTTTGATTAAACCTGATCCAACATGATCCAAACCCAACTAACAGGGTGTTCAATTGGATCCAACATGTTATATCCAACAATGTCGCTAATCAAGCTGGACAAACATCTACATTCTATTGTTACACTGAGTTCGTACCCAGGTATGAACATAAGAAAACATTATTCTAAATGGTTACAGGATTACTTTCTTTTATAGTCTATTTTAATCACCCTTTATGCCTCTTTTATCTTGAAACGAGACATTGAGGACCAATTATCATTAAAATAAAAAATAACTAAATTTCCCCACCATTTGGGAATATAATCTTTGTTCACACATTACTTTTCGCTCTAAGCTGTAAAACAAACAATAGATGTAAACTGGCATATATAATGTAGACAACTAATGTAGTAGAAAGTTATTTATCTTTTGGTAATTGTGACCCAGATCTCCTCGGCTGGTGATGTCACCAGACGATGAACAGGTTTAACTTCTTTTCCCTCAACGAGATGAAACTTGAAGCGTTTGATGAGAACAGAGAGGAATACCAGGCCTTCAGCGATAGAAAAACGCCATCCTGGGCACTTGCGCTTTCCAGCAAAGCCGAACGGTTGGTAAGCCATGCTTGGAATCTGCTTGATGTTTTCTTGACTGAAACGATCAGGATCAAACCTGAAAAAGACACGTGAGACATGTTATCAGCGCACCAAGACACCTTCAAAAAGATGTCTCTCACTGTTATTACCAATAATAATTTAGAGGAATTTAGTAAATATTTACTATTCATAAAGAGGGAGATAGTTGTAGATGTTAGACTTACAGAGCAGAGCCGAGTCATGTTAGTTTGTTAGTTTTTTATTTGTTTTAATCGAGCCTACAACTAGTACATTATTATTTTCTTCATGGAAAGTAGACAAAGTAAAGACAGCACTTCTCCTCGCACAAGGACATTTTGACATGTATCTCATGAGGGAACATAAGGTTCTCCTGATAGTCTTTACTGAAGTGGCTGCCTCGTTCACAGTGTACGCTAGTTGTTATGGAAATATGAGATTCCCACTTAATACAGGTTGCATAGTACAACAAAGAAATACGAACTATAATTACCTTTTAGGTTCTGGCCATATATTTGGGTCTTGAAGGACAACTCCAAATGGAAGAAGAATGGGAGTCTGAAAAATAAAATATAAACTTCTTTAGTGTTCATTACTGTAATTAGCAATTATTGAACAAGGCTCAGCAGGATATAAAGAATTATGCAGATTGAGGTGGGTGTTATCCACCGAGGTCGAAGGCAATGTTAAGTTCATGTTGATAGTGCACCTTTCCTGGGAAGGTTAGGAGATAAAGGGCTGTTCAGGTCTGCAAATACACTCCAAATAGCAGATGTCATCCGTTGAGTTGTCTTCTTGCTGTTCTTGCTGTGTTTTTAGACAATGGTTGTCTTTACACTAGGCTGTTAAGTAAGATTTAATAGCTGCTAAGTTTTAATCAACAAAAAATGCACGTGTGAAGGCCTGAGTAAAATCCCAAGTAACTTTACTTCACATCTCATTAAAGTCGGAAAGTTGAAACGATTCAAGAAAGTTTCAAGTGATCTGAAAACCATCCTTAAAACCAAGTTAGCGAACTTGCGGTTTCTAATCTTTGAAAAAGGCGAAGCATGTCAATCAATCTTAATTATTTTTCGTGGGAAAATAGGCTTAAGTAAACATGATGTAAAAAAGATAGGTTGTGTGTGAAGCTTTCTTTTACTTCTTTTCTTGTCTTGAAATATTTCTTAGCTTATTTAGGCTCTAGCGTAAAGATTACCAATAGTTCGCGGTGAAACGAGTAACATGTTGCGCCACTACTCACTTCGAAAACAACTCAAACTCGTTCCCAGGTCTCCTCGGTTAACGGTTCAATAATCTGCAACTTTGCTGCACTTTTGACGTCATCAGTTCAATACGGCAAAATTCTTCCAAATTTGGTAAACAATGGCTGGTTATGATGACTTATGCGTGTGATTTTAGCCAATCAGAAATGGAGAAATATTATGAATGAATGATAAACAAACATATCATAGACAAAGTTGAATATGGCCAAACCTATCCGCAATGAAAAGCAGGTTGTAAAAATAACTTGACTAAAAACAACTTGTCATTCCTGAGATCAAGACATTGCTGACATTAGTAAGTTACAAAGATGTTCTTAATAGCAAAACACACTGCTCGTTTTTAAACAGTACTTAATATACCTCCTTAGGAATCACATATTCTCCAACTTGTAAATCAAAGTCATGGACCCTGGCGCCCCATGGAGCTAGAACTGAAGCACGGAGGGTCTCATCGATCACCTGACGCGTGTATCTAATGACAACAAAAATCAGAGTGAATAAGTTATCAGTAAGTTATATGCCATAGCGAGCAACTCTTCTACATCTCTACAAGACGTTTATACTGCACCGTTTTTAATACTGCTCTAAGATTTGGTACTTCTGTAGTGAGTGCAACTCTGATATTATTATTATCATTATTATTACTATTAAATGTATGATCGCTTCACTGCGGCAAATAAAAGTGGCCGCATGGTGGGGTTCTACCGAACTGTGAATGAAAAGAGGGGCTTCAAAATAAAACCTGTGTCACTGACTTGAGTTCTGAGGAAACCATTGGTTTGATGTCTTCATCCTCCAGAACTTCTTCTATTTCCTGGTAAACTTTTTCCTGTACTTCAGGATGTTTGGTAAGGAAGTACAAACACCAAGTCATCACTGAAAAAAAATAAAACTGGTATAAAATAATAAAACCAGCTTAAAAATTTTGAACTGGTTCAAAAAAAATTAAAACCAGAAAAAAAATTGCACTACAACAAATCCACTGGGGGAACGAGTACACACAAAGTTATATACAGGGAGGCTTGTACACAAGGTCCAACCCCTTTTACCCTTCTATATATCATTTTTGACAGAAAACGCAACCCCATTACCTACCATTGAAAAAAAGGTACCCCTTTCACATACCTATTAAAGAAAATTGCATACCTTTTCTGAACCTTTTAACGAAGTTATTAATGAATGATATAATGGGAACCTGACATGGATCTATTCGAAATATTTTCATTAAATTATGACCTTTTGATTACCCGGCAAATGACAGATTTCCCTACCCTTTCATAAACTACGCCTCGTGAAATTCCTACTCTTTTATATGCCCAAACTGGAAAAAGAAACCTCTCTTGGACAAGCCTCCCCATAAAGGCCTTTTTGCCCCTCAGATTAATCCTTAGTCTTTCAGTGGTTACTTTCATTTTCTCCTCAACATTTGTGTCAGTGTGTTTGACCCACGTGAGCCAGCAACAGGAAGGGCTGGAGAATTTCCCATGGTCAACAAACAGTTCCTCTATAAGACCACAATAATATTATGCACTGAAGCACACACTACCAACTCTGCGGTATGGCCAGTACCTTGCGCTTGCACACAACCATATCACCCCAGGAGTGGCAGCCATGGACAGCTGTTTTGTCCTTGTTAGCACTCATCAGCATGACATATCCAGCACAGTCTCACTTACAATCACAGACCCTGCCTTTTGTGGTGAGGTGAGTGCAAAGCACTTTTTAAGAGACAGCTCCACTATACACATGTGGTAGCTGTTGGCTGGGAGCTGCAAGCAGTTCTCGGCAAGCTATGAAGATGGGATCAGCTTTTTACCAATCGGTGTGCCACAGCAACAGCATTAGAGTTGAGGTTTAGCAGTGAGAAGTTGTAAGCTGAGCTGCACACTAGAGCTTTAAGCTGCTTTCAAAAGAGGGGAAAGAATTCCTGCTAGAGTCACATGTACTCATCCTGCCAAATACACCCCCTAATGATCAGCTTGCACTTTAATTACTACAATAGAAAAAACACCTTTGTGCATTCTGCCCTTTAAATAAATCCTCTGTACACTGTATAGGTTGCAGTAGCTAAAGAGAATTTCTTGCATCAAGAAACACAAGATGGAACACACATTAACTTACTATATCCTGTTGTATGGAAGCCTCCAATAAGAAAACTTATAACGTTGTCACAAATCTACAAAAGAAATGAAATATAATATTTTAGAAACCTAAGGAATATCAACATGAAAGTAGCAACTTTATTTACAAGTAAGTTATGACATTAATGTCATCTCTGGGAATGCCATCGCTGTATTTATTTATTACTGTTACTACAAGACCAAGGCCCTAACAGTGCTTTGCACTAATGACATCATAAATTTCTGGTTCCTGCTGTGACTCAGACATTGAACCAATAATCCCTATAAGAATTCTGTACGGGAAAGTCAAATTTGCTTTCAGTTTTAGATCATCTTTGAAGGTTTTTATTGTCAAGAAAATATTTCAAATTCGGCTTGGTTTTGATGATATATCTTGAAAATAATTAACATGAGCTCCTAAGACTAAGTTTAAATGTGGAAATAATCTGCAGATGAGTGATATTACTTCCTAATGGCAGTTTCATACCATGGTTGGTAGAATATTATATGTTATGGCATAGACACTAATATAATAAGCCATTCAGCAAAGAATGTAGAAAGAGAAGAGTGGCAAAGCTGTCCATAAAAAAGATTATGATAAAAAAGGCAGAGAATGCTAACTTTTTCTAGTGCAATGAATACCCTTATTACACTGCTACAGGGTATAAAATACCATTATGCTGTTGACATTGGTACCAACCTGTTCACACAAACAAACAAACATCATAAACAATTTCCAGTTTGGGCTCATGTTGGTGTGCTAACTATGCTTTACACAAATATTTTTGCAAAAAGCCCATACAAACTCTATTTTCTCATCAGCACGTATGATTTTGGGATGACCGTCTCACTGAGTCAGAAATGTTATGATATGTTTCAGTATAATTTATCACTAAGAGAGAGCAAGCTACAGATTTGATTTGTCTGAGTCACGCGGGGGCTCTACTGTCACAAAGTCTATTTTTAGTAATAGTGCAAAGTGCTATATTTGGCATGAGGAGCAAAATTTAATGTGAAGGTGACTGTCAAAATAATATTTTAATGCACACTAATTTAAACAGTCACACCATAAAATTTCATCCACAGACATAAAAGTTGTATCTAGCTAGTTGTAACATTATTATTTACCATGTAATAGTACTGCTGATGAGCTTTCATTTGATTGGCCACACCTGAACCTCAGGAGTGACAGTCTAAAAAAAGATAAGTACAAACAGACCTCGTCTTCATCCATGAAATCACAATCCAAAAGAGAATCAATGAATAATTTCTCTGCTTTTTCCTCATCCTCTCGTCTCTTCCTTATGAAGTCCTTCACAAGACTATGCAAAGCTGCCCTCGCTGCCAAGTTAAATCAATAATAAATAAATATTTTAGCACGACCACATGAGAAAGAATGTATGAGAGCTGCTCAAATTAGGCCTGATGTCAGGTTACAAAAAAGCAAAAAGGTCTCAATTTTCTTGTCAAGATAAATTTGGTCATGTACAGAGACATAACTTTCGTAAGTGATCATTTCAAATGGACATAATGAGAAAATCAAACACAAAAATGGGACTACCCGTGATGCAAGGCTTTAGTTCACACATCATCAGTGGAAAGCTTAGAAGTGCAGTCACCGATTTTAGGTCCAAACTGAGACCGGTAACTCTTGGTCTGGAAAAGTATAGTTACTTTAAGGTCTGGTCAAAGCACTCAACTGCAGTTTCTCTCTTTGTACCCAAGTTACCTTCTCTTCATCCCACACACCTCATATCTTTAAAGAATCTCTCATTAAGTTAAAACCCTAGATCTACAAGTCTGGCTAAAAATGAACTAGTGTCACTAGTCCCTCATCTAACAATTTGCTTAGGACAATGTTCCCTCACTACATGGGAAGTGAGGGATGAACTGCATATAGCAGGCAGCTGGGTGCAAAGAAAGTCAATTTTACAGCTTGTCATTGGAGAAAGCTGCGGCTAGCATGTACTAGCCCAAAAGTCATTTCAACTAGCCTGGAAAACATTTTTGATGAGCAGGATTGATAACGGTACTTCCACAATTTGAATTCCCAAAAAACCTCACTTGCCCATCAGGCAAGTTTAGAACAGAATTCACCAGCAGCTATTGGACACTACTTTCTTTGCAGTCTTTGCATGGTGATGTAATCACAATGCTTTTGAGGTACATGGTGCATACTACAAAGTATTACACAGTTGTACAAAATTTACACAGCAAAGAAACCTGTGTGAAAAGTAGCAAAATGGGATTAGCAGCTAGGTTTGAAATAACAGTTATAGCATTGAAACAAAAAAATACCATATTATTTCAATAAAAGATACCTCCTTGGAAATCTTTTTCTCTCTGGCTGTCAAGTTCAGGAGCAGGACCTGTCAATCTGGCCTCCATCTCATTCCAACACTAAAACAGAAAGAATAAAACAATTTACACTATATACAGAGTGATTTTGTTACAAATAGTTATGGTGAGTCCTGGGACTCATCTTGTGAAAAATCATGAGTTGCTGTCCGTAACCAATGAGTCCCAGTTCAAAAAAACAAGATACCCTAAATTGAAAATGGTAACCAGACAGTTAATCTGGGGACAGATGCCAAAACTCTTTATATTACAGTTTACTAATATTAAAGTATAGTCTTTCTATATATTTTAAAACAGCACAAAAAAAGACTAAAATAAACACGCATCTTCAAACAAAGCCACAGAAATCACATGAACAGGACATTCGTTCAAAAAATCTTCAAATCAATCGATTGTTCTTTGCATCCCATGAATAATTCTTGATGTCTTTGGGGCTTTTTATACGCCACGGACAGAGGACACAGAGGTAACACAATCACTGATGATATTACAATAGTTATAGAGTCTCTGAATTCTCTGATGTTTGTTCAATGTTCATTACAATTTCTATTGTATGAAAACTTCTGTGTCTTATTTTCAAACCAACTGCAGTTCTCTAATTTCCGATTACTTATTGTTTTATGTGAGTTACAATAAAGTAGACAACAAAGTACTATCGACAATATTTTGTAAAAGTCAATGAACTCCAATTCTCACCACTTCATAGGCTGTTTCTAGTTTTTCTATTTCCTTCTTGTCAAAAAATTCACGGCCCATTCCTGCCACAGATATTGCCTTGATTGCCATGGCCACCATGACTTTTCCCAAAGGAATATGTTCTTCAGGGCTGTATTTTGCAAGGGTGTCTGCAGTTTCTTTGGCAATCTTTTCAAATCACATGAAGAAATTAAATAATATAATAAGTAAAAGAAAAAAAGTAGAAAAGTTACATGTAAAGGACAATTAAAGGTAGCTGCTAAGAGCAGGAGACCAGGGATTTCACCCAGCTACTATCAGATGACCTCTGGCTACTTCAATAACAAACAAAAAGAAAATGGAACCAAAAATAAATTCCTAGCTGTTCATTCTGTAGTGGCACCATAGAAGTACATAAAATGTTAAAAACTATATGATACAAAAGCTTGAGTTCAATTGTCGGTAAACAAAATTCAATATGTATGCTGCATAATTCTTATGCATGAATTCACCTGTCAAAACATTGACCAATCTGAGCATGACCAAAATCATGACCCAAGCTAAAACCAAATCCTTAAAAAATTTTTTTCAGAAGTTTTCGTTGAAATTCATAAGCCATGCTGTGTATGTTTGGGAATCTCTTCCCCTCTCCTATCCCCACAGTCTGTACAAGCAGACGGGGGAGGGGGGGGGTGAGTATGCTGACGTCATTACCAAATTTACCTGCATTGATAGGTTTCCAATAAAATACCAATAAAAATTCTGCTGTGCACACTTTGCATGCGCAGATATTCCGCTAATATTTAACTTAAACAACTTATATTCACCATGACAAAGTGTTCATAGTAATCTTTTACAGCTTCATGACTAAAGCTTCTATCCATGAGCTGACGCCTCTTTCGACCACCTGGACCATTCGCATATTGAATACTCTGTTTACCAATAAGGGGTTCAAACATCCTGAATAGATCCGCTGCAAAAGGAAAAAGACTCTAGCACACTGCACATTCAAACAAAAAAATCCTCAGGTTTGTACTGAAAACTGGTAATGCTAATTTTACTATCTCATAGTCCTGAAGTAATGTTTTTCATTTTGTTTAATTTTTCCAATTACTCGCCCTCAATGGCTATGGAACTTAAAGTAAGCAAAGAAGTGACATGCAAATGACAAAATCAGAGATTCGAGACAAACAAATATGTCTCCTGAGCATTATTTTTGAAGTTGCAAGCAGCAGAGATCAACTTTGAAAAACTGTTAGGCTGAACAGTTTTCAAAAACCCTAATTTCAATCCGTTTCAGTCTTCTTCAGTCTTGTCCATCCATGGAATCTGTTGTTTCTGTTATGTTATTTTAACCTTCCTATAAAGTTTTTCTAATTTGACTGAATTTCGTGACACAGCTCCTTTAAAGTTATCCAAGTTTGGTACTAAGATTAGAATCTTTAGTACCCAGCAAGGAGGCAGGGTTACCGTTACATAGTTTTCATGATCAAAGACATCTTTGACATAAATGAATGCTCAGCGAAAGAAAAAACTGGTCAAGAAAGCAAAACAAGAGGAGAGGAGATAAGGGGAAAGGTAAAAGTTGAGATACTAGCGTCACTTTTAAACCTTCCCCTTCCTCTTCCTTACACTTTTTCTGATCCGCAAACGATACAGGTGGCTTGCCTCTGTATGGACTCTATACTATTGATGTGCTTCACTAAATAAGGATTCCAGACCTGACAACAATATTCCAAAATTGGATGCACTAAAGTCTTATAGGCTGTTGAGACTCCTTCAGAATTATTTTAAGCCTTATCAAACCCAGAACGTTATTAGCTTTACCCCAGATCAATTCATATGGTAATCCCATGACAGGGAAGACTCCAGCCAGTGGTATTCTACTGGAGGTTTGTCAGACAAAAAGTTCTCATGATGGTAAGGGTCCTTGGATCTCAATCGGTGTAGGACCTTAGACTTTTCAGACTTCAGAGTAACAAGCCAGAGTTGGCACTAAAGTAGAGGTAAGTTTGAATATTTGCACAATCCAATACTGTCATCAGCAAAGACTCCACAATTATTACAATAACTATGAAAGGAAAGTCATTAATATAAACGAGAAAGAGCAAAGGTCCCAAAATACTTCCCTGAGGCACACCAGGTGTTACCTCAGACCAGCTGGAAGAATAGTCATCGATTACTACCCTTTGTCTGCTTAATAAATAATAATAAATTTATTATTTGTAAGGTGCAAAATATCATTTAAATATGATCTAATGCACTTATTTTAGTCAAGAAATCTGAGATCCATTCCAATAATAAAAAATATATATATTGACCCTTGATTCCATGATGTTGACACTTTAGTAGCAGGTGTTGATGGGACACTTTGTTGAAGGCTTTTGCAAAGTCTAGAAAAATAAATATTGCATCCACAGAGCCATGCTCATCAAGAATACTAAGCCACTCGTGGACAAGCTGGAGCAGCTCAGTTACACATGAGCAAAGTGTTCTGAAGCCATGTTGATTAATAATCAAATATAACTTATTATCAGAAAGAAAACTCATTATATGATTGCGTATAAGTCATTCTAAAGACTAGACAAGCATACCAGTAAAAGAAACACGGCAATAGTTTACTTAGAAGTTTATGCTGGTTTTCATACTTACGTGGTCGGTCAAAGATGTGGTTTACTTCTTTCCAATACTCTGGAGAAGCCAAACTGACAACATACTTCTTGCCCCACCAGAAGCCTACTATACTGCCATATTTCTCATGTAATAACATCAAGTATTCATGGAGACTTCCAGCTTTTCCCATGTCAAGAAGATTTCCCATTCTGCAAATATATTATATTATGTGGCCCAGTTGTTGTTTTCTGTTAAAAGAAAGCTTACAACAAGTGCATGTTGTTCAGTTACATGTGGGAATTATGCTTTGGTTTTCATGACCACTCATATGCCTTTCCTACATAATCACAAACAACAGCTGACCTTAAAATAACAAGACAAGGCATCATGCTATACGGTAAATTCACAAATAATGGCAATCTTTGTGCTGTTTTCTTGCTATGTTTTGCACAAAAATGCACCAAACATAACAAGAAACGAAAAAATGAAAACTAAGAAAAGACAAAGTCCTGAAATTTTTTTCCCAATTTAACTAACTATACATATCAAGTTGGAATAGACAGAAATGAAATTAGTTTAAGACAAAAAAAAGTTCCAGTAAGGAGCTTCGCATTAATTGTTTCCTTTAAAACATGAAAGAGATCGCCAACAGATTTAAAATTTAATTTAACACATTAAAGTACCTTATCTCCGGGGGAGGAGGGGATACTCCCTTTTATAAGCTACCATAAAATTCCAAAAATAAGCCCCTCCATATATAAGCCTCTCCAAATATAAGCCCCCCAAACTCATAATGCAAAAAACCCTCCATTAAATCGCCCCTCCAAATATAAGCCCCCTGGGGGCTTGTACTTGGAAATTGCCCTCAAATACAAAGTAAAACAAAGTAAAAACGGTAAATTTCCTTCCAACTATAAGGCTAGCCCAATCGATTTTGAAACGCAAATTTCCCTCCAAGATAAGCCCCTACATAGATAAGCCCCTCCAAATATAAGCCCCTCCAAAAATAAGCCCCTCAAAAAGGGCCTTTGAAAAATATAAGCCCCGGGGCTTATTTTTGGAATTTTACGGTATATAGTTATGTGCCAGTTGTTGTTGTTGTCGTTGTACCAGTATGTATTTGTCCGTTTGACCTAAAACTAAGGCAAGAGGCCCATTTCCCAAGTCCTGAGAACTTTCCATGCCCAAAATCAAATATTCAAATAAAAATCTAAAAGTGTGGGTTCAAGCTAACAAACCAAACCAGCATTGTGTTTGAATAACTCATAGTTTTAGAAAAATATTTGTAAAACTATTGAAACCTCGATCTTCAAGGTACCTAAGGTACAACAAATTTTGTTGTAGGTCCCAGAGTCCCTTCCATAGACATGTCAGTCAACTGGATAATTACTTACTCTGAGTCTGATGGCTCTTCTCCTGGAATTGCTGGACCTTTTGATCTTCCTTTCTAAAGGAAACAATTGATTGCATTTTCTTGTATTAAACAGTCAAAGGAATTTATGAAAGGAAGAGTTCTTGCATTATACCACATAACCTATTCAAATGTGATCTTACAAATTGATCCAGCCCCCAATGTGAATGACTTAGGGCATTATATGAAGTCTTACAAGAAGTATGTACTATCAAAATTCGCAATCATTGTTTTGTTGTCAGAAATATTCTTTGACAGCGACTAAATACGTGCAAAAATGCTCCAGAAACCATACTGCGAAGAAGAAAAATTCAAGTTTTGAGCTTAAAATGGACTAAATCTCATACTAAAGCACAGAAGATGGGAGATATGGTGACCTGTAAGGGAGAGCAGGAGATCAGTGCCGTATCCAGGAGACTCCCGGATAATCTGGGAGAATTTGCATGTATAAACAGGAAATTGCCTGCAAGATTGAGTTGATTTATTTGATGAATTTGTTTGTGCTCCAAGTCTTCAAGAGAAATAATGTGAATTTCCTCAATTGCAATTGCTAAACATAAATCAATTTAAAACAAGACAGCGTTCACTTTGTCATTTGTCCTAAACCGGATAATTAAATTGAGGGTGTTGTCATAAACAGGGTAAGAATTTTGGGATTTTTTTCTCCTAAACAGGGTCACGGTTTCAAACCCTCAACGGCTCGCCTCTACCCAAATATTGGTCAAGTACCCCCCGCCCCCAACTCCCCTCACAAGGGTTTTACCCTCCTGCACGTCATGGGTAAATATCTACACCAGCTATGAAAGCGCGCTCCATATGCAGAGATTCCAACCCTCCCGATTTGATGTCTTGCCTCCCGCTCTCCCGATTTTTACCAAATTCTCCTGATTTATTATAAAATTCTGAAAACTAGGGAAAAATTGCTAATCTTTAAAATTTTTGGCGATCTGTTACTGTGAAACACTCATATTATACTTACTTTCTTCGCGAAGAGCATTATGGTATGTTATGACCGTCTGATGAGAATAGACCTTATAGAATAACTCAGGCCGGAATGATGTCAAAATTCAGGAAATGGCGCTTGAGAGAACCTAAATTTGCAAAATTTCCCCGGAGGGGCATGCCCCCGGACCCCCCTAGAAGCTCGCGCCTTCGGCGCTAATAATTACTCCCTATTTTCAATCACATGGGGTTGGAATCTCTGCGTATGTCACTCTCTAAATCTCTATTCAAAATTGAACTACGGTGGCCTGATTAAGCTGGCATTCAGATTTGTTAAATACTACACTTTGATGATCTCTGACTCCGACTCTGCTCGCTAATTAAATTGACCTTTAGTCGTCCAAAGGACTACAGCTCAGCTGTGAGCTTATTAATACGCGCCAGTGTCTACTTACAAAGTCAAACATGAAAAGAAGAACGACTATTAGTCCAAAAACCATCGCCACTGCAAACACACCCAGGTCATTGACAGAAAGATGAGTTGGAAACATCGTAAAACGCTGTTCAAACTACTATAAGTAATAAACCTCACTGCAAAACGATCAAACAAGGAAGGATGCTTTTGAACGTCATGAAAAGTAAATTGATCCCAGTCTTTTCCAAGCGCCACGTAACTCGGCGATTCTCGGTTGATCGTCGGGTCAATCGAATCGTACGCGGAAGTGGGATTTCATCTCGCGTAGGGGCTTACGAGAAACATGTTACACAATTCATATTTTGAAAATTATACTTCTATTATCTATACTTTTATTATTATTCTCTATTGATTATACCATCAGGTATTCAGGATATATAGTTAAATTCCAAGGTTCTCATAAAAGCGAAACTTCCCAATGCAAAGCCCAAATAGCCTGCGCGCAGACGAAATTAAACTCTGGTTAACTCCGTCTGCGAAACAGCGCCGAAATCCTTGTTCTGGACTTCCAGCTGTGTACCCAGATTTGAGTACGCACCACGATTGGCCAGTTAAAAAAGACCTTTGTTTTGTTTGTCGCAAGACTGATAATAGCCAATCAGGTTGAAGGGAAATTCGAAACGCACTTCCGGTAATTCGTTGAGTCGGTTAAGGTGGCTCGATACAGTTTTCCAGGGCCAACACCTCCCAAGTTTGAGCATAAACTACGTCGCCATAAACAAAGTTTTGGAAAAATTGCCACCACAGTTGTATTAGATGAAGATGAAGATTTGTTATTATCGGGGTTGCAACGGCATCGGAGTTGTCATAGCAACGAAATGACGCTATTACCTATTTTACTTGCAGCAGTATATCTCGGCACTAGGAACTGTTCTTCCAAAATCGTTCACGGGAGCTTTTTCCTCCAATAGCGGCCTCGATGTTCGTGAAGTTTAAGCGAAATCTGTAAGAGCGTTATCGAGATATTTTGGGATGAAGTTTTTATGTTTAGAAACACAGTAAAAAATGGACAATATTGTTGTTTGGCCGTTATCTGTAAAAAATGAAGAGCTTTTGACATGCAATTTCACCTCATAGTAGTTTCAATCTTTTTAAAAACGTGTGTGAAAGATCATTTAGATAGCTCCAACCGATTGCTAGAAAGAAGGGTTTGATTAGTATGTATCGAAGCGCTCTTGTTAGCGGTTTTGTAAACATTTTGGTCTTCTTTATCAAATTAGCGAATAATTTTTAAACTGCTCGATAGATTTTTTTAAAAATTTAAGATTCTTGAGATTAACCTTCCTTTTATATGACCTTTTAGTTTCAAGATTATTGATATATTGTAAGGCAGTAAAATAAGGGCTACAATTCGCTAATATTTTGGCTGAAATTTTGTGTTTACAAGTGTGAGCCTCTCATTATTCAGGGTATTGTCTCCAAGTTTCATATTTTCGTGCACAACAATAGCTAGCAGTTTTGCATATGTCAAATGTATTGTTAGTTACTGCTGTTCACGTGAAAATGAAACTTGGAGACAATGCCTTGAATAATGAGAGGCTTTCTCTTGTAATGACGAGACTTCCAATAAAAAAGTAGCGAATTGTAGCCGTTATTTTACTGCCTTACAATGTATCAATAATCTTGAAACTAAAAGGTGATATAAAAGGAAGATTAATCTCAAGAATCTTAATTTTTTTAAAAAATCTATCGAGCAGTTTAAAAATTATTCGCTAATTTGATAAAGAAGACCAAAATGTTTACAAAACCGTTAACAAGAGCGCTTCGATACATAGTAATCAAACCCTTCTTTCTAGCAATCGGTTGGAGCTATCTAAATGATCTTTCACACACGTTTTTAAAAAGATTGAAACTACTATGAGGTGAAATTGCATGTCGAAAGCTCTTCATTTTTTACAGATAACGGCCAAATAACAATATTGTCCATTTTTTACTGTGTTTCTAACCATAAAAACTTCATCCCAAAATATCTCGATAACGCTCTTACAGATTTCGCTTTAACTTGACAAACATCGAGGCCGGTATTGGAAGAAAAAGCTCCCGTGAACGATTTTGGAAGAACAGTTCCTAGTGCCGAGATATGCTGCTGTAAGTAAAATAGGTAATAGCGTCATTTCGTTGCTATGACAACTCCGATGCCTTTGCAACCCTGATCATAACAAATTTTCATCTTCATCTAATACAACTGTGGTGGCAATTTTTCCAAAACTTTGTTTATGGCGACGTAGTTTATGCTCAAACTAGGGAGGTATTGACCCTGAAAAACTGTATCGAGCCACCTTAAGGGTCCAGAACAAGGATCTCTGCGCTGCTTCGCAGACGGTACTAATCAGAGTTTAGTTATCGTCTGCACGCAGGCTAAGCCCAAATGGCAAGCGCCTTCTGTTGGCAGCAATTATCTAAAGTCCCAAAATAAAAAAGCAGGATGTTTTGGTAAACTTATTTGGCCACGGTAAAAATGTTAACAGAAAGATCTTACTCGGCGCCTGAGGAAGGATGCATGAGAAGAAAATCTACGTGATTGAAAGTCAAACTATTAACGGGTGGAGTTGAGTCATCCCAGGGTTCCTAAACACCACGGGGGGAGGTGTTAGGAGAGCGCATACCAGGGAGGAAGGGGTCCGTAGCGCTGAGTAGGCTGAGTAGGGCATGTTCATCACACAAATTGAAAAACTGGCTACAAATATATTTCTAACTATTAATTTTAATAATCATTCAATTACAATATTGATCGCACATGAAAGTCGGAAAACTGCCCCTCCCTGACCTGACTAAAAAAGCAAAGAATTTTAATATTGGCTTGTTTTCAAAATAGGTAGGATAGTATAAATCCACCAGCAGATGAGTTAAGTCTCCTTATCGCGGCTCGGTCGCTTGAGTATTTTATAGCGCTGTGCAATTTTGCAAAAGACCTTTTGCATGTTTTATGAACTGGATCCTTGCTCGTTTTTCCTTTCTTTGTATTTTGAAAGTGGAACTCTACAAAACATGGTTAACCCCTTGAGGTTGCGCGTGTGAGACTGAACAGGGAGTTTAAGAAAACACGACGGACGTACGACGGCGGCGGCCACAGCGACTGCGGTGAAAGCGTCACCTAAAAAGTGACTTCGAGCTCTTTGAAACTTCTACGAGATCATCCCAAAGGGCTTACCTTGTCAAATTTTGGCGAACTCTCCTGCCAAGTATCGGCCTACTCCCTCCCTGGACTGCCTGCAAGAAGCTATCGCTAAAATCAAGCTTACTGATTATGTAACAAATATTGGAGTAATTTTTTACTTTTACCAGCTTTTCACTCAATAATATCAAATTGGAGAATTACAAAGTTTCTCAGTATAGAAACTACCAAGAGCTTAGTGCAGGCTTTTGTGACTTCCAAGTTAGATAACTGTATCACACTCTTGTATGGCGCTCCTAAGAATAAGATACAGCGCATGCAATACTGGCTGAAAAGTAAAAACGATTAGGCTTCTAATCTTACTTGTAACCAAGGCACTTAATTGGGACTGTATATTGGGTGGGAGGGATTGGGGGGGAGGGGCAACGGGGTTTGGAAAATTATGCGTACCTCTGGAGGAGTTCTTGCTACGTTCCTAGAAGTGTGACCTTGGCTTGCATGCAGTGGACGGATGGTCGGACGGTCACGTTATTACCTAGTATTCTGGGATGGATCGTTATAGTACCCAAATTTTCTTGCGCATGATGCACTGCGAGCGTGCCTTCGCCGTGCAGAAGTGTGAGAACAAACATAGGAACGTTTAACGTACATGAGCTATTTTGAGTGCTTCAGTGTAATCGTACCAACAATCTACCCTTTTCATTCGTAATTTAAACTGTTTCTTTTCTGTGCGAAATTGGGTATTGCTGTACGTGAATATGATGAAAGTAATAAATATATACCAGGTCAGGAATGTGTTGGTCATTCCATTATTAAGCCTGAAACGCAAGATATACACACAAGATCTAATTTTCTTTAAGCAAAACTCGCTGATAGGAATATTATTAACAACAACCACCTTTATTAATACACGGTCAAAACAAAAGCTAATACAGCTTATGGGACTGTGTAAATATCAAGTTAAAAACATGCTTATTGAAATCATATGATCTATATCAGAAAAGAAAATTAAAAAAATACTAAAATCCTTGTGCTATAAAGAAATATATAAATATGCCATGTACTAATAACGGCTTTGAATCATTGATCATATATTAATTTTATTCTTATGTATCTCTATTCTGTTGTAGTTAATTTTTTATCTCACGTAATTTTTTTTTTCTTTTGTTTTTGGGTATGATAATGTATGCTAACGAAGTTGAAACAAAGGAAAAACAAAAATTACATGAGATGAAAAATTAACCACAACATATCCACTGTACGTGTCTAATCTGATTTGTAAGGATATCTAAATGACGGAACTGCCGCAATACTTGTTTTTTCTCGTTTGTTTGTCTTCCAGTAGTATAGAAATGACCGAATTATCCGTTTTTACCGGATTAAATTAACTTTTGTGTTGAATACATTAACGTCGATGACGTCATAGCGTATGAGTTGCATTCTCATTAACATCTCTTTTGTGTATTTCTAATGCAATAGAAACAATAGACACTTAGCCTCGACCGGTTTTAACCTGTTCTAATTTTATTTAACTGGTTTGACAGGTTTTCTAGTTATTTTAAGATCGATGAATTGATTGATTTTTGGTTGACTGCAAACTAAGAAAAGCATTCATTGGTTAATTCTAATTCTAACCAATAGAATCTTGTATAATATTTCACCCCGTTAATACGGCTACTCATACGAAATTTAAAAAATTAAAATGCCTGTCACACGTCAATTTCGTTGAACTCGTATGATCATTAAAAAAACACATTATTCTACGCCTCGTTCAGCAGAATTAAAAAGACTGTTATCATGAAACGAGACGTTGAGTTACATTTATCATGAAGACAAAAAATAACTAAATTTCCCCACCATTTTGGAATATAACCTTTGTTCAAATATTACGTTTCGCTCTAAAGCTGTAAAGCAAGTGATAGATGTAAACTGGCGTATATAACGTTGAGAACTAATCTATACTGAAGACTATTTATCTTTTGGTAATTGTGACCCAGATCTCCTCGGCCGGTGACGTCATCAGACGATGAACAGGTTTAACTTTTTGTCCATCAACGAGATGAAACTTGAAGCGTTTCATGAGAACAGAGAGCAATACCAGGCCTTCAGCGATTGAAAAACGCCATCCTGGGCACTTACGCTTTCCAGCAAATCCGAACGGTTGATAAGCCAAGCTTGGAATCTGCTTGATGTCTTCTTGACTGAAACGATCAGGATCAAACCTGATAAAGACATGTAAGACACGTTATCTACACGCCAAGACATCTTCCAAAAGATTGGGTTTCACAGTATTAACTGTATTACCAATAATACTCTCAAGTCATATGTTAACATAAACTTCTCATAAAAGGCGAGAAAAAAGATGTCAGAGAGCGAAGCCGAGCGGTGTTTGTTTGTTTTTTTGTTTTGGGTGGTCGCGTCTCAGATATGGCGCTTATGAAACATGGGGTTCCTGAGGGCAGGATACTCGGCCCCTTGTTTTTTACAGTTTTTATTAAATAGATCTTTATGCAGACGATACTACAATCACATCGTCAGCAGATTGTGGCAGCATGGGAAGAATGCAGGACTGGGAGTCTCTTAATACATGTGTATCAGAAGTTTTTAACTGGGCATTGGCCAACGGGCTTCCACTCAACGAAAAAAAGACCAAAGACCTCACCGTGAAAGGAAAGCTACTCTCGACCAAAATAAACAATAACCCTCTTGCAGTGGCAGTTTGTTAACTAACGTTATGTACGTTAAGCTACTAGGTCTTGAGATTGATGAAGAGCTATCTTTCTCTAAGCATATCACGACTGTTTGTAAGACAGTTTCACAGCGCATCGGCTTGTTAAAGAAAATTATGAATTATCTGCCCCTTAAACAAAGATTACTTTATTACAATGCTTTGATCAGGCCAGTGATTAATTATGCAAGTGTCCTCTGGACTAATTGTGATAAGGAAAGCCTTGGTGGGTCCTGAAGCTCCAAAAACGAGCAGCTAGAGTAATCCTGAATGCCCCCCCTCTAGCACCATCAGTTCCCTTGTTTAATCGGCTGAAATGGTTGCCTTTTTATAAAGACTCTTTAATATCTAAATGTATCATTGCTTATAAGCGATTACTAGGTGACGTCCCTGTTTATCGAAACGATCTACTTAAATTAAACAGTAACATCCACAGTAGACAAACCAGGTACTGTAATTTTAACCTAACCTCTCCGAGGTATAATCGCGAAACAGAAGGAGGCAGAACTTTTACCGTCACAACTTGCAAAGCATGGAACAGCTTATCTTTGCCAGTAAGGCAAAGGGATTCAGTTGACTCTTTAAAAAAGGCATTGTGGAATGAATTTTCTTAAACAACAGCAACATCTTGATCATTTTTCTATTTAAGTTACTTGATGAATTGTGACATGATTATAATGCTATATTTTATCTTTTAAATAATTTAGTAGATTCTATAGTATCTGTATTCTTTGGTATTTACCTTGTATTTTTTATAGCTTAGTATACTCATTTATTATGTTATTATTTATTTATTTATTATTTAGAGGGCCACAAGTTTATTAGCCCCGGCTATTTCGTGCTAACCCTCATAAAATAAAGTCTTTACTTACTTACTTACTTCACTAGAGATAGTCAACAAGTAGCGATTACTCGCTGGAGGACATTCACGTGGGCATGCCTATTTCGCTTTCTATACTATCCCTATCCTAACTTAAGGTTCTCCTCGTAGTCTTTGCTGGAGTGGCCGCCTCGTTCACAGGCGTCTCTCTTCTGCGTAGTTATGGAAATAATATATAGCTTTAGGCAGAGCTAAAAGCGAAGCTCAGCGGAAAACTTCAAATAACACGTGACCACGATGAATTGGCACCTGAGCCCACGATACGGTCATGCGACACTGGTCAGCAGATACCCTGTTTTGACACCTGTCAACTGACCATAATATGGATGTCTATTATCAGGTTAAACATAGATTACAGGCTCTCTTACACTAGCTAGAAAATTTGACATTTCACATTGCTTTGGTTGGCCTGTGGTGCGGACAGACGGGCGGACGGTCACGTGATTACCAAAATTTCTCGGATGGGGCTCTTCGCGCGCGAGTGGAGCTCCGCTATGAGATGTCCGCTTAATAGCGGAGCTCCACCCGCGCGAAGCGCGCGCGTGGGCGGAGCCCCATAGCTAAGGAAATGTGGTAATCTACCCATCCCAGAAAATTTGGTAATCACGTGACCGTACGACCGTCCGTCCGCACCACAGGGATACCAATGTAAAATAACTCAATCAACAGGTATGGGAACCCAAATGCAACTCAAGGTTTTATTTGTAAGGAAATCACATGGCCGAACGGACTTTTAGAAAGAAAAAAGTCGTGTCTTTTTTCGGCGTTATTTTTTATGTGTACACTAACGTGGATAACAGAGAAAAAGCTAGAGCGAGTTATTGAAAATTCGTTGGAACAAAAACATGGAAATTCAAAGCGGCGGTGAGAAAATGAGAAATGCTGGCGGCCAGCAAGGTGAAAATGAGCGGCAGTGAAAAATAAAAGCGAACATGAACACTGGAAACAAAATATTGGGTAAGCACATACGACAATTTCTCCATAAAAATAGTGTGTAACTAGGAAGTTTGATGTTTTACTCGTACAAAACAGTGTTGTAGTCGTGCAAAACAACGGCAAGGGAAAGACAGAAAAGCGTGCTGCACGTGCAAATTTGCTTTTTGCTAATTAGAAGAAAAAGTGGCTGCACGTGCAATTTGTTTTTTTTGCTAATTAGATCTATTACTCTTGAAGCCATTTTCATTGTCGTCCCCCGTTTAGCGTCACACGATTTAATTTTTTTTGTTTACACGTATTATTAACCAGAGCTTCGCTTTTAGCCCTGGCTAAATCTATATATTACAGGTTGCAAAGTACAACAAAGAAATACGAGCTACAATAATTACCTTTTAGGTTCTGGCCATATATTTGGGTCTTGAAGGACAACTCCAAATGGAAGAAGGATGGGGGTCTGAAAAATAAAATATAAACTTCTTGATAGACTATAAGTGTTCATTACTGTTTAAATGTTAATAGACATGTTATACACAAAGTTGCATATGGCCTAGCCTGTTCCAGGCTCTCAGACACGCGAAAAGTTGGCGGGCGGGAAAGAGGAAGAAGTTTCCTCCCGTTTTATTTTCGTGTTTGCTCTTTCGCAATTCAGCTGACCCGACTATCTCGAAGCCTGGAACAGGCTACATATGGCCAATTTTGTCTGTAGTGAAAAGTGGGAGATACTAGAATAATTTGTCATTTCTGGAATCAAGACATTGCTGAAAATAGCAAGTTAACAAGGTATTGTTAATGGCAAAACACACAGGTATGGCAGCATACAGCCATACAGTAAATCTAATTATATTACATACCTCTTTAGGAATCACATATTCTCCAACTTGGAGATCAAATTCATGGACTCTTGCTCCCCATGGAGCTAGAACTGAAGCACGGAGGGTCTCATCAATCACCTGACGCGTGTATCTAATGGCAACAAAAATAAGTTACTCCTTAAATTGAATAAGTTATCAGGACCCTATAACCCTGATAACGCACAGCAAGCAACTCTTCTTCGTCTCTACAAGGTGTCTGTGAATGTTACAGGTCATCAAAGAATTCACGTTAAAATTATTTAACCCAGGTTGATTCTCAATTCCATTTGTCTCCAAGAACTAATACATGAATAATTAGGGCTTACGAAGACAGAAGAATTTGAGAATCAACCTAGGTTAATTTTTAATAAAAAATCTTAACATGAATTTAATTTTGACCTGTAACAGCCAAATTCTGCCTCTTATAATCAAATCACTTTTGAACAACCCTTGATTTTAATCCTTTTGTCTTCTTATTTTAGCATATGATAATATTGAAAAATTTGTCTGTTCTGTCTATGTATTTGTTATATTCATGTTTCAGACCCATTGGGATAAATTTTCACAAAGTAGCCTTCAGCCGAATTCAAATGTTTCCTTATGAGAAAATGTATGATCATTTCGTCAGGGCAAATCAAAGTGGCCAAATGTATAGCGGGATTCCACTGAAACATGAATTAAAAGTGGAGCTTCAAAATAAATATGTCACTGACTTGAGTTCTGAGGAAACCATTGGTTTGATGTCTTCATCCCCCAGAACTTCTTCTATTTCCTGGTAAACTTTTTCCTGCACTTCAGGATGTTTGGTAAGGAAGTATAAACACCAGGTCATCACTGAAAAAATAAAGATTGTTTGTACAGATACCTTGTAACACGTTTAGTTATTTTAAAGGGTTTTGTTTTCAAGGCTTTTTTGTAATTTGAGTTTCATAGCCTAATTAACATGGTTCAGTATCTAAACTTCACCAAGACATGGATTGGACGGATATTTCGGAATTGACTACTTAAACAGATTTGTTAGACTAAAATAAAAAAAGTTAATATACTGGTAATGTCTAATATCTAGAAGTAGGCATCCTTAGGATTTAAAGAAGATTTTGGTTTTAACAAAACAAACATTTCATGTTTTTAGCGACACAAAGCTGAGGAGGAGGATACAACAAAGTTTAAAACAGGGAGGTCCAACCCTTAACCCTTTTAAATACCTTTACTTACAAACACGTACACCTTCCATGTAGGAAAATGGTACTTACTATATCCTGTTGTATGGAAACCTCCAATAAAAAAGCCAATGACATTGTCACAAATCTACAAAAAGATGAAGTATGATATTTTAGCAATTATCTAGAGATGAAGTATGATATTTTAGCAATCTAAAATACTTTCTTGCATTTTACTTGGCTTAACATTTTATCAACAAGGCCAACATGCACAGCGGGCATGGATCCACACCGGTTTCCATTGTTTTACAGAAATCGGTCTCATTTTTCATAATAAATATATATATCAATAATAAAAACACTTTTTATTATTGAAATCTGGCCAATATGTTGTCTGAATGACTCAGAAAACCAGGAAAGGGACATTAAGAGTAAAAATCCAAAACATTTCCTGGGGAGCCCGCCTCCAGACCCTGCTTAAGAAGCCTACACCTTCGGCATTTGTTAAGGAAATCAATCAGTATTTATCCTAGATCCATGCCTGCACAGGTGTGTCAGCCCTGAGGAAGAGAATGTCCCAACTTATAGGCACCATGAGAATGTCAATGTAAAATTATCCAAATAAACTTAATAATAAATAACACCATGCATGATCAATAAGTGGAGTGATCAACTGTAAAATTATCCCAATAAACCCAAATTAAAAGTAAGTCCCAACCAAATAACACCTGTTATTGTCAGGAAATTAATTTTGTGGGTATTTAAAATAGAAAATGCAAAATGGGAATATCCTAAAACCCTTTCAATCCCCTTATGGTTCACGGTGAAATTTGTAGAATTATCCAAAGTTCACGTATTTGCAGACTAAAGAAAACAAATTTTATCAAGTAACAAACAAAATGTCTAAGTTTTGCAAGCGATCAAGGTCATTGCTAAAAATTAATATATAAACAGTAGAATGTGAAAGCACTGCTGATAACATTTCATTTGAATGGTCATGCACACCATAGGATTTCATCTGCTGACTGAAAAGTTGTAATGTTATACGTTACTGTAAAAGTTCCGCTGATAAAATTTAATTTGAATGTTCACACCTGACCATCTCTGGAATTGAAAGGGTTAAAAGTGAAGTGCAAACAGACCTCCTCTTCGTTCATGAAATCACAATCCAGAATAGAATCAATGAATAATTTCTCTGCTTTTTCTTCATCCTGTCGTCTCTTCTTTATGAAGTCCTTTACAAGACTACGCATAGCTCCCCTTGCTGCCGAAAACCACAGAAGAGAGAATGTTTGAAAGCTGCTAAAATTGGGCCTGATATCATGTTACAAGCAAAGTAAAAGGCCTCAGTTTGCTTGCCAAGGGACATTGCATCATATAGAGGCATAACTTTGAGAATACAACCTGCCCGTAATCAAACATTAAAATGGAATGGAATGAATCGAATGACGTATATATATATATGATGGATGGGTTTATTGATACACCATAAGTGGCAAGTCTAAAAGAGGCATGATGAGTAGACTTGATCCCCTTTTTGGGAGGTGGGGTTGGATGTGGTATAAGCTGGCCTCTTCAAAGATTTTATAGTATGTAAAAAACATGTGGTACACTAATAACCATTTCTACAAATGATATATAGATTTAGCTGGGGCTAAAGGCAAAGCTCCCATAATGAAAACTTTGGAATGGAGAAATCTAATTAGAGTTGAGCCTATCAGCTGAAACTGAAAACTTGTCAGCAGTAAATTTTAAAAAAACACATAACCTCAATGGGTCGACACCTGAGCCCGCAATACAGTCAGGTGATACAGGTCAGTAAATACTTTGTTTTGACAGCTTCAATATTGTCCACAACATGGATGTGAAATATCAGTTTGCAGGCAGCTCCCACACTAGCTGGAAAGTGTAACATTTCACACTGGTTTTCCTGTGATGTGGATGGACAGGCAGGCTGGTGGCTGGATGTATAATAATAATAATAATAATAATAATAAGGATTTCCATAGCGCCATATCTGTACGTTCTCGGTGCTAATAATAGTCGTGTGACTATCAAAACTCCTCAGGTGGATAGGTAACCAAATTTTCTTAGTTATTGGGCTCCCACACGTGCAGAGCTTAGCTGTATGAACAGTAAGGCAAAGGAATTAGCAGCCAGGTTCTAAATGATACCCCTGGCATTTAACCAAGAAGATACCATATTTACAGGTATGCTACCTTCTTGAAAATCTTTCTCTCTCTGGCTGTCTGGTTCAGGGGCAGGACCTGATAATCTAGCCTCCATTTCATCCCAACACTAAAACAAATAGAAATATGCAACAATTTACTCTGATGATGCAAAACTGAATAGTCAATTAATATAAGAGAAAAGACGATGGAGTAGATCACGGTACTGTCCTCTGCAATTTAAATTAATGTCAAAGTCGAACCCTACTGCTAAGAAAGTAAGTTATTGGAAAATGAACTCAGTTGACTATGAAAAGTTCAAGTCTGATCTTTGTGCATCTGAATTGCTACGGAACACTCCGAGACACCTTGAAGACCTGGTAAACACTAATTAAAATACGATGCTTTCAGCACTCTTGGACAAACACGCTCCTCTTTGTTAAAGATCAGTCGTACACAAGACTCGTGTACCTTAGTTCACGGATGAAATCAGGTCTATAAGAAGGTTACGCACACAATCTGAGCATAAATGAAAGAGAACTAAACTTGATTCTGATTGGAAGGCCTTCAAAGCTTTAAGGAACAGGACGACGTATGTTACGAATAAGGCATGACATGAGTTTTACTCTGACTTTGTTAATAAACTGTTTGCCTTCACGAAAAAGATGCTTAAACAAGTGAAGGAGTCCCCTTTTCCAGAGCATTGCAAGCAGTTGACCCTCGCTAACGAACTTGGAGCCTTTTTTAAAAAGAAAATATCTGACATTTGCTTTGAGTCAGATGCAGTAGCTACAGTTCACAACAATCATAGTACTTTAGCTCCATCAACAAATTGTTTCCAACCCTCATCTTCCTCAGGATTTTTCTCTAATTTTGAGCTCCTAAGCAAAGACTCTGTTAAGAAACTTCTGCTTAGTGTTCAAAAGAAATCGTGTTCTTTGGATGCCCTTGCTAAAATATAACTGTTATTATCAACCAGTCATTACAGTCTGGTGTCTTTCCAGACGTGTGAAAAAAGGCTCTTGTAACTCCCACACTAAAGAAGTGTGGTTCTGACCTGGCTTTCAAAAACTCTCGCCCCATAAGTAATCTGCAATTTGTTTCTAAGTTAGTTGAACGAGCAGCAGCGGATCAGCTTCACTCTCATCTGGTTAAGAGTACCGGTAATCTCTTTCCTATACTCCAGTCGGCATATTGTCCTAACCATAGCACTGAAACAGCCCTACTCAAAATTAAAAATGACATTTTAATGGACATGGACAAACAACATGCTACACTTCATATCCCTCTGAACCTCAGCGCCATTTTTGACATGTCCTAAACCATCTATGCACAGGATTTGGTGTGTCTGGAAAAGTCCTAGAATGGTTCGCCTCGTACTTATCAAATCGCTCTCAGAAAGTTACAGTCGATGGTGTATTGTCAGACCAGTTTAGTATCGATCTTGGGGTCCCCCAAGGTAGTTGTCTAGGTCCTCTGTTATTCGTCATTTATTCCAGTAAGCTGTTAAATATTGTTAATAAACACTTGCCCAATGTACACGCCTATACTGCTGATACTATATATTTGGCCTCTAAAGGAAACTGCTGCTGTGTCATCTATACAATCCTGTGTCCATGATACGTACAGAACTGGATGATGATCGATGGATAGATTAAAAATTAATCCTGACAAAACAGAAATTCTTATCCTTGGAACAAGACAGCAACTTCAGAAAGCAATATATTACTTCACACCTTGTTGTTGGTGAATCTCGAATATTAGTCCTTCAACAAAAGTGAAAAACTTGGGATCATGGTTTGACTCTAATCTTGACATGCTTAGCCATGTAAATAATATCTGCAGTTTGTCTTTTTATTATATCTACAATAGACGTAGGATCAGAAAGTATTTGTCTCATCAAACCGCCAATTATCTCTTATCCATGCGTATATTACCAGTAAATTGGACTACTACAACAGCCTATTATATGGCCTTCCTACTATTCACATTAATAAACTTCAAAGAGTTCAAAATGCCGCTGCTAGACTGGTAACTAACACTCCTTGTATCTGTCATATCACTCCCATTTTAAAAGATCCTAACTGGTTGCCCATCAAATACAGAATTGAATTTAAAATTGTGTTATTAACATTCAAGTGCCTCTATGGACTTGCACCACAATATCTGGTTGATCTTATTGCGGTCGCTGCCCAGTCAAGATATAATCTTAGGTCAAGGAATGCAACTTTGTTGGTACCATCCAATGCACAATGCCTATCTACACTCGGTGGCCGAGCCTTTCAGTTACCTGCTCCCAAATGAACCGTGGAACAGTCTTCCTGCGGAGATCAGAAACATTCAGAGCCTCACATCTTTCAAGCGAGCTCTCAAAACGTACTTTTTTAACATAGCTTTTTAATTGACTTATTCATTTATTTTCTTTATCTGTTTTTATTTTCTTTTATTATTTTATTATTTTATTTTTTAACATAGAATTTAATTGACTTACAATTTTATGATAGCCTTTAATTTGACTTATTTATATCTTATCGTCAGTTATGCGCATATGAAAATATTTCTATTGTATATGCGCATTATACGTTTTATATTTATTATTATTATTTATATATTTACTATTCCCCTCATAGCAGTCATATGTGAAAGTTTGCTGCAACTGGGTATACAACGATAATAAATTGGAATATCATTATAATTCTATAAAAAAAATAAAATCCATGACATTTTTATCTTTTTTTGCCCTTCCATCAAAGGTCATTAAAATGAAGTCTAAATATCCAAAGCAATTTGCACTGAAACTCCTCACCATTCTAATGAGTTTTGAGCATTTTCATGTTGAATAACAAAAGTTTACCGCATTTTCATTCAAGGTTACAAAAATCTCCTTTGGGAGATTCAAACAGTCTTGTGATTGTAAGTGACAGTAAGAATTTAACTTGGAGGCAGCAATTATTTTATAAACTTATAGGCATGACATTTTTACCTTGAGAATGCCAGGAATTTTCATAGGGGGCCTGATAATATCCGAAGATGTCCGAAGAGCACAACTTTGATGTGAAAAAATGGACAAGAAAGTGGACAAGCAACAAATCTTTCTGAACTTTGATATGGTTCTTAGGAATTATAATATTCAACTCAAGGGGAATTCACTTACATTTTACAAAGTACATGTAAGTGAATTTAAAATAATCAGGACAAAGCTTAAAAGAAAGCGGACACATTTGTAATAAGCAACGTTTTTGCCACCATCACTGTAACTGTCACTCCCTATTACCAACAACAGTTGCATTCCAACCCCCCCCCCCACCCCCCCAAAAATACAAAATACAAAACAAGGCCTTAAACACAAAAGGTACTAAAGATTCAGTGAAGTAGTTAAATAGCAGTACATTCTGGCCTTTCGCCCTTGATTTATTTTTTCTGTTTTTGTGCCTTTACAATAATATTATAAACAATAATGACAGTCGATCTGTGGTTGAAAGTGAACCAAACTTGCTGTTCAGCTTATAACCATGTGCCTGAATGTTTGTTCCATGTTCATGACTTTTCACTGCTTGATCAGTCATATCAAAAGCTCTGTAATTAATTTGGTGGAGTAAAAACAGGAACCAAGCCCATTTTTCTAATCTCTGATTAACTTTATTTACAAGAGAGCTAGTAGCTAGAAAATGAAATATTATATTCTCAATATAATTTTTGTAAAATTCTAGGAACTTGAATTCTTACCATGTCATAGGCTGATCCTAGTTTGTGAATTTCCTTTGTGTTTAAAAATTTACGGCCCATTCCTGCCACAGATATAGCCTTCATTGCCATGGTTAACATGTTTTTTCCCAAAGGAATATGTTCTTCAGGACTGTATGATGCAAAGGTGTCCGCAGCTTCTTTGGCAATCTTTCCAACAGAATGATTCAATGATCAGTCAAAAGAGTAATGGTCATGCAGTTGCACAGTTTAAAAGCAATGTGATTCACTAAAAACATTTTAAGGTTTGACTTTTTATAATTCTGCAACATAGATAGCAGGTTCTTACAGATTTTTTAATCCAAAGTTCAAGACTTTTTCCAGACATGTTTCTTTAACAATAATTTATTTTTCCAAAAAATGCAAGCATGCATGAATTGTGTTGCAAATGTACACATGTACAGGTGAGATTGAATAAGATTTTACCAAAAAAAAATTCACCTATAAAGTGGTTGTTGAAGCTTTAATTGAAGACTTTTTTACCATTTTTCCAGAATTCAAGACTCTTTACAAACCCTGGAAGATAAAACATCAATTAAGACAAGGCTTTACAGCAGGCAGGTACAAAAGTCGGACCGATCAACTCGGATCGACTCGGACCAACTCGGATCAAATAAAAAAATAAAAATAAAATAAAATTGGACTCGGATCAACTCGGAGCAATCAAAAAAATTAAATTAAATCAGCAAAACTGAAAGTTTAACCCAGCCTTGGTCTTCTGTTGGAGAAAGAGCGCCATTTGGAGAGTTGATCCGACCCGGACTGACGGTCCGACTTTTGTACCTGCCTCTTTACAGCTGCCTTAAAGCCTCTTGAAATAGTACGCCATTGACTAATCTAAATGCATGCCTGTGGCATCTCAGTTACTGGTAATTTAAAAATTGAAACATGTTACACTAATATTTACCATCACAAAGTGCTCATAGTAGTCTTTTACAGCTCCTTGACTAAAGCTTCTATCCATCAGCTGCCGCTTCTTTCGAGCACCCGGACCATTTAGATTTTGAATACTCTTTTTACCAACAAGAGGCTCAAACATCTGGAACAGTTCCACTGCAGAGGAAATGAAATCTGGGTAAATGGCAGATTTACTCAATAAATTCAAAAATAAAATGTACTTTAAAAAAGTGTCAGGCTTGTATTGAATTTACATTTGCAACCTTAAAGTCAAATGAAGCAGTTCTGTACAAGGTGGTCTAATGAATTCAATCCTCATCATATGTTTAATCAGCTTAACAAACTCCAGTAATTAATTTTCATATTATTCAAGAATCCTGGATGGACAATTTTTTTCAGACTCCTTTCAACAGCTCAATTAGAAAATGCAATTTTAATACCAGAACTATCAAATTTATCATTCAACCCTCAATCTACTTAGAAGTTGGTTTTCATACTCACGTGGTCTGTCAAAGATGTGGTTTACTTCTTTCCAGTACTCTGGAGAAGCCAAACTGACGACATACTTCTCGCCCCACCAGAACCCTGCTATACTGCCATATTTCTCATGTAATAGAATCAAGTATTCATGGACACTTCCAGCTTTTCCCATGTCAAGAAAATTTCCCATTCTGCAAAATAAAGTAACAACCCACAGATAATCACTATAGCTGCAGATGGCAAGTTGCTTAAGCAGACAATATTTACATGTTATTCCACAACTCCTGCAAACCTTACATTATATTACATGTTTGGTCAGATTAGGAAAACCTTAAAACGGTAGTGACAGTGTACCTGATGCAAAATTTCCTTACACATGTCTCTTGCATATGATTTTCAGCTTGCAAGAATGATTATCTGGTATCAAAAATTATTTTTTACAAAACCATGGAAAAGTTGTTTTTCCTACTAAATTTTACTTTTTTAAGTCAGTTAGAAAGACATAATGCCAATAGGCTAGATATTAGCATATTTATGCTTTTCTGTAAAATACAACTCTAAATAAAGGCCACATTCACCCTGTAGGTAGGTAGGTTCACAGAAGTACATCCACTTATACATGCACCAGTAAGACAATCTCAAAGGTTGATAATGAAACATGACCTTATTTCTACACTAGAATGAAAGGGAAAGAGATCACTAAAACATGCACAAATTTAATGAATAAAATCACCTTATCAGGTAACAATTAACAATGGCCAAAAGGGACCATAGAAAATACCATAATTCCTTACATTGCTGCCCTGTTAGGGTAGTGTTTTATGTAAACCATACTTTTGCATACGTTTTGGCCACAATTTGCATCTCCAATTCACCACTTGTTGAAAAATTGCATACTCAGTACATTTGCATGCAAACGCAGTTGTGCCAATGTTCAACGTTTAGTTTAGTACCTTTGTCTTATCACTGCATAATTCAGAAGTTTTGCAACAACAGAATAAGCGATTTGGAAGGACTCTTTAATCAGAGATAAAATTTGTAAGAAAAAAGCTCAGAATAATTACGCATTATAGATTACTACGGTATTTTTCACAGTGGACTATGAAGTGTTGGGAGGGGGCACTCATCCAGACCATGCAGGGGCAAGGGGTGCCGTGGAAAATTTTTCTTGGACCTACAGGCCTTACACATGGCCTTAGCCTGCAAATGCAGATGTATTATTTTGCAGTTGTCACTTCTCTCTTCCCAAAGTAACAACCAAAAATTGTCTTTGTGTGCAAGCTGTGCTGGTCTCATTTTGATCCAAAACTGATAACAGGCCAGAGCGCTTTCCATAGCCAATAGACCTATTTGGCTAATTAACTTAATGTTGTACCCAATTCAAACCCTTTGGGAAAAACCCGTTTTGTTTCGGGAATTTCCATATCAATGAAATGTGAATGCCACATTATAATGCAAATACAATACACAAAGAATCTTAACCCCGGGAGATTTGAATTAGGTACAACATTGAATTAGCCGAATACGTCTATCTGTGAATTAGTTACAGTTGTAATTACTTACTCTGAGTCCAATGGTTCTTCTCCTGGAATTGCTGGACCTTTTGACCTTCCTTTCTAAAGGGAACGATTTATTTAAGCTTAATTCCTGTTGTAATTAAAATATCAAAGAAATTTATCACGGGGCGAGGGGAGGGATTATGCATTGTACACTGATCATGTCACACTCCTTTAATGCCGTGTTTAGACTTGAGCGTGCTACCGAGGTATTGGAGTTAACTTACCTAGGTAAATATTTTGCGTGTGTAAACGCCAACTGATACCCTGGTAAACACCGCTGAAGACAATAGAAAGTTAACTAAGGTAAAAGTTCGGTTTGCCCTGCGAAAAGGCATGGTTAAGGTCGGTAACCAAGGTTTGGATGACAGATACATCCGCTTGCGGTCGCGTAGAATTTCAAATCCTGTGGTGTCGGGATTGCGTCAGGCTCATTCGATCACGTTTTCGAGACCAGGTTTTCGAGACTAGGTTTTCGACCAGGTTTCCACGTTTGGTTTCGGTCTACGAAGAAGTTATGGCAAAAACCAAAGACACAAAAGACACACCATTCTTCAACAAAATTTCCGTTTAATAGAGTTTCGAACCAGAATTGGTTTCTCGGCCACGACCACGCACGTCTAACGCGCCTTGTCTTGCGAAGGGCAATTTGTAGCAGAATTAATCGCTTTCGCGTCCACCTCTTTAGGTGCTGCAAAAGTAAGAGCTGCTGCAAACTCGATTCCTGGGTTTGCTGATCAAGAACAAGAAAATAAAACGCGAGGACTACAAGAGCCACAGCTTCTCTTTTAAACGCGAGCAGTTATGCGTGGATTTAGAATTTGCCGCCAATTCGATTAGATTGTGATTGATGACAGACTTACCTTAGTTATTTGAGCCCGTATAAACACTGTACAAATGTACCAGGGTTTAGTCTGTTAATGTTTACCTTGGTAAACGCTTGAGTGTAAACACAGCATAAATGAACGCAAGCAGCATCAGTAAACTTGTCTAACTCTCTATTCTATTTCTTTGAACAGTACACTTCGCTTCTCTGCATCTTAACTAAAGCTGACCTTTAAAGCGATTACAGTAAGCTACAACGCAAATGACGTTTACTTACTGTAGTAAAGTTAAAGAATTCGTGACACTTTGTACAATGAATCGTGACTTGTTAATCTTGAGTGAACAATAGATCAATTACTAGCTTGATAGGAACCGGAAATATGATCCCTATTGTGTAAGCAAGCGTGCAAAAATGTGCAGGGTGTAAAGTAGATAGTTAGATGTGCCTTCCGATCGGAATAGCGTAAAAGCTACAAGCTACACCCTTTAAACTGATAGGATTTTGTGTAGGATGGAATGATTACTCAAACCTAGCCGCTCAGGATTTACGTAAGTAATGTAGGAGTAATAGTGTTTTAAGCTTTCAATCGAATTAGGGTGTTTACTAGAAAGGAAACCACATGCATTACCTACTATATTTTCCCACGTATGATTTAGCTACCAATATGTATAAAAGTACCTTGATTTAGCAATAAACGATGAATATGAATGTGATCAGGACTTGAGTGTTTACAAGTCCCTTAGAATACTGATAGCCCGAAACCGGCCAAGTCTAGAGATACTCAAGCAGTCGACACTTATCTGTTGGCCACGAAATCAACTCCCGTTTACAACACTGGTGGCAAGCGGCGGGATCGAATTCAAGTCTTCGTGGATCAGTTCTACAAGGATCGAGGAGTTTGGCGATTCTTGGAGATAAGTAGAGCTTGTTAGTAGTTGATAAGTTGTCGGGAAGCTGTTTGTCGCAATTGGGTTTGCGGGACTTGTACTGGCTTGGTTGTGTTTTGGGTTATCGCTATTCTTGTGTACGTAATTGATTAAATTTTATTATGGTTAATCCCGACGGAGAAACTCCTGCCCCTAGCTCAGGCGCTACTGCACAAGCGGCAACTAGTAGTAATAGGCCAATAGTTATGCCAGAGGCATTTTCGGCGGCCGGGAACGAAGAATGGGACTCGTGGCTTTCCCATTTCGAAGATTGCGCCGTGATAAACGAGTGGAACGACGCGCGTAAAGCTCAGTTTCTCGCTGTTCGTATGCGTGGGGCCGCGTTGCTCCAACTACAGAGTTTATCACCGGACGTGCGGGGAGATTATACGGGTTTAAAAAGAGCACTTCGCGAAAAATTTGTGCCGAAAGAACGGATCGAGCTCCACAAGGCGGAGTTTCGTGCAAGACGCCGGGAACGGGACGAGAAGCTACCGGATCTCGCTAGTTCGCTGCGACGACTCGTCGGTAAAGCGTATCCCGAGGCGATTCCTGATTTGCAAGACAGCCTTGCAAAGGATCAATTTATCGACGCGTTGGAGGACCGGGAAATACGGATGAAGATCCGAGAATCGGGTCCAAAAACGCTCGATGAAGCGGTCAGTCGAGCCTTGCAAATCGAGGCAATGTACGAAGCGGAGTCTCGTCGGACTAAGGGTCGGTCGGTCCGAGTAATACAAGAACCAGCCCAGGATGAGCGCAGTGCATTTGCAGAACTCCTCAAACAGAACACAGCCGCCATGAATCAGATGGTTCACTTCATCCAGCAACACCAACAACAGCGGCAGCCGCCTTCAACTTCGGGCGAGAGCGAACGTAAACAAAACGGTCGGGGACTGGGCCCGAATACAAAAGATCGAATACAACGCCGTTGTTTTAGGTGCCACAAACGGGGCCATTACATTGCCGATTGTCCTCAACCAGCACGGGATCAGCAGGGAAACTCCAAGTGATCGGCGCCGCGGGTCAAGCGTCGGTCGGGGAAATCGGAAAGACCCGAAATGTATCGGAGAATAATTTAAGTAAGAAAGTAGAAACTAAAGTTGTAGCAAACTCGTTTTCAAGTATTCATAGTGTTTCTAGTGACACTGCTGTGTATGTAGCAGGGCTAGTGGCAGGGCAACCTATTGACATGTTGGTCGACACTGGGTCGGCAGTGACTCTTGTGCATCAGCGGGTGCTTAACAGGTCCCCCAAAAATTTTAAGTTAAGTGTGGTTGGTGAACCAGTGGTTTCAGCGAATGGCCAACCTTTGGATATTAGGGGCAAGTGTGACCTGGAAATTTGCGTTGATGGGGTGAACGTTGTTCATTCAGTTTTAGTTGCTGCAGATGTTACCCAGGATTGTTTACTAGGTATAGATTTCTTAGGTAAACATGGTTGCAAAATTGATTTTGAGGCTAAGTCACTAAGTATTGGGAGCAAAATTGTTAACCTTCAGGCTAAGAGTGGTGGTAACAAAGTTTTTAGGATAAGTTTAGCGGAGACTGTGGTTGTTCCTGGACGTCATGAAATAGTGTTGCATGCTAAGGTTAAGGGGGCTGGTTGTGGTGATGGTTTGTTAGGTTTAGTGGAACCATCTCCAAGTTTTGCCAAACAACACGATCTTTTGCTTGCTCGTGTGGTAGCCCACCCTAAGAACAACACAGTACCTATCCGCCTGGTCAACCCGTCACCAATGCCTGTTACCCTGTACAAGAACACCTCAGTTGGTACCCTCAGTGAGTTGGAGGAAAGCAGCCCTGACCCACCTGAGTGTAATCACCTTACGTCTGCAGCATCCCGTAGTACGACGCAGCCAAAGGTGTCCAGTAAATTTGACCTTGACTCTCTAGACCTGACTGGCGGGCAGAGGACCGCACTGAAAATGCTCTTAGATGAGTATGCAGACATCTTTTCATCCGGACCAGCAGACCTAGGTAGAACCGGCGTGGTAAAGCACCAAATCGATACAGGTGACTCCCCTCCTATAAAGCAAGCGCCAAGGCGGGTACCATTGCACCAGCAGGAGGTTGTGCGCCAGCACGTGGAAGACATGTTGCAGAATGGGGTGGTACGTCCGTCTACTAGCCCGTGGGCCTCACCCATAGTTCTGGTCAAGAAGAAAGATGGTGGTACTCGTTTCTGTGTGGACTACCGCAAGCTGAATGATGTGACCAGGAAGGACGCCTACCCACTTCCGCGAATAGATGAGACCTTAGACGCCCTAGCAGGTGCGAAACTGTTCAGTACGTGGGATCTTGCCAGCGGTTATTGGCAGGTCGAGATGGAGGGTGCTGACCGTGAAAAGACAGCATTCACGACCCGTCATGGCCTCTTTGAATTCCAGGTAATGGCCTTTGGTCTCTGTAATGCGCCAAGTACGTTTCAGAGGCTTATGGAATTTGTTCTTGCTGGACTGCAGTGGCAGACGTGCCTGGTCTACCTGGACGATGTTATTGTGTTTGGTCGAGACTTTGAGGAACACCTGGTGCGGCTACGAGAAGTTTTCGAGCGATTCCGCCAGGCGGGGCTGAAGCTGAAACCCTCAAAGTGCTTCCTGTTGCGACCGAAAGTCCCTTTTCTTGGCCATGTGATCTCAGCAGATGGTGTGAGTACTGATCCAGACAAGATAAGAGCAGTGGAGCAGTGGCCTACCCCTTGCAATGTGTCCGATGTAAGAAGTTTCCTGGGTCTAGCCTCGTACTACCGCAGGTTCATTGAGGACTTTGCAGAGATTGCATCCCCTTTGCATCGCCTGACAGCGAAATCCATTGAGAGATTCCAGTGGTCTTCAGAATGCGACAGAGCCTTCCGTAGCCTGAAAGAGAAATTGGTGACAGCTCCTGTACTGGCCTTTCCCCGAAGTGACGCAAAGTTCATTGTGGACTGTGATGCGAGTGACTATGGCCTCGGAGCAGTTATTTCTCAAGAGCAGGACGGGAGTGAGAGAGTGATCGCGTATGCAAGTCGTGTGCTGGACAATCGTGAGCGCCGATACAGCACTACCAAGAAAGAGATGCTTGCTATGGTTTACGCAATCAGACACTTCCGCCATTACCTGTATGGAAGACCGTTTACTGTCAGAACAGACCACAACGCACTGAAGTGGCTTCAGAGCTTTAAGGAACCCGAGGGACAGGTGGCCAGGTGGCTCGAGTTGTTGGCCCAGTACGACTACAAGATGGAACACCGACCAGGACAAAAACACCAGAATGCTGACGCGCTTTCGAGAAACCCCCTTGTGGTTGCTGAGGACACTGACCAGACAACCCAGACCAATGCAGTAGGCAGCAGCACCAGTACCTGGGTACCCAGTTGGACAGTGACCAACCTGCGATCCAGTCAAGCGGCGGATCCTGACTTGAAGAAGATCTTGGCTTGGAAGCAGAACCAGACCAGCCAACCGGCTTTCCGGAAGATAGAAGGAACCAGTAAAGCAACCAGGAGCTTGTGGGCACAATGGAACAGGTTGCAGTTGGAGAATGGTGTCCTTTACCGCCGGTGGGAAACAGATGATGGTCATGGTACGCGGCTGCAGTTAGTACTTCCCAGGTCTATGGTATCCGAAGTCCTTTCCGCCCTTCACGATGCACCCTCAGCTGGCCACCTGGGAGTAACTAAGACCTTGGAGCGAGTGAGAGAACGCTTCTACTGGTATGGTCAGCAGCATGACATCGAAGATTGGTGCCAACAGTGCGAAAAGTGCTCGAGGAGGAAGTCCCCACAGCAGCCAGGAAGAGCACCCCTTGTCAGCAGCTGTCCCGGTTACCCGTTTGAGAGGATTGCTTTGGACATCATGGGTCCCCTACCAACAACAGAATCTGGTCAGAAGTACATTCTGGTTGTTGGAGACTACTTCACAAAGTGGACCGAGGCATTCCCACTCCCGAATCAAGAGGCAAAGACAGTCGCAGAAAAGCTGGTGAACGAGGTTATTTCCAGGTTCGGGGCGCCCGAGCGTATCCACACTGACCAGGGCCGGAACTTCGAAGCCCAGCTGTTTAAGGAAATGTGTAACCTCTTCAGTATCGAGAAAACGAGAACAACGCCATACCACCCACAGAGTGATGGCATGGTTGAGCGCATGAACCGTACGATACAGGACATGCTGGCAAAATATGTCGCCGAGCACCAGCGTGACTGGGATGTTCACCTACCCATGGTTATGATGGCATACCGGTCCAGTGTCCATTCCTCTACCCAGTACACACCCCACTACCTGTTGTTTGGACATGAGGTACGGTTGCCCTTAGACGTTATGTATGGTCGTGAACCTCATCAGCCTGAAGCAGCCTCTGAGTACGCAAGGAACCTCAGATCCACCCTCGAAGAAGCCCATGAGAGAGCTAGAGAACACCTGAAGACTGCCCAGAGAAGAAAGAAGGACTACTATGATCGCCGCGTCGCTGGAGACGAGATAAAGGTTGGAGATCATGTGTACCTTCATTTTCCTGTAATCAAGTCAGGACGGACAAAGAAGTTGCATTCGCCATGGCATGGTCCACACGTGGTGGTAAAGAAGATCAGCGATGTAACGTACCGGATAGAAGAAGTGGACAACCCCAGGAAACGGCGAGTTGTGCACTTCAATCGACTGAAGCTGTGTGGTGAGCCACGACAGAGGGCCGAGCAACCTGATCAGTCTACTGGCCAGCCTTCCAGTTTGCCAGTGCGGAGACCTCATCTTCCCCCTCGCTATGTTCCGGATGAGACTGATCTTATGTATGCAGATGGTACTGCAGCTGACGGGAACGGGACATTAGCAAGAGCTGAGGAAGAGGACTCCACAGAGGCAGAAGTGCCAGCTCCAGAACCAGTAGCTGAAGTAGTGCCTCCCCCTGTTGTAGACAGACCAAGAAGAGAAGTTCATGCTCCTGCTTGGATGAGAGACTTTGTTTCTTAATTTTTGAATGAACTTTGATTAATTTTCTTACTGTAGCTGCATTCAGAGTTGATATTTTTTTTATAGTGGCTGTACACCCAGTGATTTATATTTTGCTTTAGAATCCAGTAGTTTTCCTTTCCTTTGTTGCATGGCATGGGGACATGCCCATTTCTAAGGGGGGGATAGTGTAGTAAAGTTAAAGAATTCGTGACACTTTGTACAATGAATCGTGACTTGTTAATCTTGAGTGAACAATAGATCAATTACTAGCTTGATAGGAACCGGAAATATGATCCCTATTGTGTAAGCAAGCGTGCAAAAATGTGCAGGGTGTAAAGTAGATAGTTAGATGTGCCTTCCGATCGGAATAGCGTAAAAGCTACAAGCTACACCCTTTAAACTGATAGGATTTTGTGTAGGATGGAATGATTACTCAAACCTAGCCGCTCAGGATTTACGTAAGTAATGTAGGAGTAATAGTGTTTTAAGCTTTCAATCGAATTAGGGTGTTTACTAGAAAGGAAACCACATGCATTACCTACTATATTTTCCCACGTATGATTTAGCTACCAATATGTATAAAAGTACCTTGATTTAGCAATAAACGATGAATATGAATGTGATCAGGACTTGAGTGTTTACAAGTCCCTTAGAATACTGATAGCCCGAAACCGGCCAAGTCTAGAGATACTCAAGCAGTCGACACTTATCTGTTGGCCACGAAATCAACTCCCGTTTACAACACTCTTACAAAGTCAAACATGAAAAGAAGAACGACTATCAGTCCGAAAACCATCGCCACTGCAAACACGCCCAGGTCATTGACAGAAAGATGAGTTGGAAACATTATGAAACGCTGTTCGATTATCGCAACAACCTTATTGCAAAACAATCGAACAAGGATGCTCTTATATAAAAATCTGCAGAAAGAATTGCAGATTTTGAAGAGATTTTGCAAATGTAGTGGTAGATTTGTCCCAGTCTTTTTCAAGCTAGGGCGGCTAGCGGGGGGGGGGCGGGGGGGGCGATACTCATTTTATATATGTGCCGCCCACCGGGCAGGGTTTTTGCGCCGTTTTGGTCTGAAAAAAGGTATACCGGCTTTGCCAATTCTGCTCTGGAATCGGATATGGTTTTTGAGGGAACTACGGGAGTGTATGAACGTATTTATTGTTTCAATTCCAAAATGAGTAAGAAAGAAAGAGAAATATACCAATTCAAAATGGATTTGAAGAATTTTTTTGTTTGCACTCCAAATTTCAGGCTAAAGGGCGCCAGGTCTGAAATTATGGGTATGAATTTTAAAGGTCTGGTCTGAAAAAGGGTGTGGAAAATTACATTTTTTGGTCTGAAATATGGTCAGGATTTGGAGAACCGGGCGGCACTCCCCCACCAAAAGTTCCCGGTAATAACCCCCCTCCCCCCCTGGGTAGGGCGACCAAGCCGAAGGCTAGCCGATGCGACGGAAATCGAACCTAGCCGAACCGAAGGTTTACTAAGTTTTGCATGACGGGGAAATCAACCTCTGGTCTGATCTTTTTAAAAGCCTTTTCCAGGTGTTCAGATAGTGGTGAACGGGGAAAAAAAAAAAGGAAAAAGAATAAACCCCACCCCTCTCGCTGTTTTTCCACTCCTGACGAAATCTTTTTCCGCAGTCCACACAATCTGAACCGGCCTGGAACAGGCTAATTAACCTCATGTAACTACTGTTCTCTGGGTTTTCTGCTTGGTATCAAAATGTTTAAGAACCTTAAACAAGTATTCTTAATGAGGCGAGATACTTTGTGCTGTGACCAAGAGAGGATAAAGGGGACAGAGAAGGCATCCCCCATACACACCCTATTTCACAGGTAATTCGTCTCGAGTTATTTTTAGAATCGGGATAAAGTTACCTCGCGCGCTGCGTGGATGTTTCGTGGGGGTTTCGCATGACTAAACGCCGTGCAAAACATGTCGGGCGAAAGGCAATGAAAGCATAAAGAGATCGAGAGCATTTCTGAATATTGAAGCGAAATGAGTCGGCGCTCACCTGAGAAAAGGGTATCGCTGAACTCGTGAAATCAGTTTAACTCGAAGCTGTCGTAACCTCAGTGCTTTAATAAAATGAGAAATTTCGCCAGTCTATTGAAACCGGTCGTTTGTACAATAAAGCAAGTAGGACGCCAAGTGTTAATTTTGTTGAATAATAAAAGACTAATAAAAGAATAAATATCAAACCAGAAATTCCTCTCTTCAAACTGTAAATTATAAATGATCCTGAGAGAATATTCTGCTGTACTGTTAGCTCTATACAAGAGAGGAAGGGCGATTCTTTTTAATTTCCCTTTCGCTGACACCGCTTTAGCAGAAATCTCTCTTTAGTCATTTTCGTCGACAAAACGAATAGCAACATCGCTCTCCGAGTCTTCCGCCGTATGATTCTGCGTCAATTCGTGAAGGACGCGTGGCTCTGAGCGTGGGTCATCCACGCGGAACACATTCGCGCTATGTGATTGGCTGTTGTCTAATCCCTCTTGGGATCTGTGTGTCTTAAAAATAACTCGAGACGAATTACCTATGGAATAGGGTGTATATGGGGGATGCATTCTCTGTTCCCTTTATCCTCTCTTTGCTGTGACCGTTCTAGTCGGCAAATAACGATGGATTACAACAGATTCAATCTTAGACGATGGCTTTATTTCTACTTTATTACTACTGAGTGGGAGTCTGGGTGCTAATATGAACTACTTTGCCTCGGAAGCTCGTCGTCTCGCTCCCCAAAGGCGTAAATTGTAGATTTTGGTCTCACTTGTGTTTGGGACGGAAAGTCACTACATTTGCCCATTTAGGAATTGCTCAAAGCGGTGCATAAAGAAGTTAAAAAAAGGGTCGTGACACTAACCGCACAGTAATCCAACGTTTTTAAGCGTTAGGTTAAACTGGCACAAGACAGTCCACAAGACAAATCAATTTCCGGTGTTGGTCCCCTTTAGGGGTCACTTTAAGCTTGTGTCACATCCACATTGGTCTCCGTTAAGGGATGAATCAGAGTGTAAATTGAGGATTGCTGCACATGCATTTTAAAAACGGTTGTTCTTCAATTATCATATTATACAATGCAATTCCGTCGCAACAGACTAAACGTGATTGCTGAATTGGAGGATTATTCTGGAACTGGAATTGGAGCTATGCCGTTCCTGCGAGCTGAGTCTGGATCAGTCGAGCAAGTGACAGAAAGACTTTGCTAACAGTGTGTGCTATACAAGGTGAAAAAAACGAAACAATGCCGCTCCTTGAATTAGAAAAGGTGAAACTGGTAGAATTGGTCTGTTCTCACAATATACATTGCCAGGCTATCAAAAAGCCTGGCGTATGTAGGATGGATGGGATCGGCTATTTATTGAAAAAGTTTAAGTTACTAAAAAATGTCTTTTTTTTCTCAAAATGTGTTTTTTTCACTGTTTTATTTCTGTTTTTATTTTGTTTGTATTTTTGTTGCTGCGTTTTTATGATCGTGGGAGTAGCTACGCCCATGCAAGTGGAAACAAAACGCTTCATGGGCCCATGTTATTGGAGAGCCGACTATTCTGTTCACATGTTCTGAGATCACTGGGTTTTTTTTTTGAACAATAAATTGCGTTGTACGTCTCTTGAAATTTGCAAGAATAACGTTAGATTAAACGCCTTAATTTATGCCCAACTTCTGCAACTGCCTACTAATTTAACAATTCAGTTGTGTTTTTTTGCACGCAAGATTGGATCAGTGTTGTGTCGAGTTATGCAAAGGGAATGTTTTGGGAGGACCAATTTGACCATGCCAAGTTTCGTGCGCAACATTGTAATAGCTCATGAACTGAGAAGCGACCAGCAATATAGTGCCTGCATGGCACAACATGACACAATCCCTTATTCAGACATTTAATTTTCGCGACACTTTAATTTCGCAAATTTCGAACATAACATGACGCGAAAATAGCTAAAAATAAAGAAAGGACGAATTTACACAAACGACCACGGAGATCATGGTGATCAAATTAACGAACAAGCGTAAAATTCTTCTGGAAATTCTTAAAACTCTGTTGTTACTGTTCTCATATAGCCCCGTCGCAACATCTCTTGTCATAAATTTTGACGTTATCGTAAATGAAGTTATTCTATTTGTTTCAAGGATAACTTAAATAAATAGCGTCTTACTAAAGATCGCGAAATTAAAGTGATTCAAAGTACACAAATTTAGCAAAATCGCGAAGTTTAAGAGTCGCAAAATACGCGCATTATAAAATCGCGAAGCTAACGTGTCGCGAAAATTTCATGTTATAAGTTATCCACTATCACTAGCAACCCCTAATGTATAGAAGAACACGGCCTGTATGTTGTGGACGGACGGTCGAACGGTCAAGTGATTATACAGGTTTTTTTTCCATGGATCGTTTCATGAATCGTTAATATTCTTGCACATGACGCACTGCGAGAGTCCTTTTGGTGTGGGGATCTCCGCTAAAACAAAGGCGTAAGAAGGAACACAAAAACCGCCAAGTATCCTTGGCACATGTCGGATTCTAATGTTCGGCTGGGTTTCGCATATGCTACTGGGCAAAGTGCTCAAATATGTGTATACTTAAGGCTGGCCATCATTTAACTTGCAGATAATTGTCAGCAACAACAGGGCTGGCCCGCTTTTAAAGACCACTGAAATATTCGTTATCAAGCGTTTGGTTGTTTCGGCTTCTATGCTTAACTTATGAGGCAATAAAAACAGTTATTTATCCATCAGTGACAATAAAAATGATTTTATATTTAGTTGAATCCATCATGTGACTTGTTCACAGAATCATTGCAAAAACCGCGAACCAATTTTATTAATTTAGTTGAATGGAGTTGATGCTCAGTGGACCTTGATGTTGTTCACAGACAAATGCTCGTTATGCTCGGTGACAAGAAACCGCGAACCAATTAGGGTCCTTTTCGAGTAAATAAAATTAGATTAAATTTGGTAAAAACCAAACTGTGTAACTAAAATATAATTCTTTATTTGAACATAAGAGATTGACGCTACTCAAGCCTCTATTGCTTCAAAAAAACGTTGCAGAGATTTTTGTTAGATTTTAGAACTTTCATCCTGAATAAGAACCTGTTTAAAAATTTGTCTGTGTTGTGTTCCGCAAGGAAATTATGTTGGTTCCTTGATATCTATAACTCTTCTGACAAATTAAGTTATTATTTATCTGCTGATGACATTAATCTACTTAATGCTGATAACAACGTGATATTTAGATTTCATAGAATAAGAACCTGTTTAAAATTTGAGGCTAAAGAGGTTCCTGTATAAAGAGGGGCCAATCTGGAAAACTTCAGACTAACGGGTTCTTACTGGCGAGTTTTTACTGTATTTAAGTATTATGGGTGTTCTTGAAAGCTTGAAGTTTTACTCTTTGCCTAACTGCTTATCCATTTTTACTAAATGCGTCAAGATTTGGTTATACTCATTACGCATAAACCGCGAGAAATAATGCGTACGACAGCTAGTTTTCTCAGGGAACCTTCATGATACTATTAAGGATATTATTATTATTATCATCCTTATCTATCCACTGTACGTGTTTCTCATTTCTAAGGATTTCTAAATGATGGCGGATTTGCCGCAAGATTTGTATTTCTCGTATGACCATAATTGTACGCGCGCTCTGATTGGCTATTTTCTTGTAATGACCGGACATCACCTTCTTGTACTGACCGGGTGTTTTTAGTTAGGTGTCCAAGGCATGTACAATCTGTGTTTAACTTGATAGTGGACATCCTTATGGCCATCCTGGTTATGATCAACTGACAGCTGTCAAAAAAGGTATCCGCTGACTAGTGTCACCTGACTGTATCGAGGGCTCAAGTGTACAATTAATGCATGTGACGTGTTTTCTAAAGTTATCCGCTGACCAGATGTTGCTTTTAATTGATCGCAGGTTCAGGTCTATGATGAAAAGACCATAAAAAAAGACTTATTAACCTCGTCCGTTCGGTCATCACGGGGAAATCTCAGACCGAGACTTTGATGTATTGACGGAGAGATAGCAAGGTCAATGCATCACTAAATTAAGGCCCGAGGTCTGATATTTCCCTGTAATGACCTCAATCTCGGTTAATAAGCAGTATGTAAGTTCCTGGTTTGCACTAATACTTTAGCGAAGGTCTGAGCGACGTCAGGAATTGTCTGTGAAAGAAAAAAAGGATTTCGGGCACGCGCTTAAATCCCCCGGGGGTCAAATCCCCTTCCCTATGGAACGCCGTCTATAATTCAGTACTATCACAGGAATTAGGCCGTAAAGATCCACATTTACCAGTCTGTGGAGTTTAAATGCAAATCATTTCATACTCATATTCTGCATATTCTCTGGTTATATTACTCTGTTGTATCAGTTGTAAAACACGCAGTTTTCCAACTCAACCCCCATCCTCCGGGAGGAGGAAGCCTCCGTAATCGATTACGTATGTCTGACTATCAAACCCGAGGCTGACGGTGCGCTTATTTTTCATTTTTACTACACTGGACTAGTTTTGAACTATCAAAATCCATACTCCCCTGCAAGGATGAAGAGAAAAAAAAACAAAATAAATCAATCAAAGTTTCATTTCTTTTGTTTTATCAGCCGTAAGTCTCCGAGCCAAGCTAATAATTCGCTACTGACTTGCTACAACTAGGTAAAGAAATCAAACAGTCTGGTTTCCGTTCAAAATGGTAATGAGATAGCTAAAAACCCAATGCCAGTGAAAAATAATAGAACCTCTTAACTATTCCATTATGATAAAAAAAAAGTTTGAGAACCTTTAAATATGTATTGATGCAGCAAAATCGATAGACACAAGGATTTATTGAGAGTTTTTGAGAGCGCCGCATGTCATATGCATGTATTGGCTATCTAGTGCAACTTCAAGGTGGTTATATGTGAGACGCCTGATACTTCAATTATTTCATTATTCTCAAGACCACTTAAATTGCCCTCTTTAGATTGGTTGTCTGCTACATTAATAAAGCAACGATGCTGGAGATATTTGAGCTAATAACAGATACTCAAAACAGGTGATCCCAAGAGCCATAATGGGTGATCCTTTTTCTTTTAATCAAAGTCTTGTGTAAATAGTACATAACGTGTAAGAAAATTGATCTCAGAGCCATGGATGTTCTCTCCAGCTTAAACTTTACTCTTTTCTTGACTGCTATTCCATTTTACATCACTGGATTCGTCGGTAATGTGTTGGTCATCCGCATTGTGCATAAAACACGAGAAATGCACACGACAACTAATTATCTTTTAGCAAACCTTGCTGTTAGCGATGTTATTACCATCTTTATCTATCCACTGTACGTGTCTTCCTATTTGTACGGATATCTAAATGATGGATTTGCCGCGATATTTGCATGTAAGTTCTTGGTTCTCACTCAAATTTCGGCTATGGTCTCGGCATTAACTCTGACAGTGTTGGCAATAGAAAGGTATCACGCGATACTGAAACCCTTCAGAAGAGATTTATTGTTGAATAATGGCAACATTAAGCGCGCTATCGCTTTTGTCTGGGTCTTAAGCATCGTATTTACTTTCCCAGAATTTTTCTTACAGGAATGGAGTCAAAAAGAGTCTGCGTGTAGCGGTCCATGGAGTCTGAATGCGAATCAAGCAAGCAGAGTTTATTTGTATTTTTACTCCGTTGTCTCTACCTATGTTCCTCTCGGAGTGTTTTTGTTCTGTTACGGTTCTTTAATCAAAGGATTATACTTATCCAATACAATCTGTGCCACCGATTCAGATCAAGACAGAGATGACAAAAAGAAACTTGTTGTTACAATCATCATGGCTACTATGGGGTTTGTTGTTGGTTATGGAACGCTTGTTGTATTTTACTGTGTTATGACATTCCATAATGGTGAACGGTTCAAGTCTAACTTACATTACCAACTATTGAGTGTGTTCTCCTTCATGTTTATCTGCAGTTTAAGTTTTAACCCGGTTTTATACGCTTTTCGAAGCACGAACTTCCAAAAGGGCTTCAGAAAAATATTATTCTGTCAGAAAATATCGACACAACACAACGTCATGGACTTGAGATGTTAAGAAACATCAAACGTTTGACAAGAACCGGGTGAATCTGACGGTAATGGGTGCTGTCTATAAAAGTTGATAAAACTGATTCCTCGCGAAGCTGAGGTGCATAGATCCGTCTCGCGTGAAGCGCGCGGGATGCACGCGCATCGTAGCGACCTGCACACTCAGGTGGCCCATGTATATTCTATGTTTGTTCGTATTTATGTATATACGACTTATTTCTTTATTGCTTCGAACGAACGTCCATGTTTTACAAAGCTTCCCGAGACGGAATAACTATCTCGATTTTTTTTAAATGTGAATGGCAAGTAACTCAGGTTACCATTTGTTTTATTTCACCTCATCATACTGTTGGCAAAGTGAAAGAACCAAGTGTCCGTGGATTGCCACATTTGGTGCCTGGGTACTGGCCCAAAATGGTGCTTGTGTTTACACCTTGAGAACCCAATATGTATCCGTGTATATTATTTACTCCCTTTCGCCCTGTCAGACGCCATTTTGAAACGCGAGCTTAGCAGGTAGTGCAGAGCAGTGGATCGTTCTGGAACTAGCAACAATGATGCGCACACAGGGACCCGGTGCCCACTTTAGTAGTGCTCGCGTCAGGAAGCGATTACTCCTGCTCGCCTACGAGGTCTTTGGCTCAACTTTGGCCCCATTGCCTGAATTCAGGCGTGCCCAGTGAGTACCGTACTGGAGCACCGTGCCTGGGCACCCAGTGTGTACGCTGCCTAAGTCCCTTCTCGAATATTTCGGCTTTATTTGCGGTGCAAGAGGTCATGGGAAGGGCGAAAAATGCCACGCAAGCTTTTAGTTTTGTATGATCACTCCCGCTCCTGTTACGGCGCGACTTGTTGTATATGGGGAGGTTCTGCCCCGAGGTCCAGCCCCTTACCATTTTATATGTCAAGGTACCTCTTTCGTACCTCTTTGCTCTTGTATTGACAAATGGTACCCCTTGCACATACCGTAATTTAGAGGGCTTCATCCCTTTTGATTGCTTATTTTACATGTAAGATAGGAATCAATCACTAGACTAGCAAGTTTTTACAGCCATAAAACGCACTAAGATCTGTTCGACCTTGTGGGCCCCTCTCTTTTCGAGTTAAAAAAAATGTTCAAAGCAGGCAGTTCCCATTGTTTAGTTTAAGTCTTTTATTATCTTTTACGGTTTAACCTCTAAAGTTTGTGATTTCTAAGTGCGCTTTAGACTAAGCACGCTTAAGATTGATCATATTCAAAATACTATGTAAATTCTTATGTTAGGAAGTAATTGTAATAAACGCGTAGCAAATTCTCTGACGTATGCTGGGCTCAGTAACAATTCAAAGCACTCTACTATGGTTCACTATACGGATGTGACTGAGCCGCACCACAGGCAAACCACCCCCTGCAAGTGTAGCCGTTGCTGTTATCGAACTTTTGCACTTCATGGAGGAAATACAGATGAACATTACGGCGGCTTCTATTTTCGCAGAAATACAGATTTGAACGTAAATGTTTCAAAAGGTTCAAACGAAATGTTAACTTTGTTATGTGCCAGGTTTTTACGATGTACTGACATGTTTAAAACTTTACTTTACGAAATAATTAGTGGATCCGGGTAGTCTGCCTGTGGCTAAAATGCTCAGTTCTCACTTAAAAGAATATAACTAGTTTGTTTCAGTGGCGGATCCAGACCTTCATATAAGGGGGCCTGGTCTCTGAAAAAAAATTTTTTTCCGCCCTTTGGGCCTCAGTTTGGGCTAAAAATTGGGGGCGGGGGGGAGGGAGGGGGGCAGCCCGTCTCCTGGATCTGCCACTGTATTTTTACTAACAGAGTAGAAGCAAAGATGACGCCGTGGCGAGAGCACTCTGAACTCACCAATAAATGTGACCCGGGTTAAAACCCCGGCGTCCGTCGAAGCCATATGTGGGTTGAGTTTAATTTGTTGTTGGTTCTCTCCCTTGCACCGAGAGGTACTTCTCCGGGTACTTCGTTTTTACCATCGCCTCCAAAACCAACACTTCCAAATTTCAATTCTCGATCTGGAACTCACGGCATGTGTAAACGAGTTCATAAGAACTCCTAAGTACTTCGTGGATAAACAAATTACAATTCATTTTTTTCATTTTTTGAGTAATAATGAACGGACTTCTCTAACTGAATCTAATTGTTTTCTAATGAATTATTAATGAATAAATAAACTACAGTTCACAACAAAAACGTGTATAGTTATGTGTATAGAAGTGAAACGACAACTTCCACATGACCTGAATGAACACGTAGAAATGACGCTTGAACGTAAAAGAACACGCTAATTTACAAAAACTGATAATATATGGCAAATGTTAAGTATTCACAAAACAACTTCGCGAGACTCAATAAAAGTCGTATTACATTGATCCCGTATATTCTTTTCCTACATGCGATAAAGTTGATATTTTTTCACGAATTCTTTTAGGCTCATCTCGTTGCTTTATAGCTCGTTCTTCAATGAGACAGCCTCGCCGTAGGCTAAAAGTTATAGAATTATGTATTGCAACAATAAAGAAGAGACATTGCTAATACGGGCAGAGTCAAGCATGGACGGGAAATACGGTCGCACGTTAGGCAATAGAGCATTACAATGTTGCGGCATTGTTCCAATACTGTTTCAACAGTGTTGCTCTAAAATCGTCGTTGCAATCAGAAGTACCTTTTAAATGATCACTCTACTTATTAAGTAAAAAGTTCTAACTTTTAAGTCTAGGGATAAACCTCCTATCGTGTGTCACTGACAAGAGAAAACGTTTTTTGTTCTCTTCAAGAGAACATTAAATACAGTATATACTGATTATTTCAACGCATTTCAAAAAACATGAAATTCGAGAGTATTCTTGAATATCGAGGTTTGATATTCTTCGGAGCGAAGGGGTAATGACAGCATTTATTATGTGGCTGAATTCGATAGCGGGCAAGATGAGGAAAATCCTGTGTTTTGATTGGCTACCCAAGCACATCTTGCCTACTCGGAATTTCCCACGTCAGTCCCGCAAGGAAAAATTATCTTTTTCGCCATATAATAAATCTTTTATTGACCAACAGACTTGCTCGGTCAAGATGGCTGGGTATCGACCACCCTCTATTTTACGTTTTTATTGACCTTGCCTTCGTCTCAGAAGAAAAATGAAAGATTTATTACACGACGTTTCAGGGTCCTCATGACTCCATTAACAAGTGAGATGTGAATAATATTACAATCGAAGAAATGCAAGAGATGAGAAGAAATATTTTTACATACCGTTTAAGTAAACACTTTGGATCGCAGGGAATCGGATTGCACATTTAGTGAAGACATGAAGTTCTTAATTTAAAGCATTTCTTTGACAAGGCAATCAAATTTGCTACCGCATTTAGCGAGGACGCTAAACTGCTCAATAAGCCACCGTTCGTCTTGATCCATAAAAACGCGAAAAGAAACTTGGTCAATATCCAGCAATTTTGACCGAACAAGCTTGATCAATAACGCATATATGCTACACCGATTTGGTTTATGAAAAAGTCTATATTAAACGTCAATAGTTAGAGAGGCATCAAAATGTCTTTGTATGAGCAGCTTAAGCATCCTATTTGGCGTCAGTACATTGCTCTTCAGAGGTGCATTGGTCATGGGACTTGTCAACCGACCTGACGTCAGCCATTCTTGTATACTGGCACGCTCGTAAGTATAACCATCTATTAAAAAATATATATTAAGTAAATACAGAAATAGATTTTTCAATCTTCATGTTTCGCGCTTGTCATATAGTTTTATATCCTCGGAGACCCAGGGGCAGTTAGTCGGGTCGACAAAATGTTCGTGGTGAAAGTTTTCTGTAAGATCGAGACGAGCGATCTTACAGAAAACTTTCACCACGAACATTAATTTTATCGACCCGTCTAACTGCCCCTGGGTCTCCGAGGATGATAGTTTTAGAGAGTTTCTTAGTGAAGAGAGATAGCAGTTCGCTGGCACGGCTTCAAAAGAGGCGCAGCGAGACTGGAACAAAATGTGACAGTGAAACCAAGTCTATCCTGCAGTATGTAGAGTCCTAAGAGTCCGCTTAATTAAACATCAGATAAAAAGTGCGCGGACAGGCGTTTCCCTCGATTATTTAGCACTTATTCTTAGAGGAATGCCTGGGGCCAAGTTAACAAAACTAAATAACTTTTTCAAGTGTAATTTACAAGTGTAGCCATTTTTTTAGGGTATGAAAACAATAGCCACACTTGTAAACGTTTTATCAAATTGGTCCCTGTACCACTTCGCCAAACAAAGAAATCGGCTTCATTTTACAACTAGCTAGAACGAAGTCTCTAAGAAATAGTTTTTGTCATCGCGACTGTGCAATATCTATTAAAGCAAATTTATTTTCCTACTGCAACTTGTCATAAGCATTCCAAACTTTCAAAAGATTTGAATTTTCAGGATCAGTTTTGAAGTCATTTTAACGGCATATTATGTATAAAGACGGATTCTAATGATAGCAGTGACGATTTTAAAGAAAAGAAAAGCTCTTAGAGTAAGATAGTAACCAGTAAAATCAGTTACTACTTTCGTTAACTTGCCTACTACTCTACTGATCTCAGATACGTAAAGCACTGCCTATTTTTTTTTCCCCGCAAACGGAACGGAGGATCACGTGACCTGCATTTCCCGCATTTGCCGTTTGCCGGCCGCCGTTTCAACGCGAGAAGGACATTTTTCACGTTTTTTAGTGGAGGAAACGCGAACACGTGAGTATAAAAGAGTTTCAAATTTGAGCGAAAAAAGATGACAACTTCTCTGTTCTGTACCTTTTTGTCCACTCACAGTGAATGGCCGCCGAGAACATTTGCCATGAAACATAGGTAAGCTTATTTTACTTAGTTTAAAAGAAAAATTTAGAATTAAAGAAACATTTAGTCAATACCTGGTTAAATTTTCGGATATTTTAGACAATTTCCAGTTCTATTTATTTTTCCAAGTTTCCAGTTCTGCCGTGTCGACGGACAAATTACAAAGGAAGGAGCGGCAAACGAAAAAAGGCTAGCCAACATGACGTGTTCGCCGTTAGCGTGGTGCTTTATAATCTAACCACGGATCTAACTAGGCCGAGATGATTTCTTAAATGATCCTCTGTGTAAAGGAAGTAAATTATTTGTTAGTTATGCAATAACAAGAGTGAATTATGCTTACCTGCAGCAATAACTGGATCAGACATAACTTCTCTTGTTATAGGACATAAGAATTCATCAGGAAAGTCTTCTTCCAATTCTTGTTTCTTGATATCCTTTATTGTCCGTAATATCTTATTACGGTGACCTACTGGACCTGAAAATCAACCGTTATGACCTCTTAGGTTTGACTTAGGGATTCCACAATTATAATTTATGAAGATCCCTTGCCCATAACTGGTATAAAAACTCTTTAGGTAGCCTGTGTACACCCGCCCCAGTCCCCTAAATGGAGGCAGCTATAAAGACAGAAGCATGCTTCTGACACAGACTATCTTTCTGCAGTGAAATAAATACTTCGTGGCTGGTGAGCACCCCACGCATGATTTAAATTCATGATGCGAGAAATTTCTAATGAACGAGTGAGCACAGTGAACGAGTGAATTCAAAATTGTACAAGCGAACGAAGGATTTGTTTGTAAATTGAGTAATGAAAAGTTTCGTAATGCGGACTACAATTGTTCATACAATGATTAGAATGATGATGATGACGATTGGACAATTCACATGTTTTCTGGTCTCCAACGTAGCATTTTATTATCGACGGTTTTGCTTTAAGTTCATCTCAGGAGTTAAATAAAACCTTACTGATCAAAAACAACGGCAAGAAAATGCGCCTTCAACCACCCTGCATTAGTATCATTGGACTATGACACATTTTATGTTTTGCAACAGATTGCAAATTCACACAGAGAAACTGTCGGTTCAATGTTCAAACGTAGAGTGCAGTGGAAGACAAAGAGGTACATATATACATGTAGTTTGAATATTTCCTTATCGTGGGATTCTGGGATATGCAGGATGAAAAGACCTTTTTAGCTTGAATGTTTTGTTTCCCATTTCAGACCACCTGATGGTACCCCAGAGAACTGTTTCTTTCAAATGTGGTCTTATGCACGCGTATCCACGTGCATCTGTATGCATAATCTATGAAAAGACAAAAGGTAAATTCCCCGGAGAACATAGAGTGATATGAATTGGGAAACAAAACATACAAGATAAAAAGGTCTATTCCCTGACACGGCCTGACATCTGGATTACTTCAACTGACCATAGAACAATAGGGCGTCATTTTACTACAACTACCAGAATCCTTGAGTTTGTTGTTTTCTTGTGCAAATTAAGGCTATTGTTCTTTTAATCCTCAGCGGGATTGACAAATTTAAATAACAAAGCAAAACCGAAATGAATTCTGGTAGTTGTAGTCAAATATCGTCATCGTACAATTGTCCTATTGAGTACAATTAACAAGGTTAAGGATTACAAAAAGGCATCCACGTGATCTAGATAGATAGATAGAAACAAAACGTTATTAATGTGTCAGAGCCTTATAGCTTTGGAACAAACCCACACTAATACAATGTATATGTAACGAGAATCTAAAATGAGTGATACTCGCAATAAGACTGAGGAGAACAGACCATTTTCGATGTATTAAAATTCATACTTGGCTGCGAGACTTGGAGGAATACATGTAAAACAAGAGAAATGTATTATTGATTGCTGAGCCTCAAGATGATTTCTTTTGTTTTACTCACTCAAGCCTCGCAGCTAAGTATGGATTTTAATATATTGGAATTGGTCTATTGTAAAATTTAAATGATTATGATGAGCAGAGAGAACAGCCCTTACATCCAGCATCTATCATTGAGCTTACATCAACAGAGCACAACACAGTATTAATACTCACCAATACCAAGATCTGAAGCAAGCGTTTCACTTGTCATATTAAACAGCTCTTGTCCATCAATGGCATTTTGACGGAACGTTTCACAGTACAGTTCAAGTTCCAAAGAAATAAGCCAGCTGCACACTTCATCTGTGCTCCATGTGACAAGTTTCTTTCTCTTATTTTCCTGTGACTGACAGAAAACAAGTAACAGACGTAAAATGTCGTTAGATCACAGGCGTCCCAAGCTCACGTTACGAGTGAGGAATGTACAGCTAAAAATCTACCGCTGCGGCTAGAGTCAGACATACTTCTGCCGAAAATGGTTTCCTAATTGTTCAATACAGGTTTCTGTTGCTTGTTTAAGCATAAATACCATTACCCCTACCTGGTTTTCCCGTGTTTCTGTTGGTTTATTTTGTTCAATCTCTCTTACACTGACTCCACCAGACTGGTCCAGTTCACCTGTTAAAATACAGATTTTTAAAAAACTGAGTTATATCATCCTGTTTACATTTGGCCTTTGGACCTTTGGATACAGGATTGTGCTCTTTTCACAAAACGTGAAGGATAGCTAACGAGTTTTCAAAAGAGACAAGTATCCAAAACAGGCAATGTATATTTTGTAATTCCACTCACGTGCACCCCTTCAACTGTTTTTATACAGTTCTTTAAAAGACACATTAGAAAATGAAATACCATTTTCTGTAAGACAGATCTTCCATAGCTTGAGTGTTCTGTCATTCGATCCAGTGGCTAGCCAGTTACCATCCACAGAGAAACTACAGCATGTAACATATCTGAAAAATTGACACTTACTCATTAATTTGAAAAAAAAAGAACTGTAAAGCAGACTTTATTTTGAGTTGAAGTTTGAAAGAATTGAAGAAAATAGGAAGGAATGTCTTTGGAAACTGAGAGTTATAGTCTGTCAACCTCAACAAACTGCTCGAGCGCATCTACACCAAGATTCAAACAAAAAAAAAAAAACAAGAAGACGATTTGAGTTCGACAGTTTCAAAGTTTTGAAAACAGCTTTGGACAGGCATTTGAAAGAGAAAGGATGTACCTGTTCTGTAACAAGGGACAGGCAATTCAGCTCCTTGAAGCAAATTTTGACGGTGTAGCCAAACAACTACAAATGTACATCTAGTAAGCCACAGAAAGTGTCCAAACAAAGCCGGGCAGGTAATCGTTTCAAGTATATCATTTGAAAGTTTTCAGACGACTTTTATTGTTCAATTTGGAATTTACACTGGGAGGTGTGTTTTTCAAAAAGCTCAAATTGCATTTGCCCAAATGTTCACACTTTTTGAAAAACACACTTATAAATACAAATTAATTCCACATTCTTGGCCAATCACAAAATATTATCAGTGGTAGACTTTGTCAAGGTTGTAATATGAAGAAATCTTAAGGGGGCCCAACATAAAAGATCAGTGCAGTGCTAAGGTTTCCGTGTCACTCAAGGCAACCACAGGGTGACTAATGTTAACCCAATACCTTGTATGTCCCTCCAGAGTGAGTAATGATACCTCAGCCAACTATAAAACACAAGAAATTTTAGGAATACATCAGAAATTATTTTTATAGATGTAAGATTAGCTTCTTTAGCAACATAAGTCTATCCAGCCTTGTTCAATTTCCATTGTTTTGAATTGATTTCCACGCACCACTGCACAAAACATCAATGGAAAAGATTAAAAGTGGTTAGTGGGTAGATGTTAGTGGGTGTGGTAGTGGTAGTGGTAGTGGTAGTAGTCAAATTAAGATGACAGAAAGTATAACCCAATAATTAGATAACAGAGACACTGTTTCATGGCTTATGCAGCTTTCATCATATACATGTAGTTGTAGCAATGCAGCTAGTGCAGATACCACTGCACATTATAAAGTCAAACAAAAATATATAGGTATCTTCAGGACCGACTGAAGTGTCTTGAATAAACTGACATCGGCATCGTAGTGGTATACATGATAATAGGTTCAACAGTATTAAAGCACGTTTTAGTTGTACATGTACTTACAGGATCCCAAAGGATAATTAATTTGTCTCCACCCCTGTCAAATTAAGCCATAAAAATATGTGATTATAACAACAGCTGTTATTTATATACTGTAGTATCATTTTCCAAAGACAATGAAAACACAAGACTTAAGAATTTCTAAGAACTTGAAAAACAAAATACGTAAAACCAGCTTGTCCTTTGAGCAAGCAGCTCTCACATTTTGCTTGCTGAATTTGGTGGAGGATTATATGCTTGAGCCCTTGTCCATTGGGCAAGGAAGCTTTAGAAGTTATAAAAAAGTATATTTGTCCAGGACAGGATGTTATTTGAGCACTGTTCCTGGGATGCTATGGCAATTTCCCTTCTCTCTTTTTCACTCTGACAGAATCAGTAGGAAAAAAGCTGCCTTACACTGGATATCATGACATACATGTAGACCAATGTTTAAACCAACAGCCATCTGGTTTAGAAGTAGACAACAGTAAAACATAATCACTTTTTGCACCATGCAAAATGCCAGCATGACATTTTAACATTAAGTACATGAATCTCCTGTGCTCATCTTACTCTCTCTTTTCAGCTTCACTCCTACCCTTTTGTTTCAGGAATGCTTACAGTAAAGGCCAACGCAAAACAGGCTATTTTACAGTTTAACGGATCCAAAACCTGCAACCACTAATTGCCATGCCTATACTCACTGTCAAGCGTAATCATGTGATCTGCCACCATTTGCCTACTCACCCCGAAGCTAGTATCTTTCCATTTGGCGACATGGCAACCCCATAAACAGGACCTTGGTGACCACTTAATGAACAGCGTTTGCGGATATGGCACTCTTCCGAAAATGCTGAAATCAAATTGGAAGAGCCAGAGTTCAAAATGCACATTTGGCTCACTGTAAGACTGCCAATCTAATGCATTATATTATTTTCTTTTTTAATGCATTATCTCTATCCACTGATTTATAACTGTAATAATACAGTGAAAGCCCTCCTTACGGCCACCTCGGTGATACAGTCACCTTGTTATTGCGGTCACTTTTTTTACCACCTGGCAAAATAGCCATACATTTTCTTGTAAAAAAAACCTGGTTAATATGGTCACCCGTTAATATGGCCAAATTTTTTTGGCCCATTGGTGACCGTATCAACAGGGTTCCACTATAATTCCTATATTTAGAAGAATAGGATGCAATTGAATGACAAGACTATGAAACAAACACTTAAAGACAAAACAAAACATGTTTGCATGGGTTTCCCCAATGTTCCAGATTTTAGACCTTCAGGACTTGAAACAACTTTTACTAAGGCTAAGTGAAGTCATCAGGTCAAAAACATTCTTTATTGGACACTATCCTTTTTCATTGTCTGTCTTTGAATAAAAATACCAAGTAACACTGAAACAACTAAACAAACTACTGGTAAATACAAAAAAGCTTCATGTAGGGATTGTGAAATAAGACTGATGGTGCTTTATGAACTAGCAAACAGAAACATTGTACATCACTAAGGGAACAAGACTATTATCATACTGAAAATTACTTTATTACAATGCAGCGTGCAAAGAAAGTAGTGCCCGATAGCCCGGGGCTAGTGGATTTTGCTATCGGGCTAGTGAATTCTGTTATAAACTTGCCCAACGGGCAAGTGAAGGTTTTCAAGGAATTCAAATTACAGAAGAACCGTGAAATCAATCTGCTTGTCACAACATTTTTGGGGCTAGTTAAAATGATGTTTGGGCTAGTAAATGTTAGCTTCAGCTTGCCTGAATGGCAAGCTGTAAAAATGACTTTCTTTTGACCAGCAATCCACAAATTTGACCAGTCAATAAAGAAAGTGAGGATCATTATACATTTCTGGCAAACTGCCCTCCTACCCCTCCCCTGAGCCAACTTTTACACTTACTTCTCACTTAGGGAAAAATGTTGGCTTAAGGGAGGGGTAGGTGGACAGTTTCCCAGATACATAATAATGATCCGTAAGGGCTAGTGCCTGGTGGCCCTTGGTGCCAGTTTTACTCTTGCTCATTGGCGACTAGAAAATCTTGGTCTTTTTCATAGAAATCCTATGCTGGGCACCTTGGATTTCACAGGTTCAGAGCACTGGTCTCTCATTAGAACACAGCCTTGAAAGTTCTTGTCTGTTGACTTCAAGCCATGCAACTTGCATTATACAATCCTTGACTGTAGAACTATCAACCAACAATAGAGTATCTTCAAATTTGTCGAATAACTTAAGATATCACCTGCTGCTACTCATTGACATCACAGTAATGCAAGAAAATACAAGATCCAGCTAAATACCTGAGGCAGTAAAGATGTCCCAAAGCTTGACAAGGTTGTCATTTCCACCAGAGGCAAGTAAGAAATTTGGTGCACTGCCACTTGTGTCATGGTATGATGGACCTGCCACAGTACGGGTAAAATTGTACACAGAATGTTAAGGATTTGCATGCTTCAATAATAATAATATTTTTTGCTGTCTTATCTATTTCAGCACCTTCTCCAAGTTTAAACTTAGCTTACTTAAGTGCTTTTCCAGATAAGAGATGGGTTTAGGTCAATGACCTGACAAAGAAGGCTTCGTAACCTGACAGATGAAATATAAAATGTTAAGAGCAGGTTGGGTGAATGAAGTCCTGAATAGGACTGTTGTTGTTGACGGTGACTGACATTTCGACAACCTGTGCAGTAGTCATCTTCAGAGTCTCTTTGACTCTGAAGATGATTAACGCACAGGTTATCGAAATGTCAGTCACTGTCAACAACAACAGTCCTATTCAGGACTACGTTCACCCAGATAATCAAACTCAACCTACTTTTGAAATGACTCCTGGGTTCAAACCTTTCACATAAAATGTTAAGTTAAATATAACAAAACAAATTGGCACATGGTCTTAGTGACCCCTTATATGATCTATATGATCCTCACTTGAATAATAATAATAAAGAATTAACTGGAATGCTGCTTAAGTCACCCTTTTCAAGGGAGAATTAAAAGGCCAATGTGCAATTTAAAGTTTTACAATCTAGTAATCAAAAGTACAGCGCTGATAAACTAGTTTCATCAAAAGTTATATTCGTCAATATGCAAAACAACAAAATAAAAGACACCTATTATCTTCAAGGAGAATGTTTACAGAGCCTAGACTGTGCCATGAAAAAGAAAACAGACTTAGAGAAAGTGCTAGAGAAAATGCTAGGAATTTCAGAGGTGTTGCAAGGAAGAAAAGCTGAAACTCCCTTAAAATATAGAAAGAACAGCAAAAATCCCACTTGACCAAAGATAAATTATGCTTTTTGAAGAATATCTGCTACTCATTATCCCTTGAGGTGTTGCGATACAGTGTTTGAGAGACCATACCGATGTTTTTCAATCGTCTTAGAAGTGATTTTGTCCTTGTCGACCGCTACAAACTTTTCACCTTTGATTGACTATGAATTGAAGTTAGTCAAAATGTAGTTTTCAGTAAAATCTATATCACCATGACAACAATAAACAAAAAACTTTGAAATCGATAAAATCCGCATTTTGCGCTAACTAGACCTGCTACTGCAAATCCAACACCAGGAACTTAAAGTGTGGTGTTTAGCAAATAACCTCTGTGAGAAGTAAAAAATTCTGTATGTTTAAATTCAAATAAAATGCAAATATATTTCAAACTTTTCATAAATAAAATGTTTAATAAAAAAGTTCTAAATAACGCAAAATAAGTAGCGTCAGAAGGCTTCTTAACATCATATTTTGATGCTAGGAAATTTTGGTGTATTTTCTTTCTTGTAATCCTGAAAACTAACCTGTTTTCTCACCACCTGTCTAAGTGCAACTTTATTCCAAATTTTGACTTTTAGCACTTTTCTGAATATCTCTAAAACAGCTCAACAAAATTCTTTATCAACCTCATCACATAATCTTCATGATATATATATCAATGTCTGAAACTTTCATTTAGATTGACTCACTGTAACACCTTGAAATTTCAAGACGAACCTAGCCTACCAACCGGCCAAAAATCCATGTTACAAACATTCACCGTTTTCATGTTATGCTAATTTTTCCAAATTAATGCCCACCATAAATACCTGCATGTCTAGTACAATTCAATGTGAATATTACCATTGTCTTACATTCAAAATATGCAATTAAATTCATCCTAAAATGTACCAGCCATGCAGGTATGTATGATGGGCATTAGTTTGGAAAAATTAGCATAATGTCAAAACAGTGAATGTTGTAACAAGGTCATTTTTCCAGACTTGTACATTGTATTAGTATTCAAACCAGGTTACCAACATTAGAGCCCTAGCTAAAAGCTAATTAATCCTAATTGGGTGAACATTGGTTTAACCAGAAAACAGTTTTTACCTAAAACTGAATTTAACTTATTTGAATTTTCTTGCAAATATTCAAATAAACCAACAGTAAGGTGGCTATCTGTACATGGTGGACATAAGCAGGGAGACAGATCAGTAATAGCAAAGAGAGAAAGATGTGCACATGGTACGTTTAAGCTCTAAGAGTGATCAGCATCAAAATTCTCCTTGTACTATGAATGCTTTACAAGACAAATTGGTTATGAGAATAAAGGACATGATTACACAAGATCACAGATACTTCAACAAATTCTCCCTACTACTTCTATAGGAAACGTACATGTATAGGGGCAACAAATGAGAATCTGAATTTTGATGTTACGATTTAAAGGGTTAACTCTCTCAGTGCCAAGATTGACCAACATCAATTTTCTCCTAACAACATCTATACATCATGAAGAGAAAAGGTTATGATTGGTAATAAAATTATCACCAAAGAGAAAATGCTTTGATCTTTTATCAATGTATGGAGACTATGTGGAGAATTTGTATTTTGATATTGGAGATTAAACGGTTAAATTCAAGTGGTCACTCAAAAGAAATACTCGTTATTTTTAAAAAGGAAACTTTATGTATTATTTTAAGGCATTGAAAATTAAGATCATTTCATTTTATTTCCTGTTCAGCAAAAGAGAATGCAACCAGAGGCTTTCACAGGCAAAGGGATTAATGATGTAGTTATTTGAGGAACTACTATCTGTCTCCACCCTACCTCATGATGTCTTACATGTATCTAGGGGCATTCCTTGGCCAGGAAACTAGTTATATTATCTTGATATTACACTATGCCTCTTGGTCTCTTGGTTTAAACAGTCTCCTAATCATAATATTACCAATTACTTATCTTAAAAGAACAAGACAATCAAGACTTTATTTGAACGACCAGGATAAGTTAAGGGTCATGCGCTATTTTTGTTAGAGTAGCAATTCAGAAGCTTACGGTCTGGTTGATGGCCATCACAAGAAAATACAGCTTGAGTCATAAATGGGGACTCCAAATTCAGTGCTGTAGGAAGAATTAAAAAAACCCTTTTTATTTGTTAGTTATTACACGGAAGATGAATGTTCATAATGAAAATGACAAATGAATTGGTCAGGATCAAAGAACACCTTAAGCTACACTACTTGAGCAAATTTATATATATTACGTTACTGTGTTACTATTTATCTGGCTGAACAAACAGCTGTTAGCGGCCAAGATATGGCGAAGTGTTCAAAAACATGGTTTAATAAATTAATGATCCCGTTTACTTTACAAGTGAATGGCCCCAAATACTTCATAATTTTAGTAATGCACATTGTTTAAAAATAAATATGTTACTAAAATATCTCTTATTAGTATATACACACTCATTGATCTTGGTGATTTAAGCAATCTGATTGGTTCGCTATCTCAGATTATTCAACAATATTCACCTCCTAGCGAGTGGATAATGTGTGAGCTCGGTGTTTTTCCCTTTTTTTAGAGAATGATCTTTTAAAAGTTGACAAAATCCTGGCTTGACCTTTTTTAAGGCAAGAAAAGACTTTTAAAAGGATTCAAAACGACATTTTTCCACTCACTATAGCTACGTTTTGTGCTTGATGGATTGTTTACAACTCCTGTTTATTCACGCAGAAGAGGCCGTCTCCTGAACTCAGCATTTCCTAACAAGAAAATTTGACCCAAAAATCGAAATTTATTTATGACAAAAAAATTACTTTGACAGCAAATGATTGGAGAAAATCTACGTTTTAAGTAAATAGGAAAAACAATGTTACAGGAAGACGACGTCTTACCTCAAGCAACCAAGCCGCCATTTTGGTCAGCACTTTATGCGAAGAATGACACAACATACCCTTTTGGCTATAAACTTGGCGAGTCAACAGAAAACAACAAAGCTCTACTTTTCTTCTCAGGTAGGGAAACAATTTAAACTTTTAACGGTTCCCTTTAAGCCATTACGCTGTTGTGAAGTGATAAACTTGTGAATTGCAATGTTTGAAAAATCTGCAAAGATCTATTTTTAAAGTTTGTGTGATTTGATCCATCAATCAAATAGTACTTTGTAATGGTTTCCTCATATTTTGTTGAGATCACTTTGGGTGTATATACTAAAACAATTTTTCTTTTCAATCTCAGTGAATAGCAGTTTTAGGAATGTTTACCTTGCTGCTTTGCGGCTTGGTATATATATTCAGCCACTATTCACCTCGATTGTTAAATTTGCAGATTAATTTGAGCTTCAACATATTTTCCTGGCCATAAACCACACTCAAAAGATTGAGGCATTTTTTATCATTTAAATGAAAACTTCTTCTCACCTCCATGGCATCAAAGTGGCTGTGCTTTCTTTATTGGCAAGAGCTTAACTTTCATTAACTATTGATTTGTGGGTTTCTTGCATCCCACACAAAATAAACATTGTTGTTGTTGTTGTCATTGTTAAACAATAGCCAAGAATGTACAGTGGAACATTGATGTAACTTATCTTTATGCACTCAAATATCCATGTGCAACCACCTCTCGTAAATGATCACCAATCCAAAACACCAATTTTTTTCCATCAAAACTAGATGTTATTTGTTATCTTAAATAACATCAAAGAAATTTCTTATTGGAGCCCAAGAAAATAAATGTTGAATTTCACAAACAATAGACCAAAATTAAATCTTATGCAGGAAATTTTACCTTTGTTTTCACAATTCCAATGAAATTTGCAATTAACTTTCTCGGGCTCCCATAAGAAAATATTGTCTTTAGTGCTTTTACTAATAACTACATATATATATATATATTTTTTTTCTATAGCCCTTGAAAAATATAAACATTGATTTTAATAGCACCATGTATAATACATGTACATGTACTGAAGGTCTATTATACTCTGGTGGTTTGGTGGTTTTAGCCAATTTTGAGTGTCATTTAGCGGTCACAGTTGTATTCATGCGGCAGTTTACGGTTAAGAAATCATTGCGTGGTTGTGGAAAATTGTAACTTTATCATGCGGCTTTCCGATTTTGCATGTTTGGTGGCAGTTTTGTGAACAGAGTATCTAAGCTCAGAAAACTGAGTCGCTTCTTTTTTTCTTGAAACCGGCTTTCTCAAGCTTCTTCTCAAAAACCTGAAGAACATTGCCCTTTTGGACTAGAACAATCGAACAGGGCAGGAAATGGAAGGTGTAATTAATTTCTGCTGTCTCCTCTCTGGGGAGGTAATTTGACAGAAGGCCAGGCTTCAAAGGGTCAACTGCCACATTTTGGGAAATACTGGCCATCTGACTGGAACAGTGACAATTGAAATGCACTAAATTACAGCTATTAAAAAGTAACCAATCACAGCAGAGCATCGTGCTTTACAAGGTTATGCGTAACCATCCGACCTCATTGCCTGATGAAGACTGCAATGAAACCTCTACTTTGGGACACCACCTAAATAAGGCAGTTTGCAGAATGGTCGACCCCCTGTAATAGACCTACTGTACTTAGAAATAATTAATACAAGGGATAAACAGTGGTTGTTTTTTTAAATGCAAAGTACAAAATAAATGCATATTTCGTTGATCAAGTCATATAATATTACCATATTTATGTTACAGCATCACAAAATAGTATATCATGGTATCAGAAACTATTAGGAGGAGGTTTACATCTTTAAATCATACATTTTAAACATAAGTTTGGGTTGGGTAACTAATTTCTTCATTTATATGCCATATTTTTTTTTCCCTTAAGTAATTAAGTTTAAAAACAACACAGTGCACCTGTTTAGAAGAGAAATTAACAAGCCCATTATTGATATTATTTTACTTCATTGATATTAAAATTTAAAATACTGCAGATAAACAAAACTAGAGTTAAGTTTTTGTTTAAAAAGGATCATTTTCCCAGAATATAAAATAATTAAAAGTCACAATATGAAATGCCCATCACGTTCAAACTCTCTGTCAATAGAAAAGTTTTGATATTATCTTCAGAAACATGTGCAAATCATGATGAACATGTACATTATCCTTCATAACAATTCATATGGTTGAAGTTATCAATATAAATACCTTCCCAGCTGTAAGTAGACACCCTTATCCAGCCTTATAGTACGATAAACTAAGACTTAAACACACTTTCAGAAGAAGAACAAATACATAAAAACAAACTGAACGGCACTTACTTGCAGATCCATAAGTTGAAGAAAAGCAGCAGTCTGCAACCCCTAGATCATGTCCTTCGGCATAAAACTTGGTCATTTTACCGGTCTGTGCTTCCCATATACTCAAATCTCCCATGCTCGTACCTGTTATTATATACAAGCTATCTGGCGTAAAACAACAAGTCATAACGCTACTTTCTAGCTTCTCCACACAACGGACTAATGTTTTCGACGAGACATCCCAAATGCAAAAAGATTCATCGGCTGAACCGGTCACGAGAAAGCGTGAATTTGGGGAGAAACGACAAACTCTAACACCACTTTTGTGTCCTTGCAAAACCGCAACCACAGAGCCTGTGTTCACATCCCAAAGATGAACATTACCGTCTGTTGAAGCGGTCGCAAGTAGAGTTCCAAACGGTGAAAATCGGCAAGAATTTACACCATACGAGTGCCCGAGCAAAGGTGAAATCGACAGCTCTGTTCCATTTTCAACGTTCCAAAGTCGCACGCTTTTGTCGCCGGAACTTGAAGCTAAGACTTTGCTGTTTGGTGAAAAACTGCATGATGTTACATCTTTGGAATGTTTCGAGAAAGTATTCACTAACACAGACATTCTAAACCTTTAAACAACCATATTTTACAGTAGCCTTCAATTACACTTTGTTTCGTTCCCATTTGTGATTTGCAAAACAAAATGGGGGTACCATTACGTCACATACTTGAAATACGATTTGCTTTTGCCGAGTATTTCCGAGGTTCCTCCGAAATCAAACGATGATCCTTTTGTGGAGCGAGCTCTGTGGAGTGAGTGGAGCGCTTTGTTATGGATGACGCAATAGTGAGGCTAGCAGGAATTTAAACATAGGAAGAAAAATAGGTGGAAATTGTACTTGAATTAAAAGAGAGCATTCGAAAAACATTTTTTTAATACCTCCAACAACCAGCATGATTTCTGAAGAAGCCTTGGGAGTGCAGTCACAACACTCGCCCCTCCCCTGCCCTATGAGTATCCTGAATAAACCGTGAAACGTGTTTCTCTTCATGCATGGATTCACTGGCTGTGATTGGTTTGATTTGAACACGTGGTTTATTGTTTTCGGCGGGTACAAGGTTCAGCCATGGGAAGTTACAGAGATTAAGAATGTTTTTAGGCGGACTCTAAGAGTATCTTCATGAAATCAAGAAGAAAACGAATTATTATAGTGACTAGGTAACCCTGAGTTCATCATGCGGCTGACAAGAATTTTATTGCAAGACATCGCGAAGCTTATTCAACGGTACAGTCGCTACCAACAGTCTTGTTTGTCCATTGAGCAATTCACTTCTTTTGGTGAGTACTAATTTCGATATCACTGATCAAAGCTGTAATTCTATCCCTTGTAACTTGAACTATTTATTGTCATCCTTTGTAAAGGATCAGAACCAGCAACAAAATATAGTTCTTACTTTGAAACTTACTTTGCAAAGACGTATTTTTAGAGTCTTTTTAGCCGATACGGTTGCTAACTCGATCATGTGTGTGAATGCAAAAGAAGGCTTGAATATGCAAATTGTATCTCTGGAGAAAGAGGTTATATTCGTAAAATAGTTTACTGCGAAGAAAAATCCTGAGTTTTGTTTATATTTTTTCTGTTTTTTTAGTCAATCCGATCATCGGAGTAACTTGAGGCGTTTCTACTCGCCGGTCGCGCGCTTTACCAAAGCGATTTTCGCTGCGTGATCATTCGTTGACGCGAAAAATGTGAATTTCCCGCGCATGAATTTTATTCCATCCTTGTGAGCCCCACAAGCTAAAAAAAAATTATATAATGTACGCTATCTTAATATTTTGCTTGTTGTTACGATTTTTACTGCAAAAACAAGGAGAAAGTTTGGTTTATTTACGATGGCTAGAATTTCTGTTTTTATTGTGACGTAGCAGGCAGCGCCCCCACAACGCCCCCGTGTTCCGTGACAACATTTTGTTATTTCAAACCGCGTCCGTTTTGGAATAGTTTGGAGATCATATGATTGTCACAAGTTTTATGTGAGTCTATTCAGGAAGTGTTCGTCATGTTGAAAATCATGCCATGTATTCATGTAGAACATTTTAGTCATTGGCATCGATTTCTTTTTTGTACAGCCATCATGAGAAACAAACGGTCCAAAGCAAAAACTGTGTATTGTTCAGTAAAGAATTCTAATTAAATTCTTTTTTTGTTTTGGCTTTGGTCTTCTTGGCATGTAAACATTATTAATATTTAAAGCCAAACTTGCATAGTGGTTCTGGCAAAACTTGTGTCTTTGTAACCCTCTGCAAATCTTATTTATCTGATGAATTGAAGGAACTTTCATTTAGCGGTAATTTTGTTACAAATAGTTATGGTGAGTCCTGGGACTATTAAATTTTGTGAAAAATCGTAAGTCCTAGTTAAAAAAAACAACAAATCCGAAATTGAAAACACTTGGGCCTTTATGTAACAAGACAGTTAATCTGAAGACAGACTCCAAACTTTGTTTCTTCACATACTGCAAGTTAAATAATATGGTCCTTCTTTTTTAATAAAATCACTCTTTTAGATCCACAGTCAGCTGATGGTTACAACAATTTTCTATTTATGAAGAATTTGAAAATACCTAGTAAAATTTTCCTTTTATTGATGTGAAGGAAACTTTGTTGTTACTGAGATACCATATTTAAGCTCTAAAGGTGTGATTTTATGCTAAGCATTCTCAGGGTGACAGTTAATGTTATATACTTGATAGGTTTGTTTTTCGTATCAAGAAAAATTAATTGGAGATGAATATTATGCGTGTACGATAATGAAACTGTTGTAGGTGATTAGAAATTGTGAGATCAATATAAGTAGTTGTAGGTATGCTTAGTCATAAACTGGAAATGACAGTTAAGTGACTTAACATTCTCTTAGTCTGGCAAAACCTTTTACTTTAGAACCTGCTGATATCACACAAAGTACAATGCAGATAAAGCAAAGTTTATTTACTGCTTATTGTGGGTAAAACTTTAGTGTTATTTTACGAATGTAGTTAAGTCAAATATAATGTTTAAAGTGATATTTATAGGCACCTCATATACTGTGTTTCCTTGAATAATAGCTGGGGGTGATTATTCGAGGGAAGGCAAATACATGAGGGATATTATTTCAAATATTGCTCTCTGTAAGTTGTGCCCCAAATATTTTGCTTTATTTTCCCATTAAATCAAAAAATAATCATGTCAAATAAACTGGACATGGGCTTTTAAGTATTCCAAGTTTAGTTCCTTGATGAATTTTCAGAGCTTGAATCATCTCTGATCAGTTTTTTTTCTCTGATCTCATTGCACTTCAGCTTGACAGGGGGGGGGATAAAAGGAAGAGAAGATGGCGAGAGGGGTGGGGAAGGGGCGATTGTTGGAGGGAGGTGATTATTTTAAGTATTTCTGCAGTCAAAGGGGGGTGATTTTTTAAGGGAGGTGATCAATCGAGGGATGGCTATTATTCCAGGAAATATGGTATGTTTAGCATCTTGAGTCCATTCAAGTTTGATCCTATTCCATACAACAAATTAGCTAGAATTCAAACAAGATATGGCATTTGCCAATCACAATCATTACAGTGCTTTTTTCTTATCATTTACATGGTACTTTTAAGTAAGGTCTTTCTTTTTAAACTTTCTTTGCAGGCAAGACTGCAAAGCCAGTGGAATCTTTTCAGTTTGGACGACATGAATTACCAGTGCGGCTTGCTCACATCATCCGTGAGATTGATCTGCTTCCCAAGAACCTGCTTAAAATGCCGTCTGTTGAGTTGGTCAGAGGCTGGTAAGAATAGCATGGAATAAAATGCAACTTAACTTCTTACATTGCACATTACGGAACGGCGCCTGTAGATCCGTGTCGCCCGCAAAATCATGGGTCCCATGACTATTTGCGCGCTCACAAAGGAAGCCGACGCATGTCGCATCCTTTGATTCAAGACTCAAGTGTTAGCGTATTGTTTTTGGGATACAAAGGTAATTTAACTTTAGAAAATCAATAGATCGAAGCTTTCACGCTATTCTCTGTTTTATAAGGAAATGCAAACACTCAACTTGATAAATATTTTTAACGATTGAGGCCAGCAGAATGTATAGAATGCCAGAAAAACGATCAGGAAGTCAAAAGGTTTTGAACAGCGCTAGAAGTTGCTTTCATCAGTATGCTAATCACCTACCTGATCACTTACTTTCCATTGAACTGAAATATGCTGACTTTTTTTACCACTTTTCGATTTGCTTCGTTTCATTTTATACTCTTTTGTGCAAGCTGAGTTCTTTCATAGGACTTTACGCTTTCAAAAGGAAAAAAACTTTGAGGAAACGTTGTGTTTACAACCACGGCAATTCGTATCAATTTTGCTTCACTTACACTTATATGCAAGTTACTGTTCATCTGCCGGATTTCGCTGGAGACAAAAATGTTGATTTTGAATTCCCAGATGCTTGCTTTTTTGGGCACCCTTTTTATTTTGGCTATCAAGATTTTATAGGCTAAGCTTCAGACTTTTCATTCCAACATTTTAATGCGGGAAAGTTATGAGAAATGTTGCAACTGATTAAAGTCACACAACATGCTTTAAGACCGCATAACTTGATCTTTCTGATATCTTTTGTTCTTCTGTTGTCTCCAAAACAATAACGATGTTTCACCAATTTCCACCTACAAATAATAGGAGACATTTGATTGACAAACGTCTGCGTTTACTAGTAACGCGTTTCCACAGGCGCGATTCCATAATGACATCATAATCTTTATTGATTTGAAGTGCCAAGTTGAATTCAGGTAGTTCCTGCCCTGCGATTTACCAGAGGTTATTCTCATGTACTTGGTGTGATGCCTCATGGTTATGACCCATTTGCCCCTGGAAATTTTGTGGTAAAATGCAGTTGGAAGCTAGTTGGGCGATTTCTGGTCACTGTCATGCTATAAAAGATCTACGTAAAACTGCCCCAATCCAATTTATAGGTAAAGCACTTTAATGCAGCCTTCTGTTCCTGATGCAAAATATTAGCTTGCGAAGTTCAGGCATGCACAGAAAGCAAAATTTCAAGATAGTTTTTGGGCTTATAAGTGACACAGCAGTCTTGACTTTTACTTTTCGTTTTCCCTCCTTCCCTCTTTGTCCACTTTTCTTATCTCTTTTTTTTCTTTTGCTGGGCATTTAGTAGGCTTCATTTTGTGGGAAAAGTTTTAAGGAAAGTTTTTAGGGTCTTAAGATTAGGTGAAAGGAAAGAAGGGGGGAATGGAGCAAGATTTTCATAGAAACTTTCAGGTCAATGTTACAAAGTTTTTTGACTTTTTCTCTGGTGTCCTTGACTGAATTGTGCTCATTTGGTATGGTTGGAAAGATCTCTTCACTCTGCACAAATAAGTGGAAAAAGTTGTTCTTGACCATTAAAACTGATGATGTCACGAGGGGCAGAAGGGACGTGGATCTGGACGGGCAGTTACGGGTGGCTCAAGGGCGTATTGGTTAATGCCTAGAATATAAATTTGGTCACTGTAAAAATTCATGTATAATCTTCACCTTTTTGCTAAAATTTTAGGATTAAAATCAAGATTGTGGCTTATCTATGAGCCAATCTTCTGGCTAGTGCAACACCCTTTCATGTAGATTTATATCTGTTTGCATCTAAGGAATGCATTCAAAGAATTACAACATCCAATTCCTTACCTAAAGTCTGAGTGTAAAACTTTACTGACCTTAAAAAATGGACTAAAAGTGCAGCTAAATGGATAAAACTTTAAAAAGTGGAAAGAAAAAGACTGATTGGAACCTTTTAAAACAACAAAAGCTGGAAAAATACTGAACCTGATCCTTGTGAAGTATTATGTTAAAAGGCATGTGACCGAAAGTATGGTCAGTGATCTTTTTGGGCAAAGAAGTTGATTTGGAGACAATTCTGTTTTATAATTATTGTGATTTCTAGCTCTTCATCAAGCCTTAATTTTTGTAATTAGAATGGAAGTTGTGTTTCTTGAAAATAATGCTTTTCCTTGATTTGTTTCCATCATCTTCATGTGTAGAAGGGGTGTCCATTTGCATTAATTTTTCCAGAGGGTCATACCAAACTGACAATACTATTCTAACATATACTTACCGCATCTTATGTTATGCTAGCAAACAAAGTATTAATAAATAGAGGTCATAATCATTTAATAATTAGATGTTTTTCTTCAATGGAACTATGAACATCGTTGTTCATCTAGGTGTTCCCTCAGAAATTCCATTGGCCTTCGATGAGGGAGGTATGGATATTTTCTGGCATGATACACCACTAGTGAATTATGCAACCTAAAAGATAGAAGAACAGTATAAACCATTTGCTTGTTTGCTTTGTTGCTTCTGCCACTTGATATTATCAGGGCGCAAAGAAAGTTATTTACAACATACCTGAATTTGTGTTTTTTTTCATGAGCATTGATTTTAGTTCTTCTGTCGTTTCAATATTCCCAAAAACTTACTTCCCCGTGCAGGGCTCAAAGTTTAAATCTGAGTTTGGGAGCACTTGTGCTACCAGATGTAAATTTTTAGGTGTACTGCTGAAATTTTAGGTGCACAGTTGAAAATTTTATGAGCACAGTTTACAATGTTAAGAGCATCTATTTCAAAAGAAAAAGTAAAAAGCTTAACAGTGCCACATATATATGTCATCAAGGACAAATTAAACATACACAGATGAAAGGAAAACAATGTAACTTTATTATTTAGAACCTGGTTGTGTTATTCCTACATTACTTTTACTATTATTGCTTGAAGCTATATGTACTGTTTAACATTGTACTAGTGCAAGTACGTAAGGAAGCAGGGAAGCAAATCAATCACACTGGGGGTTTTATGAATGCACAGGTGCAATTACACATGATGAGCATGTTTCAGTCGAGGAGACCAACAATAAAGTATGAAAGACCATAAAGTTAAACCCAAAAATGCCAATGAAAATCTTGTTCCACTACCCACCTACACTACCTTCCATTTAATCCTGTGATCCTAAAAGCTTTCTCAGAATCGTTTTGTAACGAAATGAAGCCTAGGAAATACCCGGTAAAGGAAAGAAATGGGGACCTAAGAAAAGGGATAGAGGAGTGAAGGAGACGAAGTGGAAGGTGAAAGGCGAGTCCAAAAACTATATAGAAATTTTGCTTTCTATGCATGCCTGAACCTCGGAAGCTAATATTTTGCATCTGCAACAGAGGGTTGCATTAAAGTGTTTGACCCGTAAAATGATAAATTGGATTTGGGCCAGTTTTGGCTCTTTATAGCCAGACAGTGACCAGAAGACTGTTGGTTCAACTAGCTTTTGGCAAAATTCCCAGGGCAAATTGTTTAAAACTCATTGTAAGTTCATGTCATTAACTTGTCTTTCAGGTATGTCCAAAGTTTTAGTGAGCTTATAGAGTTTCAAGATGAAGAAGAAACAGATGAAGTTACAAACAGGTAATTACTTTTCCTTTGAAGTTTGCAGTCTCAGTTGATTTGATCCTAATAATCTGATGAGGCTTGAGTTTTGTAACTCAAATACCATGTGAGTTGCATCAAGCAATAGTTGGTCATCAGAAATTTGTCTTGTAAATGTACAGTATTATTATAATGGGCAAAATTTTATTTGGGTCTGCGACTCAAACGTGGCACTTTTGATAGAAGCTGAAATTTTTTTAACTTTGTTTGTTCTTGTAGTATAAATAATGCTGTAATTTTATTGGGGTAAAAACACACAGAGAACATTGGAAATGATTAGTATCATTTCTTATCAACAGCTAAAAAAAAATGACGTTGGTAAAGAATTCATAATGCCTAGTTCTTGTTTTCTACTGTTGCAGCAACAACAATTTTTGTAAACATAATTATTGGTTCAGCCAATTAAAGTAGTGAGTTTCTTTTTTCATTTAATTCTTAACTTTGCTTTTTCACTGGGAAATTATTGTAGGCTTTGAGTTTTGTTTGTCAAACATCACAAAGCTATGATTGCTTATTCTGCAAAAGTTTTGTACTTAAAGGTCTTGTAAAAATAATTCAGTTGGACTTTTGTACAATGGCTTTGCAACAGGCATTGCCTTCCTTCCTCCTTTGTACACACTGCATTCTTGTGCACCTAAATTTCCCCTTAGCTTTCAAATACTTGGCATGCAGCCCACATGTACCTGTAATTTTCTTATTCCTTCAGATTTACTCAAAGTTTAAAGTACATCAAACAGCGTCATGACAATGTGGTTGAAACCATGGCTCAGGTGAATGAGTAATCATTATTGTATTGTGGCAATAGTAAATTTCAGCTTTTTTATTTGACCTTTAGTTAAATTGAATTTGTTATACTTATTTAGGGAATAATGGAACTGCGTCAGCGTGAAGGAGATGATGCTTTTCATCCTTCAATAGAATACTTTTTAGGTAGGTAATGTTATTAAATATTTTCAAGCATTTTTTACGACATGTCAGTACATTTTTAATTATGACTTTTTCAGTCTTTTAAGTCACCTTGTATACAAAGGGAGACAACAAGGCTCAGTAGTCAGGGCATCAGACTTACAATCCAGGATTTTATTCTCATTCTGACCACTAGCTGAATTTGTTCCAAGTTCAAATCTTTTGTCACACTGTCTTGTCAGTAACAAACTGGTTGCCTACTAGCAATAGGCCTTTTTCAAAAATTTCATAATACTCTTTGTTGTCCCTCCAAAATTTTGCGTAAGAATTGTTTTCAATTTCTCTTTGGACTTACAATAATTGTCCCAAGAGAAGTTGAAAACAATGCTCATGCAAAATTTTGGAGAGACAACAAAGAATAATATTATTGTCCCAAGAGAAATTGAAAACAATTCTTATGCAAAATTTTGGAGGGACAACAAAGAGTATTATGGCCTTTTTGAAAAAGGTATAATTATTTTCATGTAACTGATGCTTTTATCCGGTGATAAAAATGTTTGTTATTTGTTTTGAGGTATTCGAGTGGAGCCTTTTAACTAGACAACTAAGTGCACTTCTGTTATAGATAGGGGATTTACATGTACACCATACATGTTCTTTTTTCTTCTCATTTTTCATGTGTTCTAACGTTTTACATGTTATGAATGCTTTTTCTTTTAACAGATCGCTTTTACATGAATCGTATTAGTATACGAATGTTAATTACTCAACACCGTAAGTATCTATCAATAATTTTTATCGGATGTAAATTGTTAATTTAAATTACCTGTCAGTAAATGCATTTCACAGCCACATAAATCTGGTTGATGTTAAAGTACCCAAAACATGTTGACACAACAGTAATTCAACTACTTATGATTTGTTATGACCAACAACAATCTGGAACTGACACTGAGAGAGTACTCTGACACCAAGCTGCAGAATTTTCTTTTGGAAACAGTGAAGTTTGTCTCACTCAAGACATATCTCCTTGTTTCTCATGTCTCAGCAGTATTTCCACTTACTATTTTGCTCTCGTGTGGAACATTTGATATCACCCTGAAGACAATTAACAGACTGCAGGCCGTTTACAGTCTGTGAAATTCAGGGGACCTAGCACTGTAGTTTTCTGCAAAAGCTACATTTTTCCTAGTCAGTTAAAGGCAAAAGTAAAGCAGAAGGGGCCATGAGGCCCTGATATGTCTCAGCCCGGGAGTGGCAATTTACTGCACATATATTTAGCAGTGATGTTAAAAGAAAAACTAAACATACTTCACTATTATTCAAGCTACCTTTTTTACTCAACTGCACCTTCAAAAATACCCCATGTCTTTGTTTTACAGAGTAAGTTGAGCTGGTGGTAAGCTTTTGTCAGTGTAATAATAGCCAGCAGTCGGCTCTTATCCAAAGATGCTTGATACTTGCAGTTCTTCAACCCTCTCGAGAGTTTCAACTTGAGAGACGAGTTTTGCATGAGGGTTGCAACTTACTTTTGAGCGGTACTTTAATGTGGAATTGGCAAATGCTAAATAATTTTCCACAAGGGTTTTGTTTCTAAAATAACAGGGTTTTTGTTTTCTTTCTGTTTACCAGTGCTGTTATTTGGACAGGATGCTAGAAGTTCTAAGAGTAATTTTGTTGGTTGTTTTGACCCAAACTGCCATGTTGTGTCTGTTGTTGAAGGTGCTGTACATTAATGTGATCTTTTGTTTATTTATAGGGATAATAATTAAGAATATTCTGAATTGAATAGTCAGAAATGTTCAAAATTCTTGCTGTCGTACTGCCCTGTTATCTTGCGGTCATTAAATCTCAATATCTCAATTTAATCTTTTTTTTAATCACCAATATACGGTAGAACCTCAACATAACGATGGACCAAGGGTTTGACAAAATATGTTTGCCAAAACAACGTTTCGTTTTATTGAGGTTCTTTTCTATATATTTTACAAGAAATTACTGGGGTAAAAAAATCGTTCATTATACCAAGAACTTTGTTCCATGGAGGTTTGTTTTATTGGGGTTTCACTGTATCTGGAGTAAACAATATGATGTTGATAATTTGATCAAAGGTATCCAAATTCATGTACCAGTGATTATTGCTATACAGTATGCATAATAATGATGCAATAAACACTTTATGACTGGTCCCGAGGGAAACATTGAGATTTGAGTGATTTGGTACATAGCTGGAAATTGTATTAACGTCGTCGTAATGGCGGTTGTCAGTCAACTTTCGCAAGTAACCGTGCGCTGTTACCTTCTTACATCATAGATTTTGCATTGTTGCCTGCTCAGAGATTTTGGTGGGAAATGGGTTCATTGTTGAATTTCATGTGACCTTGAAACTTTATGAGAGCGCGCGCTGTTGGGAAAAAATGTCCAGCTATATAACAAGTAATCTTATTGCCATTAGAAAATCCACGAGATTAGATTCAATTAACTCATTTTTACTGTTGTTTCGTTTGTTCTCAGATGCTATCAACAATGCTGCTTACCTCTGTGAGCAAAACTACATGGCCTCTCCATCGGTAGAAATTTCTCAAGTGAATGGTACGTTTTTAGATTTCTGGTCCTTTGAGATTCTTAAAAAGTCTAATAGCGCTATCCACCAGATAAATCACTTTCGACAAATGAGAGGAAACTCTCATTGCATTTCATTAAAGGTAGCATTTTACCCTATGAACAACTTAAAGTCTGTCTTTTAAACAACTGGGTCCTGTTTAGATGTCAGATGTTGAAGGTGATCAGAGAAAACCAATGTGGCTAAAACAAACATGAGACCTGGTTAGCCAGCTGTCTCTCATTGGGGCTATGCAGTGGTACCCTAATCGCATTGCAGGGGCTCATGGGTCTTTTTACAGTTTTCTCTTGTGGAATAGCCTGTCTGCTTGTGCGTCGTTGCCTGTCATGGCTCATACTTGCAAAGTAATTTTTCTGCTGCCTGCTTACTCAACTTGGACTTGCCACAAATTGACCTCTAACATGAGTTTCACAGCAGAAAAGCTGTAAAGCGAGCTGAACGAGCTTTTTAGGTCACAAGGTAGCCGAGCCAGCTAGAAACAAAATCGCGAGAAGTCTTTGTGACGTGAGCGAAATTTGAAATAAGACGAAAGACTTCTTCAAAAGTCTAACATATACTTGAGAACGTAAACAGCAAATCTCCATCACAGTGGTGTGGTCCGGAAGGAAATTTTGTCACATCAATATGACAGCTCTGTTGTCTTTTTAAGATGAAGCATGTGCATAATCGGGACGCTGTTCCCCTTAAATCATGACAAAGACATTTCATGATATACAGTTCAAAGAAACTTCGGAGCTCAGTTGCATGATCTATCCTACGTGTATTTTTAGCACAGTTATTGTAATTATTACAAACCACTGTTGTTAACTTGGTGGGCCATTCACCTTGTCCATGTTAGGCAAGGATTAAACGTTTTCTTCTCTAACATCATCTCTAACAATTTTTCCCCGAGTCTATGCACAAAACCTTTCCTTTTTATTTTTTCATGTACCCCCATAATAAACATTACAAAGTTGCAGTGTACTAATTTTATTATACTTTCTTTGTGCAGCTTATGATCCAAAGAAGCCTGTTCAAGTGGCCTATGTTCCTGGCCATTTGTATCACATGCTCTTTGAATTACTTAAGGTATGTGACTGCCTGTTGAACTTATGGACAGCACTTTTTCTCACTCGAGTTGATCACACTTATGTTTTAACAGGGGTTGCTACATTCTTCTAATTTTTGTCAAGAACTTAACTTTTGTATCTGAGAAAGACATGATGCAAGTCACCAAACAAAGTCTATGCTATGATTATCCACCTTGTCTGTTTATAGCTGGAAAAATTTCTTTGATCAGTTTAGCATCAAGTCTGCATTACATTAACATTTTAATAGTTACTGGAAAATCTTGTAGTCATTGCAGCCTCCATTCCTTTCCCTAAAGACATGTTGACCAGACTGTGTTTTGTCTTTTCTATATAAAAAATGCCACACACAAGTTACTTCGTATAACCACAATAACAACATTATGTTCTGTCTTAAGAATGCCATGCGAGCAGTTGTTGAACAGCATGGGAGCAGTATAGACATTCCTCCTTTGAAAATATTAACAACCAAAGGGAAACAGGATCTAACAATCAAGGTGAGTGGAACATGTGTCAAATAAGATCCAAAGTATTATGTCTTTTTCTTTTTGTCTAGTTATACTACTAGCCAATTATTAGGCTTGCAAAGATTGAAAAAATCAGAAAAAATCAAACTCAGACTATCTGTGTTCTGGCAATACTGTCATCACAGGCTTATTTTTGCCAGCCATATTGATGACTTTCCTAATTAATTACATTTCTTTAGATTTCTGACCAGGGCGGTGGAATAGCCAAAAGTGAAATAGATCAAGTGTTTGAGTATCACTATACATCAGCTCCTGAGCCACTGACAACTGGTGCTGCAGCCCCCATGGTGAGAGTTTTTTCCCTTTTATACATGTACATGAAAAATTTGGCTACAATCAGCAAAAAAAATAATTAAGACACTGCCCTGAAGGTCATTTGTGATGTTCCACTAACTTCAAAAGGGCAGTGCTCATATCGTTCGTTGGAAAAAGTCTTGAACAACAAGTGCTTTTATAAGTGAAACTATTTTTCGTTTTGGTTAAATCTTATTCAGTCTTGCCTATATATTTACAGCACACCAGGAAAAGAGCTTTGTTGCTGGATTATTTAAGGTCTCTATTGATCACACCTATTTGTTAACCTTAAGTCTGGAAAAAGAAACTATTGTTTTGGAAACAAGTCTGGAAAAAGTCTTGAATTTTGGATCCAACAATCTCCACGAACCCTCAAATAGGGAATGAAGCATTCCTTCCCCTACCCCCTCCATGCCATGTTGTGCTGCTCTCTGAACCTGTAGGAAACAACAAATGCCCAAACTTTACAGGGCTGAGCTCTGGCAGTGCCTGGTGGCCCCTGGCATTCAACTGTTGCTCTTAGGCAACTAGAAAAATCTCATTTCTCTCATATAAATCACATGCTGGACACCCTAGATTTTACAGGTTAAGAGCACTGGGCTTCCCTCAATTTTCCTCAGAGCACAGCCTTGCTTTGAATGGAGGGTGGTTGGGAGGGGTGTAGATTGTTTTGTTCTCCAAAGTTTCCCCATTAAAGGACAGTGTCTGTAAGTTATCTTACTGCGTAGAGTGGTTGCTAGTCCATACCTGGTTTATCCTCTGTACAAATTAATCATTATAAAATGAGATCCAGGCAACGGAGCTTGAACCGTAGCAACTTCCAAACAGTGAATGAAGTCCTCAGTAGTTGCCAGTTCTGTCCGTCAACACAAAATAAACTCACCTCAACAAAATACAGCTGCATACAGTTTGATGTTCCATGTTCCACTCCTGTTTAAAAATAATGAATGTACTCTTTTAAATATGTACTCAAAAGTCTTGTAAATCACACACATAAAGTGTAGCCTATTGCTTACTTAGAAGTAAAAATTAACGATTATTATCTGAATCAGTTTTACACTTGGATTGTATGTTTATTCTCCAGGCTGGTTATGGATATGGTTTGCCATTATCGAGATTGTATGCGAGATACTTTGATGGAGACCTTCAGCTTTATTCCATGGAAGGATTTGGAACTGATGCTGTGATCTGGTTGAAGGTAATTTTTTTCCTGGAACTTCACTGAATGATCCTGCCATAGGATTTCATATCAATACTGAAACATGAGAACAGCATTTCAGTAGGTCTAAGTTCAATGTTAAAAGAATTGAAGTTATTTGAAGTCCTGAATAGGATACTTACTATCTTATTATCCAAAAGGAAAGGACGAAACTGGTCCCATTGGGTTAAGATACAATGTGTTATAAAGTAATATTGTCGGTGGAACATTCTTGGCATGTGAACAAGATCTTGACTGTGGCACTGACCCCACCTTCAGGTTTAGATTTTGCTTTTATTCTAAGACTTTAATACAAAGTTTATGCCTTGGTACCCTTGACAGAACAAGATTATGGAGCCGAGGACTGGCATTTTCTGCATTTGAATCTCTGCTCGGCTGAGGCGCTAATGGGGGTTCCCAGTGGTGCTAACAGTCGACCTCCATGCGCTTCCAAACTTTGCGGTCCTGTGCCAAAGTACGAATTTCCTGAGGAAGGGGGGTTTTCTGGATTGATTAGCTTTTCAGCACATTCGTTGAAAAGAATTTTGCGTCCTTTGGGTCTTGGTTTACCATGTGTCGGGTGGTACAAAGCGTATTTAGAGACTTGTCAAAAACTTGGGCCTCGTGCTTCATCGTGGGCTCATACGGCCTCGTGCTTTAATCTGTTTCTTGGTGTTTGGAACTCGTGTAGAAGCACTCACCCTCGTTTGTGCGTATTATGTCAAAAATGTGAAAGAGTACAAGTGTCCACGAAAAAAAATAGGCATCTTTCACGGAAGTGTTTCTTTCGGCTTCAGAGACATCGTGAAATTCGTTGTTGTTGTTGTTGTCTTGCTATAATTACACAATTATTTGTGAAGCCGTGCTTTTATAATTTTATCTACACCACGTAGTGACAGTAGATTCTTGGTTTTTCTGTCCGGGGTTCTGTGGGGTCATGGATCTTGAATTACTACATTTAATAAATATTTGTTGGATGAAGTTGAGACACGTGTTATCAGCCGAGGCTGGTAACACTTACCAGGACCTAAATTACCTGTAGGCTGTGAACCAGTGAGAAGACAGATTCTGAGTACTTTGCGATAACCGAGCTTTTAAACAATTTGCATGACAATCATGTCTTTTAGGCATTATCTGAAGAGGCAAGTGAAGTTCTCCCTCTATACAATACAAGAACACCCAAGAACTATGAAGAAGTAAGATTATCTGCTCAGCACTGTCGAGACTGGAGCTCCTCTAAATTCTATGGCCATGGACACAAATTTCTATCAACATATCACGGCAGAATGAGAGCAAGAAGATTGCATCACAGTAGGAAAACTGACTCTTCATAAAGTGGTCTTGGACACTGTCTCACCTGGCTATTTTACATAATGTTTTCTTATTCAAAATTAAAAGAAACATTTACAAATATATCACAATTTGCAATGGGATTTGGAACACTGCGCTGACATACGTTTATTTATTTTGTTACAAGATAAACGACAACCTTTGATTCAACAACCATTGAGTGTTTTTTGACTTGTTGTAAAAAGTATTTGATCATTCGGCACATGCAACGTAATCAGAATTTAGAATTGTAAGATATTTTTATATTTCTTCCTTAAGTGGGCAAACTAATTGCAATACAAAATATGAGTTGTAAATTTTGATTAGACTTAATGTACCAAGTAAGGGGGAACCGTTTTTACATGTACAAAAACAATACGATTAATGAAAGGAAGGTAATGCTAACACACAGTGGGTCGTATTTAAGCAATTCAATTGCTGTACAGACTGCACACAATGTACATGCTTATTGTAGGTAAATACGACATTGTTCAATAGCTATTTTACATTCCAAGATCTACTTGGAAATAGATCAAGATCGATGCAAGTCCCAAGATTGTTTGAGTTGTTGAACAAATAAGCAAGATACAAAAGGTATTTTCTTGACCAAGTATTTATCTCACGTCGAGAAAAGTAATATTGACAGTTGTTGGTAGTGTGGGGTGTCAGTCTTCTTTATGTTGACACGTAGGGAAAAATAATTTTTATCACATGTGCTTATTTTATTGGGCACTTAAAGATCAGGTTAAATGTGATTGAAACGTATATGGTCTTAATGCATTAAGGGGGCCGCTTTTGTTGTTGTGGTGGTCTCCAGTTATTTGTCCACAGAGGAATAACAAATCTAAAACGTTTTATCATTAAAACATGTCACTTGATAAGAAGTATATACTTTTTACTCTTATTTTTCCTTATTTTTGAAAGTTCCACCTGTCACCTTCCTGGGGCACGGAGGACAGCAGTCGTGCACATTTGCGTTGTGAAATATATCAAGAGTTACCAGCTGCTTTTAGCCTGCGTAGGAAGCGTTTCCGTACGGTTTCAAAGCAAAGAACGAGGAGCGGCCAAAGCCGAAAATCCCGTTCCTCGTCGTTCCTCGGTCTTCCTTTGCTCCGAAACCACACGGAAACGCTTGCTACGCAGGCTAGCCACGTTTCGGGAAATGAGCGGAGCCGTACCTTATCTACCTTATTAGAGAGTTTGCGCTTCACGTATACGGCAAACGTCAGATTCAAGTTGAGAATTTCTCCAAATAGAAAATGAGCGTATGAAAAAAAGCTCAAAACAATTCTTATGGATAAAAAATTGCGTGAAGCTACTAATTTATGCGTAGAGGGGTACAAATTCGCGTTTGCCGTTTGGAGTAAACAGGAAACGTGATGATAGCAAGTACATGTACAAAACCCTCGAGAGCACGTAACGGGGAAAAAGTCTCACCTGCGCTCAAGTGGTTTTACAAAGGAGAGGACATGTCGCAAGCTCCGACAACCTGAAATGATCAATATAACAAGGACATGATTTGTTTTTGTCTTAACTATTGCATGAACATATACTGGTAGACTTCTGGTCATTGTTTCTCTGATTGGCAATACTGGTATTGTTAAAGAGACAAGTTTCCCAAGTCCAACGTCCCATGGGCATTTATCGTGGAGAGCGTATCTCGCGTTCCACGCCCGCTTTTCGCTTTCTTTCTCCTTATAAAGTTGGGTTTGGTCCCCACAACCTCTACTCCTGGGAAATGAGCTCCGCCAGCTAACCTTCCCAAGTTCCACGGAATACTCCTTATAATGGCCTATACGGGAAGGCCCCGCCCGAAAGGCGTACCTTCAGGCTTGAGGTACAGTATAGTATAGTATAGTATAGTATAGTATAGTATCTTATATCTTTACTGCGCCTTACTCTCCAAAGGGAGGCATCGGTCTAGTTACAATAAAGGTTTTTCATCAACTAAAACAAATTTAAAAGGAGAGAAATATGAACGGAAACAACAAAATTATATGGCATATACCATTTCGATAATAATTATACTATAATTTAATTACCTAGTCAATTGGATTTTTTACTCGAGAAGTGAAACCTCTACTAAGTGGACACCTTCGGATCCTTCCTAAGTGTCCGCTTAATAGAGGTTTGTAACAATTGCGCAATGTTTGTTGAGGATTAACATTCAACGGTTACTCTGTGCTGTGATAAAGTTCCATGTTGTTAAGGAAGCTACCTTTCATTACCAAATTTAATTTGTTTGTAAGTGCAAAAACATTAACCGACTACAGTACGTATTTTATGGACGTAATCCAATATTGTCAGTTCAGTTCGGTGTCCGCTCACTGTCCGCTTAATAGAGGTTTTTAACAATAGAAATTAGCCAAATACAATTGGGGTCCGCAATAGAGGTTTCACTGTATATGAAAGGGTAGGCTAGGGATTTCACTACTTTGCTCTTTCGCGAAGACAAATTTCAAGAATAACCTCTGGAAGCAAGGTAGCAAAACTAAAGAAAAATATATTCCAAGAATATTTACTGTTTTATAGTAGATTGATCGCGTTAACGTTTGACCTCTGTGGCCGTGTCCTTTGCCTGTCGTGATAAACAATTGCGGAAACAATACAAATGTATTACTACCACGTCGACCAATCAGAGTTCCTGACCAGATTACTGACAGATTTTACGTCATCAGTCAGGAGACCATAACCTAGTGGGAAGGAGCGTTGCGTGACGACACTAAAAACGGCTGTGTAGCAGACTAACCATAACCCGCAGCGACCAACTCTCATACTAGGCCTATATCACGGCGTTTTTACCGACCAGTTCATTTTTAGACACATTTTAGGCCACTTTTTTCCGAGAAAATAGAATCTCCACCATGTCTATAAGCGTACTCGAAGTATAAGATATCAAAAAGGAAAACTAAACGTTATTAAAAGGTAAAAAATATCATTTTTAGGTCTGTAGGTTTTGCTGACTGGTTTCTAGAATTTAAAATATATTCAAAATAGGCGCCAAACCGTTCTAAAAATAAACTGGTCCGTCAAAACGCCGTGACATAAGCGCATGGACGTTGCTTGCTACGGGTCATGGGCTCCCTCATCAGTATAGGATTTCTGTCGCTGAAACGGGAACGAGTGTTTACGGAGGTAGCCTGCGAGAGCATCCGGGTTTTTTCGGCTCCAGTTTCACCCGTTTACCCGGCCGCTGAAACAAGCCGAAGGAAAAAAAAACCGAATGCTCTTGCAGGCTATTTACGCAGGTTACTAGTTTGCGTATCGGAGAGGGCAGGGAATTCTGTCATTAAGTTCGTAAAAGGGCCCAAAAGGACTGGCAGATGAATTTTATGGCTGTGAACAATCAGAGAAAACGTTTAGTTTTGAGATATATTAGAGTGCATTTTACAGCAGTTAAAGGATGCAAATTTCTAAACGGTAGAGAGGTGTGTCCGTGTAAGAGAGAGTTTACTGTACCAAGATTCAATTTTGGGTAGCAGGTTCGGAGCCACCTTAGATTTTAATTGAGTAATTATCATTATACCCCTAAAAGACCTAAAAAAGCTTCTACGCGTTTAACAGGCCCTTCCACGTTCTTTTTGTTTGTTTGTTTGTTTTTATTTTTATTTTTAACTATTGCCAAAAGTTGAAAAACTACCTGACTAGAACTAATCTCGTTCCCAGAGTCCGCGTTACCCTTGTCCATCAGAAGGTAGACTTTGGGAACGAGATTGGACTGGGACCAGTTAGCTAGTCTGCGTGGCAGGTGCAAAAAGGGGAGGGAAGCGAGGAGAAAAGCGAAAAGGGAAGGGCTATACAGGCTACCAGTTAGCGAAGATCCGTCAACACGGCTGGAAGGACTCCCTTAAAATCAATAAAGTTGCCTAGTTTGAAAGTGATTTGTTGAAATGTAACTAAGATACAGCTCCAAAAATTCTCGGAATTTTACGGTGTGGAACAATATCTTTGCTATCTTTTGACAAACCACCATTAAACCTAGTACGTTTCTTAATTTGAAGGCCCTCTTTCCAGCAGTGTCCATGGTCATGCCCTTGCTATACTGCTCTTTATTAATATCAGCAAAAAAGATGGAAGGACCTATCAGGAAAATATTGCATTTTTTTTGTTTAAACACTATTGTCCTAATTGTCGACGAAAATATAAAGACTTAAATCTTGAGAGAACTTTTAACAGGTGACAACTTTGCCAAAACTTCTTGATTCTATTTTAAGCCTAAAATGAACGTAACTTGTTTTATAATTGGGTGGGTGTCTGTTAAAAAGGCGTCGATGCAGCTTTCCGAAACAAAACAGAGTAAATTATAGTTCAGAACGGCAGAACCGAATCTGTTGATTTCAGGGCCAGTGGAAAGTGCAAATTCAACCCCTTATAGGCTCCACTGCACTCCATAGTCTCAGGTTGGGTACTGACCGGGGTAATGCCAGCTTGGGCAGCCGCGATTTGTGACGTTCTCGAATACGTGCAGAAAAACAAGGAAAAAGACAAGGAGACAAGGAGACAAAGACAAGGAGAAAAAGAGGAAAAAACTACAACAACTGGAAAAGAGTTGAGAAGGCTACTATTTTTTACTTCTTTTTGTTCTCCCCCCCCCCGCACCGGCGTAATGTTGTTGAACCAAACTTAAGTGCTTGCGCCCGCAGCGGCGCAATCGTTTGGTTATATCCCAACATTGGATAGGGGGAATAGGTGTATTAAGCAAAGGGTAAAACCGTTAAAATGTACTACAGATAAATTGTACAACCTTCCCAGAAATTGGAAAGGAGTAGTAAAAAATGTACAGCAATCTCCAGTGGCTTTGCGCAGGAGCCTACAGGCTCCGGCTTTGCGTGACGTTTTTAAGTGTGTGTTAGAGTAAATACGTGTATACTTGACGGATCCTCAGTCACTACAGTTAAAAGATATTAATGCAGTGGATACCTGGATATATAATGACTCCTGTTTTAGAGCTAATAAAGTCTATTTATAATGTTTGTTTCTGGATAAGCAGTGATTACTTATTCACGTGCAGCGTCGGCGGAGCGAAATAAAGAGTTGGGGAGGGGGGGGGGGTGGCGAAAATAAAATTGGACATTCTATTCCCCCCCCCCCATCACCAATAAGCAATAAAAGGCGGCCTCTATCTTTTTTTGTAAGACGCCGACAACATCTTAGGATTCCAGGCGTTCGGATAGTGGAGTACTGGGAATAGGCTTAAAACGTTTTGGACCGATGCTATCTTAAATGGCGCCGACAACAAAAACTACATAGGATAGCCTTCAATAGGGAGTGGGGGAGGGAGGGGGTGCGGATAAAAAAATGAAATGTCCTAATCCAACCGGCTACGCACCTACGTTGTTTGGATTTAAACAGACGACTCGTTGTTTACTTGAATTTTCCAAAATAGTCCTAATGCTAATGAGTTGACCGTGGAAAAATAAAAGAAAGTTGTTTATTATTGTATAAAAGTGGGGAGGGGGGCTCTGCCCCCCCTCACAATAAAAAGTGTCGGGGACTGAAGCCCTCCCAGCCCTCCCCCCCCCCCCACCCCTTCCCGCTTCCGCCGCCTATGACGTGTCAGCGTATTCTGTGTACTGCGTTTAGGGTCAAGGGTTTTTTTCTGAAGTGGAAGTTTATTCTGCCCAAAGGAGCAACATATTAACCAAGTTAATCCCATTCCAAAACTTACACCGTTTGTCTGAGAATATTCACCGAAACATATCTCAAATACCCCCCGCTCCCCACCCCGCCTCCCCAAACAAAAGCCTGGCTAAAGCTGCAATTAAGGGAAGCGATCGTTTATTATTTCCCAGAGGGGCAAGAGGTTTTCAGAAAAATGTGATGTACCAAAAATTCCCCCACCCACCTCGAAAAAAAAAAGAAAGAAACAAAATCACACCAGGAGGC